TCTTCTATTTTCGTTTACAAAGAAACTTTTATTATTTATTAAAATAAAGAATTTATAATATCACTTCATTTTTCTTTGTATTTATATATTCGATCTAAATATTAATAATTTCTTAATCAAAAATGAAAAGCATTTTATTCAATTCATAAATGTTGTATGATTTATTAAAAATAATATAATAATCATAACAATAATACTTAATATTATAAAAAGAAATATATTCAATATTAATACTTTTATATCGAATATAAAAAGCTATTTTCTTTCCAATCAAATTAATTTTTTGCTCAAAAGCTTTATAATCGATATAAAATTAAAAACGAATAAATAATATAATAAAGAAGAAATACTTGAGATAAACTATATAAAGAATAATGTTTCTTTTCAAATCTTATAAATGATCGAGGACGATATTTAATTAAGAAAAGAATAATATTACAATTCACAATTTTCTTTATAATAGTATTATTGATATCAATGATTTATAGATCGATTATAAAAAGAATATAATTTAATTATTGCTTTCAAAGATCTTAATTATCTAAATTTAGAATCTCAAGATTCCTAGGATAAATATTCTAAACAATTATAATAAAATAGAACAAATATTCTATCTAATTAATTATAATAGAATTATCATTTTAAAGAATATCGTATCCTAAAACTATAATTCCTAAAAAGAAAGCTTCTAGGACAAGTATTCTAGAAAAGGAAAGACTTTAGGATATAAAAGGCTTTAGAATCAGTTATATAATATACTAATTCTACTAATCAATTAGCAAAACTAATATTACAGAAATGCTAGTTATACTAATCAGCTAATATAACTAGTATGAGAAAGTGATTAGTATATAATCAGAATAGTTTTATAGTTTAAAAGCTTCATACTCAATTTAGTTATCAATTAGTTTACCTATATTCCAATTGATTTAATAATATATTCACCTTCGAATGAATAACCAATGATTATTAACCTTAACCCACAACTATCAACCAGACGAAACCTGAGGCAGCCGCTGTCTCTACCAGATCGTTACACAGGACCCCCGACAGCAACAGTTAAATCATACCCCCTCTATAGTCGGTATATAAATCACCAATGTCAATAATACTACTATAAAGAAAATCGTAAATCGTGACAGGGGTATGAATCTTTTTTTGAAATTGATTTTATAATCCCAAGATTTATATTCTAATAAAACTCTTAAATCTTAAAGATCCTTGAAAAGCTTAACAAATCTTTTATATTATATTAGAATTTCTTTTTTATTAATTCTATTAATCAATAAAGAATCCATTATTATTATAATATAATATTCAATCTTTTAAAAAATCTGTTCCTTTGAACTATATAATTATTTGTTATTACAATTACAATAATCGAATATTAAAATATCTCTTACTCAATCGATATTTGAATTATATTTCTTAATCTATAAAATACTAAAAACAATTATATATCTATCTAATAACACTAAATCTATCTTAACCTACTCAATATATTTATTTAATATAATTATTTTGACAACATTAATTTCTTTATATACTTAATTATCAATTCTAATTTTCTTTCTTTCTAATAATATTAATTGATAAAAGTTCTATTTTAATCCTATAAGAATTCTATTTTCTTTTACAAAATTGGGATTTATAAATATACTTATAACTTCAAAATCAATTAAAACATTAATCTATTAATTCTTTAATTTAATTTCTATAATTAATTATCCGATTCCTATAGTATTATTTAATTCTAATAATAATAATTCGATGATTTGTTCTCTAATAAGGAGATTTAGTTATTTATATTAATATTTGTTTATATTTAATAATTGATAAGATATAATAAATAATAATCTTATTAGTTTTATTTGAAAGTCTCAATAATAATTTTGATTTGATATTTCTTTATCATTTTTATCAATCCTTTGTTAAATATAACGAATCCTGATTTGTAATAGGATTTTTTATATATCTTTAATTTTCAGATTATATTTGTTATATTTTTATATTTCATTAAAGAATAAAGAATCTATATTTACAATATATCTTTTAATATTATTTGTTTTATTATTTTCCTTAAATACTATATAATAAATATCATTATATATTATTATATAAAATATTAACAAAATAAAATAATCATAAATTTTATATTTCTCGATGAAATTAGATTTCTTTTTTTTATAATAATACTATATCTGTTTCTTATTTAAATAATTGATTAGATATTATAATTCATTTTTCTGAAACAAATAACAGGATTCAATTAATTATTGATCCTTTTCGAATTCCTTGATTAATTCTTTATCTTTTGATTCAAAATCTTTTAAAGATTCTTTTTTGTAATCAATACTATTTTTAATATTGATTTTAAGGTTTTGATTATTGATATTCAATTTCTTTAATTATTCGAAATTGAATTAAGATAAATCTTTTTCTAATAAACCTATTTTCTTGGAATTTCCTTTTAAGATCTCTATTTTTTAAGAATCTTGTTTTTTGTTCTTAAATCTCATTTGTTTTTTGTTTTTTATAATAAATAGTTTCTTCTTTTGAAAACAATTTTGAAATATATATCTGTTTTTTTTGTAAATAAAGTATAAATTATTCTTTTTATATTTTTTCTTTTTGTTAATATTTAGATTATTTAATTTTATATAATATCATTTAATATTATTTAATTTTATTGGATCATCGATATCATAATATCTATTTTAATAATAAGGTTTTTGGAATTTCTTGTTTTCTTAAATAATTTCTTTCTTCTTTATTTGTTATTTATAGAATTAATTATCAATAAAAATGAAGATTTTGATTAATTCGAAAAGATTAAATAATTTCAGAGTTTTTATTAATTCGTTCTTGATAATATCTTTCAATCTTTTATAAAATTATAATTTTAGATAATCATTATTCTATATAATATATTTGATATATTATTGAAATTTAATAATATAAATTGTGATTAATTTGATTTGTTTAAATTGTTATAATGTTTTTTCAATTATATAATCGGAATCTATTTCTTTAAATACTTTATCGAATCCTTATTTAAATGATTCATAATTGAAGAAAAGATAATGAATCTTAGATTTCATACTTTTGTTTAATTGATTATCGATAGTTTTGATTATTAAATTATTAAAAAATGATTTGATTTAATTGAATATAGTTTTATAAAAAAAAGAAATCAATTATAAAATCCTTTATATAGAAATCAAAAAAAGTTGTTTGTTAAAAATATAATAAAAATCAATTTGTATAACAAAAGCTCGATACTTATTATAATCTTCATAAAATAGATTAAAGATAGATATTTAAATTGTTCGTTTGTATTCTATAATAATAACAATCTGAATAAGAGTTTCGATTAGATTGAATAAAGATGATTCGATAAATTACTAATTGAAAGTTATTGTATTATATATAGTTTAACTATAATAATACTCAAAATATAACAATCTAATCAAAATAATAATTGCTTTAGATTTTTATATAATTAATAGTTATAAATTAAAGCTAATAATTATTGATTATTTATTCGAAAATGAATATATTATTAAATCAATTGAAATATAAATAAACTAATTGATAACTAAATTGAATACAAAGCTTCTAAATTATGAAACTATTCTGATTATATATTAATCCATTTTGGAAATCTTCAAAAGCTTATACTTCTAAAAACTTCAAGAAGTTTACAAAAGTCTATATTCCTGAAGGTTTCATCATATGATTAGGATTAGATTATATATCCGAGTTTACTGAAAATGAAGAGATTATACGAAGTAATTGCTATACAAATTTGTATACAAGTTGCTTTGCTTTTCAACAAGGTCAAAGCTTATAGAGACAGGTTGACTGTTACCTCGTGACATTCTATAAAATGATTTCGTGACAACTATCTCCTAACTCAATCTATCCCACCCAATTTATCCCACCCGAACTATCCAACCCTTCAACCCTCCAACCCAACCACAAACCCAACACTATCCAACTACAAGCCCTCAAGCCCAAAACTTTCTTTATAATCCTCCCCACCCGTCCCATCCCCTTTCGTCTTCCTTTCAGCCCTCCCTTATCTCTCTCCTTCTTTTCTCTCTATTTCCCATCACTCATCAACTTACAAACTCAAAACTCAAAAACCTCAAACCTTTATTATAAAAAACCCATCCCTAACTCTATACACCAATTATAAACACATTAAATATCACACAAAACAAATAAAATACACATATCTCAAAACCAGACTCAAACAAACATTTAACTCTTAAAAATTTTCTAACTTCATCTTCTTATTCATTCATTACATTCTATATCTTTTATATTCTTTGCATTCTTACCCCCAACCAACACCCAACCCCCTTCCGTCTTCGTCTATTTAATATAATTGAATTTTTATAGAAAAAAAATTTTCTTTCTTATTATATCAATTTCATTTATTTTCTTTTTCTCAGTTCGTACATATATACATGTATATATATATTATATTACACTATTCTATTATCAAAATTCAAAAACTATACAAATGAATCAAAATTTAAAACTCAAAGGTAAAAAACAAAACCAAGAACAAAATCATAATCTAAATATCTTCTTCACATCTCCCATCTCACAAGTTTCTCTCTTTATAAGACTCCTTCTTACAAATTAATTCAGTACTCAATATTACAAACACTCTCTTTAAATCTTCATCCTCATCTTTACCTTTACACCTACCCCTGCCTGCACAATCAGTAAACTATATTACTATACTATCAAAAATCAAGAACTAAAGATCATAGTTTAAAAATCATAAAAAAAAAAAAAATCAAGAGTTAAAAAGTCTATAATCTTAAGAATTTAAAAGTTTAAAAAAATATGTAAATAAATAAAACAAAAATATCTATAATCTCAAATCCACAATTTTAAAATCTTTTTTATAATAATATAAATATAAACAATTATTATAATATAAATATATAAACAGATTAATATTTTAATACATAAACTTATTTCTAAATAAATATTTATCCAAACAAACAAAAACGTTTAAAAAAGTTCAAAAAACTTTCTTTCAAAAACACTGTTTTAAAATACTCCCTCTTTATAAACTCCTCACATGCGCCACTGATTCCTCAGCCTAGCCAACAGACCAGATCAGATCAGACCAGACCAGGTTAGGTTCCTCTGATGCCACCCACCCCTTACCAGCCAGCTATTTTCAAATCCGAGTCCTGTCGTGATTGATTGACTTTCTTTCTTTCTTTCTTTCTCTCTTTCTATCTTCTTCTCTATTCCCCAGCTTCAAGTTTCAAGTTTCAACCAGTGAACACATGAACCTTAGAATTATTCCCTCATTCTCATTCTCAAATATTAAACATAAACCCCATTATCAAAATAATCCACCTCCACCCCCACCATCCTCTCACTCACTATTCCTCTTACCCGGTCTCCTCATCGTAAAACTCCTCCTAATACTCTCACCCCAAACCGAATTATCCAAAACCTCCAAAACATTTTCCGCACTAACCGCACTAACCGCACTACCCCTCCTACTACTCGCCACACTACTAATACCCGCCGCAGCTGCTCCATCACCCATACTCACACCTTCGAACGAAAATGCCGATCCTGCACTATGTGCTTGAAGTGGACTAAGGGTTGGACTTACAGCCGAGGACATTGATGGGAAGGCTGTATTAATTGATGCATCTGTACCGCGACGTTGTCTTAAAGGTGAACCATCGAGTCCATGTGTTATGAAGGAGTTTCGAGAATCCGTGATATCTGTTGGGGATAGTAGGGATCCGCTGATTGATGTGGATGCTTTGTGCTTTTTGGTAGATGGTTCTACCTCGTCGACGTAAACTTCTGGTCCTAATTGTGGGATATCTGTCATGCGGCCAGATCTCTTCCTTTCCATGTGTTTCCTGAATCTTCTTGACCAGTACCTATATTTATGTTAGCAATTTACCTCAAGAAGAACCTAGAAAATTTACATAGTATCGAAAAATCCAACCACAACCCGCCTTCGAACTTCTTCTTCGACTCTTTGTAGACGTGCACGACGACGTAGGAATTCCTCAAGCCTATTCCAATATTAGTTAAATCATACAATACATCATTCAAACGACTTACTTTAAGCTCTTGTTATCACTAATGACATTGTAATGAGCCAAAACCATCAATACAGTCGTAAAAGAAATACCACGATCAGGGTCCGCAGATACCAAAACCTCTTCATAGAAAAGATTAAATCGAGCTCTATCTCGTCGTACTCGTCCAACATCGATTTGAGAAATCCTTTCATTCAATTTCTTTAAATCAATACCACTAGATGCGCTTGGGCTCGAAATAGAATTCAACCTTCCATTGGTCGGTTCTGCTTGTATATCTTCAAGAATTCTGCGAACCGAATCTTCTTGTGAATATACACGCATTTCAAAAACACCAGAGAGTTCACCCAACAACCTTGGAAAGTGTTCTTTTTCAATGAATCCTGTACCGTCCGGATCTAAAGTAGCCCAAGCCTCCTTGTAGCGCCTAATTTCATCACGACTGACTTTAGATAAGCCATTTGATCTTTGAAAGACATAACTGAAGCTCTCATAGATAAGTGACACAAACAAACTGGTGAAAATGTACATGCTCACGATGTTCCACGAAATGAACAATACTCGCGACCATGTGGGACTTCCGCAGTCGCTGTCAAAGAAAGTATCACCTTGTGTGCAGAATGGAGGTGTGACAGTCGCATAATCTTCCATAATTTGATTCCAACCCTCTCCACAAGACATTCGAAACAGCATAATGAGTGTCTTTGGTACAGTTCGCATGTTGAGATTATCGGTCCCTTGGGTACTAAATCGAGTGAGTCCAAAGGTTTGAGTCATAGCGATAGCAAACACCATAAACAAGACAAACCAAGTTGCCAATAAGTTTCCAATGGCTGTCAAACTGGCAGCTGCTGTTTTGAATAGCTGATCTAATGCATCGTTTCGAGGAATTAAAAGTAGAACGATGGCGACAAGGAACAACTTATGTAGCTGAACATATACCTGAGAGTTGAAGTTGGTCAAAAGGAGTAATGTGGTAACTAGGGTTCCGAAGACAGCGAAAATTGAGAACATGTCCCAAGAACTTCGTCTAAATCGGGGCCAGGTCAAACCGACGATACGGACGATAACGTTGAGAGTATAAAATACTGTGCAAGCTAAGAATATATAGTCTCTGGTTGTATCCCAGGTCTTTGGCTCGGGATAGAACTCCACTACCAGTAGAATGAGATGAAAGACAAGAGTTAAAGTCATAGTCGAGTGCCACTTTCCATGCTTTCGAGTGGCTCTTTTGTAACACCAATCTCTCCACCAATGTAGGTCCTTGGAGAAAGGACGTTTAGATGGAGAAACCTGCCTTAGAAGTTTCCGCAACTCAACCCAAGATCTCTGATCTGATGTCAAAAATGCGATCCCGGTTTGTTCTGTGTAATTTCGCATAAAAACGGAGATAAACAAAGTAAGGATGAAAACCGTAGCAAGGAGATTGAAAATGACGAAAAAAACTGCATTGAACTCCGTGGAGGTCGGATCACCTGGATTAAGCCCACGACCGGTAATGGACATTGTCTCAAACATTACATCGACCCAACCTTCTTGGGATACGATTTGGAAAAGTATAAACAGGGAAGCTCCAAAATTATCAAAATCGTACCAAGGATTTCCTACCTGCCTGGGCGAGACGACGTTCCAATCACCACTAAATGGTTGACTGTAATATTCGCCAGAGCAATCAGTCAGATTAGTGATGTCACCGTCATTGCACGTCTCCAACTGGCCGTTAAAAAGGTTCACGCCGTAGATTGCAAAAGGGATCAAGAGAGACATAGAAACAAAGGCAGCCTATAGCATGTTAGCAAACATTTAAAGTAACATGTAAAGAATTTTTACCGAAAGAACTTTGAGACCACCGACAAGAATCACAGAATGAAATGTGTTTCTAGCACTGTCGCTGACGTTAAGCAATCGAAGAGCTCGCAAGGCTTTGAACGCTCCAACTGCTCGTGCGATCGCGCCATCATCCATTAGTGAGGTAATGACGTTGATCCATAAGGTAACAAGCACTAGGCCATCTATGAAACCCCAAGTACTTCTATAGTATGCATTCGGAGTCCAAAAGAATCCATCTGCGATGACCTTTATAAGAGCCTCGACGGTAAAAATTAAACCGAAGATGAAATCACAAAAGACAAACCAATTATTCCCAGTCGACCTACCTGGGTTGGCTATAAAGTATTCTCTTTGGTATAGAGGTGTTGTTATACATGCCAACAACACCATTGCGACAATGCATATATATAAGAATGCCGAAAAGCCATACCAAATTGACAAATTAGGCTCTACGCCATCAAAACGTTCACTCCCCCGTCCAGGTCCGACGCATCTCTGACAAAGTCTCCTGATGGGATTATTAGGCTTGAATATGAACAATGCATTATTGTAAGAAGGGTGTTTGGCCAAATATTCTCGTTGTGCTTTCTTGCGTTGTGATGAGGCCGAGACGGCTTCCTTTGCCATTGCCCTGGTGCCTTGGGAGTCGTCAGACTTGAGAGAGAATGATATATTAGAATAGAACGGATTCGGTTCTCTGTTCCAAAGTCTAGACATGAAGTTACCCCAAATAGAGGATAATAGCCCCGGCTTCACGCCGGCTGCCTCAGCAGCTGCATTTTCCGCGGCGTGTTCGTGTTGTCCCGGGACAATTTCGTCATCGAGAAAGTCTTTCACAACTGCATCCTTCAGTAACATTTCCATTGTTGCTGGTCCATAATCTAGAGGATCTTTTTTCGCTTTAGATCGACCAAACCGAAGAATGGACGATAATGCAAGGTTGCTAGAAGAGGTATCAACCTCTTTCCTGGTGAGAAAAGCCTTCACTTGTTGCATACGCTTTTCGTCTTCTGAAACGTCGAAATTCTCTTGAATGACAGCTATGAACATATTCACCAGAATGAAGTTGGCGAGAATGAACCATCCAATGAGAAATGTTGCTCCGATCCAGCCAGTATTGCGTGAATTATTTATGCCGGTGACATTATAGAGTATATCGGTCCAGTTTTCACTCGATAGGATCTGATATAAGCCCAGGAAAGAGTTGAATATTGTGGCAAAAGTAACTGTAATAGTATTTCCCCCGGCATCCTGTGCCGGGATATCACCACGGAACAGCTGAACAGCGAATATAGCAACCAAGAAAGTAATGAGAAAAACGAAGAGGACAAGATTCCCAATACCACTTGCATTCCCCAATACCAACATGATCAAGGATCTCGTTATTTCGACGCCCATGACAACCCGATAGATTCTGAGGATTTGAAACAGGGTGAGCCAAGCATAAGGTTGGCCTGAATTTCGAATGGGCGGCACTAAAATGACCGTCGTAATGATCGCAAGTCCCAAGTCAAATAGGTTTCTCTTGTTTTTGTGGAAGTCCCGCCAATCGGAAGCGAATCGCAAAGCGATATCAATTAGCAACAGAAATGTCACCGCAATCTCCGAGATATCGATGAATCTTGCACGAGAGTCTGACATATTAGCACTCCGGAGAGCTTGAACTACGAGGCCATAGACGATAATCAAAATCCACAGCCAATAGGTTTTGTCGTACATCTGCTTTAGCTTACTCACCGGTCGTAGTATATCTGCACTCGTGTCGCGATGATCATCGTCAGCTTGGGCAGCAAACGCACTTGCTTTACCCTCCCCTCTAATAACCAGAAAAGATGAAGTAATGACGGCTATTAACAAGTTCATGAGCCAGAGCATCATAATGACAATCCCGCCGGCAAAGAAGATTGCGGCTGCAAGATAGTCGGAGTCTGTGGTGTAATACATGAGGTCGGTAAACGTGTTACCTGTCATGATAACGAATACAAGTTCCAAAGACTGCCCTATGTTGTCAAAGGTCGCTGTGCCATTGAAAGGAAGTAGGTCGGGAGGAAGTTGAACACAATAAGATCCTTCAGGGCACAAGTAACCTTTAGACGAAGCGGTACCAGGGATTAAAGGGTAGAGAGGATTGGACGAACTGGATACCATCCAGGGGTCATGGGACGAGTTGTCCTTATTAAACTGTCCTCCGCAATATTGAAGGCTATTGATAAATGCTGTATTATTGGTATTTTGGATGTCATCGGGATCAATCCATACGCACTGACGATCGAGACTACCTTTAAAACTCTGTATACCAATAATGGCAAACAGGAGCCAGAAGAAGCCGATGAGGAAAGACACGTTGAGTAGCAAAGGAGTTGCTTTTTTCAAACTTCGAAGAATTATCTAGGTAGTGGTTAGAAATGCAGATGAAGCGAGAACAATACATAACTTACAGCAGTACCGCTCGTAAGTGCAAGCAACCGAAGGATACGTAAGCAACTCAACATGCGGAATACATATAGATGGTAGGTATGTTCCACCCCAAGAATGCTGAGGACAAACGCCACCCAATAAGATACAACCGCTAGGAAGTCGAGTCGATTGAACGAATGTCTGAGGAACGCTCTCCTGGCCAATTGCAGCCGTTGAGCTTGCTCAACAGTGCTGGTCATTGCTTGCATATGAGCGAAGGTATTGACAATAGGTCGTTGTGTATTTGTGGTCTCCTCAGAAGATGATGATGCACGTGCTCTTCTGACAGATGATTTTCGCTGAGGCGCGAATATGGCTCGATACTTGTCCACAATTGCCGCTCTAGCTCCACGCTGGCGGTCTATGGTGCTGTATTCAGCTGCGTTGGCGACAAACCCAGACACAATAATACGTGCTATTAATTCCAGGGTGAAAATTGTAAAAAGACCCAGCAGAGCATAGTCCGTTTTAGAGCCCCAGTCAGCGCGCCGAGGGTGAGTATAAACAGAAGGGGCGGCATCCACGGCAAGGAGAATGGTCTGTATGACGATTAATACCAGAATCGCTGGTTCAGTGACCGGATAAACCAAAAGGTCACAAAGTTTTAATCGAATCTTGTTGTCCGGTGAAAACACGCCCAGGGTCTTTCCTCTGAGAGGGTTAGGAGCAGCCTGTGCTTGCCATTGATCCGTTCCAGGTCCATCCAAAGTCCTTCCCGGAGTCTTTTCAAATGGATGAAGCATGGTATTCGGCCGGTAAGCTGTATCTTCAACATTAGGTTCGTATGATCTACGTGAAGGCATAATTGGTTCCTCGATACTATGTGCCTGTCTTCTAGCACTTTCTTCGATAAGCTCAGCTTCACCACTGAGATTAACCACACGTTGTGACATAGCCCTCACCATCGATCCAGCTCTGGATAGTGCCCCTGCGCTGGATGGAGATCTAGATCTATTCCCAGTGGGTGACAGACTGGCTCCATAACTTTGCGATCTCGCCCTTGTGCCAAATGATGAGAGACCTGCTTCCGCATGCGGAAGATCATCACCTAGCCTAGACCCTCTGTAATCTGATCCTGGTGAGTGGAAGCTGATGGATTGAAAGCTGGATCTATCGTTTCGCTGGCCATCTGGAGTAGTAGGTTGTGCCCCGCTCATTGGTTGAAGGTGGTTCGAATCCGTCAAGGGTATCTGATCAGAATCGGAAGGAAAATAAGAATTATCGTTATCCCCCACGTCCTCATAAGAATTTACATAAGGCGTAAGAGAGTGTTCAGATCCAAAAGACATGGACCTTTCTCTGGGAGCATGAGATAGACTGATGTCCGGTACATTCAAGCCAGCGAATCCCATTGCGGCTTGAAAATCTGCGGGGTTTCCCATCGGCGAGGTAGGTGTTTGTGTGTCATCTTCACGTCCTCTTCCAACAGGTACTTGTAGTCTCAAAGGCACCGCCGAGCCATCTGTTCGCTGTGATCTGTCCGCTGGACTAGGAGAGAAATCTTCTAGCCTTTCGTACCCGGTGCCGGCATTTGTGCTGCTACTCATCGGACGAACGCCTCCACCCCCCAGAAAACTCCTCCCTCGTGTGAGTGGCCGCGCTTCATCTCTTAAATCTCCTAAATCTGCGGGATCGGGTGGTCGGGTTAAATCTCGTAAAGGTATCGATTGAGGAGGACTTGATGAATTATTGGAACCATAGGTATTATTTGGAGGCATTATGCCCAACTCCCACTCCTTAGAAACCCAGCCAATATTCTTCTATGTTTTCGGATCTGCCGTCGAAGGAATGAATTATCGCGACGGTAGTAATGCGCAAGATGCCCCCCAGGATCAAAGACGCGTGGAGCCCTATCGTAGTATTCTTTAAATCGTTATCATAATCGCTAGGACTATATATATTTTCTCCTCAATTCGTTGACCGGAAGCCGTCAAGTTCTGTGTTATTCGATTACGTTGTATTGTATTGTACTGTATTTTATTTTATTTTTATTTTTGGCCTTGTTCTCTTGGCCACCAAGGTCTGAGGTTGACCTTTTGACTTTTAGACTTTTAGACTTTTAGACTTTTAGACTTCTGTAACCAAATCCTTAATCTTACACGAGCTTCATTGTTGCACTTGTGCTACAAACAGTAAGGCTCGGCATGCGACAGGGGTAGACGTACGGAGTTGCTATTTTAAAACAGGGCTCTGTGGTGTGGCTGAGGAAAAGGTACCGGGCTGAGAGGGGTACAGACGGAGGAGTATCAAGTGGTGTAAGCCTTGTAAGGAGAACTAAGGAGAGCACGGATTCATTATTGACCCAATGTTGGACCACAATAGAAAAGTCTCGTATTGTAATATGATTATTTATAAAGGAGGAGGTATATAAAGAGTATTTAAAGATTTGCGTTTGATTGGATTGGATTGGATACTGGATATTGGACACTTTGAAATGTACAAGTGTCGTATCTGTCCTACAGATCTGCGACGTAGGGCGAGGGTACGTACTTGAGCCAAAGTGATTAAAGAAACATGTAAGAATACTTACTCCGCGTACATCCTCGAGTGCAGATGGATACTATGGATATTATTAGATGATATAAATGATCAATGTTGTTCGACTTGAACGGCATTCGGCAACAATATAGTAGAAATGGTTAGTGTGAATATAAAGGTCTAACTATTCTTCAACGTGATTTGTCCAGAACATGGATCGTCACTGCTTAAGCCTCGGAAGTTCGGTTCCTTCGGCACCAATTAATTAATATTATTTATTTATGTAAACCTCATTGGCCTTTCAGCCTTATGATGCCCCATATTACACACATCTGAATCAAGGCGACTTTCATTTTGGAGCGATAAAAATACATTAACCGTTTTTCGGATGAACAGGTGTCTATCATTCTCCTTCCTTGTTGTCCCAGGGAGAAAAAGGTAGGATCCTGGTTGAATGCTTCCATATAAGGCAAGACATAGACCACTCTACCCCCTGGCTACATGCTTCCAAAATACATCATCTAACATATGGGCGAGAGAGTAACAAGTCGGTTTAATACCAACTCAGCCAATCTTCATACCTGCTCTCTAATGCCCTCCACCCTTATGAATACCCAATTGCGTGCCTTTTCAATTCCAAACCAACAACAATGTTAAAATCTGAGCCGCCGTGAAACCAATCAGAATCTTTAACTGTAAATCATATCCCTGGCCAAAAACCCCCTGTACCTGACTCCTTAAAGGCTGTTCTAGAGAAGATATTGCTGAAGTAGATGATAAAACACTATTGAGCTGAGTACCATCGAGGATTTTGGGAAGATGCTTTGATAGATGATTGTTGAGGGCTGTGGTTAAGATGCGAGACCGAGTTGTACTTCCTGTCATGCGAAATTGAACGATTGCTCCAGAGGCGGTGGCTAGATATATGTTAGAGGAGAATTAATTCTGAGAAAAAATGTAAGATATATTTTCCGTCAATACAATGTGGATTTAGCACCAAGAGTATAGTGAAAGAACTGCCCACCACAAAAGCGATAAGGGCCTCGAAGAAATGAGTTTGTCCCGGTATCTTCCCAGAGGCGGGACTCGTGAGTAACAATCCGACGTCGAGTATTTGTATAGTTGTATTATAGAATAGCAGATAGATAGGGGGTATTTTGGTTTTGCCGATGATTGTATTTGCAACGATGCTACCAACGGGCACAGCGAGCGTGTATGCTATTAATCGATATCCGGCTTGCCACGTGGAGTCTCCGTATACAGCCTGTGCTTTTTGAGGGATCTCATTGTGATTATTTGAGATGGAATGCCGACTAGAAAGGACGTCCTTGACAATTAAATAATTGTCAGCCACTGCGTCGGTCCATTTCGTAATCGCAAGTTGATCATCTGCATAACTTACAAAGCTACTCCCATCCAAATTCGATTATCTAGTAAAACCTGGGGAAACATTAGTTCCTGAACGCCCTTGCTGCTTCCCACAAACCATTCCCATACAACAAATCCTATCCAAAGGAAAACAGATATGGTCAAGAGACATATCATCGCAGCCGAAGACCAACTAAAGACAGTTGGGACCTCGAGTAATGCAGTAATGAGGAGAACAGAAGCACTTAAGAGCAGCAATGCACCCATGAAATCGACCCTTTTCAGAAAAGATCGCCAGTGGACATTTATTGGCGGGGTAGATGATCCATGATATGGGAATTTTCTCGGTAGTAAAAAGACGATCAATACAAGAACAATGGCTGATCCAAAGACACTACTATCGAAGTTAGTGAGTTGATAGCGAAGGGGAAAGAGGACATCTACTCCATGAAAAATATCCATCTCCATGTAGATTTGGTATCAATGATACCGCCTATCAATGGTCCAACAAGAGCACCTACAGTACTTGCTACTGATATAAAACTACTATATAACGGATACTTTGGCGGGGGAATGAATTCATAGAAAATCGTTAAGGAGATTGAGAACGCGCCAGAGGCGCCTAAACCTTGAAAGGCACGAAAAATGATTTTACATGATGAAAGATAGGATAATCAGATGCGTGTGATATTTAAAGGGTGGAAGATGTGAAGACTTACAGTTGTAGCATGGATTGAGCAGCGCCACAATCAACGGAAAAGGCAAAGAATATGGAGTTCGTCGCAACATATGTCCATTTCCGACCAAAGACATCGTCCCCAAATAATTAGGAACCCTGAAGATAAAGGTGCTATCCACGAATTCTTTAATTGAGTTCCCCAATTTGTTGCCCGACTTGATCTCGGTATCAATCAACTCGAGACAGACATCGCAAGAAGAAATGCATAGATCAAAAGAATAATTAAGTACCTGTGTAGCTAGCGAGATATGTCGTGATAACCCACGTAGACTCATTGAAACTGTGAAACTCGTTGGTCATAGTTACGAGTGATGTGCTTACAATGGAGACTTCCATATTCGGTCCTCAAGCAGTCATAGTCTGATCCACTGCTGGGCCCCCAGGAGGACAGCAAAAGCGAGCTTCTGCCAAATATGAATGAACATCATGAATATGTATTGATGTACCATGACGAGAATTCCTATACTTCCTCTACAGATTTGCGTCGGTGGTCTAGATTGGAATTATTGTGGGATTTGTGCATAGTGGCAGAATTTGGACAAAAGCGGTGAGTTCAAATTTTGTTCAATCAATAATGCTCATGCGACATCATTCCGTTCCAAATCAACTTGAGTATTCATTACACCGCTGTTCTTCCATACATTTAATGGTCTCAGTCGTCTCAAGTCACTGATTTTGTAATTAAAAACTCCTCCATCCCAAGGACAGTATTAAATCTACCCCAACCACTCTTTTTCACGCCTCCCATTGGCAAAGCAGGCTCACCTCGAACACTCATACTATTGATATGAACAGCCCTATATTTGATATCATTAGCGATAGCCTCACAAGTGTGAGTTCTTGTGAAAGACTCACCCAGACTCTAATCGCTTTGCGATGGCAAAACCTTTTCGCAAATCTTGAGTAAACACGGCTGCTGATAGCCCATACTCGGTATCATTTGCCATTTCCATAGCTTCTTCATTAGGCTTTGCAATTCTGTATGCTACCACAGGCCCGAAGTTTCATCATGCCATAATGGCATATCTTCTTTTATATCTCGATGATCATGGGTGTGAATTTTACCGGAGATGATCCGTTAGTTTCCTTTGGCTGTAATTGCTCAATACTTCCAAGAAGACTGGAAGCTCCTTCTGAGAAAGCTTTTGAGACTACCTCCTGCAATCGAGCTTTTGCGGCAGCATTAACAAGAAGTGGTGGATCAGGTGCTGATGATGAAATAGCGGAAAAAGTTGCTTTCAAAATCTCCAAGAATTTGTCTGCTATTTCAGCGTGAATTATGATACGATCTGTCGACATGCAAATCTGACCAGAATGCAAAACACCGCCGAGAATACATTCCATGGTGGCTTTTTGCAAATCAGCATCGGCACATCCGATCGCACTGTTTTTCCTCCAAGTCCATCAAGCATGGTTTGAGGTTCTCTCCGCAAGTACGAGCGATCTTGTTGCCTACTTCCGTGCTTCCTGTAAAATTGATCTTCCTCACTGCTGGATGTCTGATTATAGCGTTTGTGACCATGCAACGTTGGTTGGTTTGACATAAATAATGTTCAGAACACCTGCTGGTAGACCAGCATCGTGGAATACTTTTCCCAGTGCCCAATAACATCTGGTGTTAATTCAGAGCCTTTGAGCACTGTTGTGTTTCCAGTCGCAATTACAGTGGCTGCCGCGCGCATGCCTAATGCAAATGGCGCATTGCTTCAAGACGGATTAGCTGTGAAAATAGCTATCGAAGACGGAAAAACTTACAAAGGTGCAATTCCTAATATCACTCCATATGGCTCTTTCCAGATCATAGCACTTTGTCCCTCACCTGCAACTGTAGGAACACTACCAGTCATTAAGGGAATGTGACTTGCAATATCTCGCAGGATTGACACAGCAGTAGGAAGAATCCATCCTTGGACCGGCCCTACCACTCCACCCATTTCTGTTTGCATGATGTTTCCATATTCTGTTATTCTACTCTCCAAAAGATCCGCTGCTTTGAAGAGTAGTTTCTGCTTCTCCGATGGTCTAACCTTGGACCAGGAAGGGAAAGCCTTCTTTGCAATTTCGACAGCTCGAATTGCATCTTCAGAGCTTGCGGACGCTGCTTTCCAGCAGGCTTCACCAGTTGTTGCACTCACGACGTCGAATGTACTAGTGCCATTCTCTTCTTTCCCGTCAATGATTAAGGAAATCACGAGATCTGGTTTGGATTCAGCCATATTGTGTATAGATGTGCAGAATGAGAGGTGTCTTGAAATTAGAGGTACTTGTGTTTGCAGGTAGTAACCCACGGCTTAAGAACAAATTATCGTACTTGAGAAGTGAGGTACTCATGCGAGATTATGGCTCAGCCGTTGGTAATTGTTGGTTCATCCATGCTCGAAAATGCATATGCATGGTAGCCTGGCATATTATACTATATCTGGGTGGTAATGTTACACTAAATACTGCCTAGTATATCGCGCAAGGGCGCAAGCGGTAACGAGATACGATATATTCCCAGAAAGTTTAGTATTTGTCACCTCTATTCATATTAGAGTTAAGTAGGCACTTTTCTTGCTTCGTAGTGCTGTCCATTGTTCGAGCTAACACTTGAACAACATGGACAAGCAAAAATTCAAATCTTATGTATTTTGATGCGGTTGCTGAGGCTTCACATCAGGGTTTACTAATATTCTTATTGGTTTGACGACGAGTGTTTTCAATGATTTAAATTTGACCATAAAAGCAAAATTTACTACTAGTTTGGTTTCTGGAAACTCTGTTCATATATTACTTTTCTTAACTTCGTCCTCCGATTCCAGTAATATTTTCTTTTTCTAGAGAACATAATTGTCAGTCATAAATTGTGCTCGACCTCTTCTAAAATCTTGTGATGCCTATCAGTCTAGTGATAATACCGTAGAGATACAAAAGCCCTACAGGACTCCGTCTCATCTTTCTCCTTCTTCTTCACTCCATGACCCCTAACCCCCTTCCACTTCTCCTCCCACCTGCCCCACCTGCGCCTAAGCGATCCCCTTACCCGTCCCATTAGCCCACTTCTCTGCCCATCCCTTCACATCCTCAAACTCCTACAAACCCTCTCACTTCCCATCCAGTCGTATCATCCGTCATTGGATCAACATATTCTAGATTCGTATCGGCGGTACACATTATCGCACGGCGCAAATAATCGAAACAATGCTTTTGATGTGCGGTTTCAATATGTGTATGAGCGGCTTTCTGTTCGATATATGGATCTAGTGGTGCACCAGCTGCGCGCGCGATTTGATAGTGCAGGTCGTAGTAAGAGGTGCGGAGACTATGCTGCGGAAAGTGTTAATGGTTCGTGATATGGGGACTGGAAGACGTGGGAGGGAGAGGGGTGGGGTGTTAGAGGGAAGGGGCTAGTACCAGACAGTGTAGTTGATGGAATACTGAGACACTCTTTACAATTGGTGCTATCGCAGGTCGATAGATGAATCCCCTTCCCACTTTAAAGTTGTCAACTAATTAGAACCAGTGCTCGTACGGACGTATCTAAATACTAACCCGGCAGTAAAGATCCCCAAGCAGCTTCCGACTCGGGCGTCGGTTTCATCGAAAATGTAGTATTAGGATACCAAGTTTCTCTCATTGATCCTGGAGGTACTGTAATTCACACCATCAGCCAACATCTAATACCCAATCTCTATGTTCAAGCCAATATCAAAACAGCACATCAGACATCGCCGCACACATCATCCAATCTCAAAATTCTCATCCCAAAACACCACTCATTTATAACTTACCCGATAACCCCAATTCCCTCTCCAACCTCGGAAACCTCCGTCCAACAGCAGCTCCAATCCCAAATGACATCAGAGATAATAACACAACAATAAGTATCTGTACCCATCCACTTTTTCGTAATGGGGTTCGAATACTATCTCTTTTTATAGCTGCATGTTTGTGGTTCTGGTTATCCACTTCATCTTTCCCTGCGCGCAATTCTTCGTAGCCGGCAGGACTACGTGGGCTTAGTGGCAGTGGCATTTTGGTTTATCTTCTACGCTTGGGCTTGAATGCCTTTGGATTTCTTTTCTCTCCTTTTCCCCAAGTTTTGGAATAGTGTTTAGGAAGTAGATTGTAGTCCAACTAGCTACCCGTTCGTTCGTTCAGTAATAATCCCAGATCCAAAGTCTCTTCTAAATCTCACAACAGCAATAATTCATGAATCGATATCGTGATGTAAGCCAAGTGCACCCAGTACGCCAAGTACAAAATATTCAATTGGAATATTCTCAAGCAGTGTTGAAATCCCAACAAAGGACCTTTTGCCTATGGTTCATAATTTGCAGGTGTTGTTAAGTTGGACAAAGGGGGTTTTGATATAATTTCCAGATAAGGGCTTCAATAGGAAATTGAGAGGTTTTATTGGGTGGGGGTTGGATATTAGAATATGGGAAAGGGATGATTAACAGTCTTTGGGCGGTTGACAATGGTGGCCTGGGTATGGATTGGAGGGAAAAGGAAATGCATTGGAGTACTTAGGTATTGTCAGAAGATTTGTCGAGTGATGGATGTAACTTTGCCTACTTTTAATTTGTTAATTTGGATATATTCCATTCATTCACTCATTCACAAGCCAAATAACACAGAGGAACAGGTTTTATCCACCACATTCTATAGCTCGAAATCTACCAATACACGCATGAGAGCGCAAATAAACAACCACATCCCTAAAATCACACAGTGTATGGGTAGAAAGCATACATATAATCAAAAACTCCACATCTTTCCACTAAATCCGTAACACAATATAAAGGGGCTTCGCTAGAAACCCCGTGTTACAAGTACACGTGAGATGAGCATACATCAAAACACCCAACTGGAAAGAGTAACCTCTGCGTAGAACCGTCAATTTCTGTGCTAATAAGCCACTAGGTATCCAAACGGCAGCGTTGATTACATACATCGCCAATCTGCCCATCAAAGCATCCTACCTACCACACCATCCAAACATGTCACCACCATACAGAACTCATCTCGCTCTCTCCGAATCTCCTCTAGCTCACCAGCACTAATAAAATCCTTTGTCTAAATCACATCATGGTCCAGTGACTTTCTCCTAACAAACAACATAATTGATTGATCTCCATCTCCAAGACAAAGAAAAAGAATTGAGAATTTTTCGAAACCAATTTGTTGCATATCTGAACTTCAGCGCGAATTGATAAAACTTGTATTTTAACGCGCCGTATGAGTTTTATACCGTTGGTCATTCAATACCAACCATTTCTATTAATTCTGTTACCGTAGCCTCCCCCTCACTTTTACTTACCGCTTTCTTACAAATCCCATATCATCTCTTGTCCCTCCCGCCGAATATCAATATCGTTACTTCATACGTTAACTCGCTTGACCCCGCCCAGTCCGATCTCCTCATCTTCACTCACATCTTTCTCAAAGAAACCCCCCTCCTGCTCCTCCTCATTCCTTCTCAATCAAGCCGAACTCACCCATCCCATTCCGTACACTCATAACTAACCCAACGGTAACTTCCACCAGCAACCCCCTCTAACTACTCCCATCTCCTTTGTCCTTCCTCCACCCAACCTCATCCTAACCTCAAGCATCACCAACAACCTCAGTTCCTGACGCTAGAACACTTCGCATTCCACACCAACATCAAACTTGCACTACTAAGTGAATAAATAGATAAATCCACAGCTAAAAAATGAATATCAAAAGAAATTGCCTTGATCTCCCATTAACAAATCAGGAAGGGACAGGTACATATTCCCATCTCAATATCATCCATTTTCAACCATCTTAACATCCGAATTCATTACAAAACCATCAAAATATCAGTAATCAACCACCTACTCCTCTCATCTGACGCCTCATTCCCCCCTTAAAACCCCGTCCTAGTATTCCAATTTCCAACTTCCAATTTCCCAATCCAAAAATTCTGCGAATACGGTACTCGTATATATTTTCCAGCTCGGCGACTAAAAATCCTCTCATCTTCTCTTTCTTTGTTCGCTAGTCTCTCAGAAGTCATCTGCCACTCATCTTACGTACTAACTAGTCTTCTAGAATTCAAATCTCTCGTGTGATACATATGAGATATAAGATAAGCGATGCGGTAAGTACCTTGTATCTAGATGGTATTAGGCATATTCGTATACACAACAGATATATACAGTAACATAATGGAATCGAGATGCTGGGTGTTGGTTTCCGTAGTTCTTCAGTTCGTGGTTCGTACGCCGTAGAATTCTCACCACTTTCCCATCTTCCCTTCTCATCCTCCTACCGTATATGTATCTTCTTCGTCGTCTTCCATTCAAACCCACTCCCCGCACCATTTCATCTTGTATCGTATCAAATCCTCACATTCCACAATTTCCATTCCATCTCTTCCCCTCATCCTCTTCTCCCCGTATCCCCTCTTGGCACATCAACTTTCTTTATCCCAAAATTTTTGCTAGAGCTCACTAGTGCAATAATCTGCTAACATCGTGTTGTAGCATGGCGCGATACGATATCTGTAAATCCAGTCTTGTCCATATGCATTTTCCACTGATATTCCCTTCTCGTCAGCAGATCCTCTAACCCCCTTCCACCTTTCCTTCTTCGATGAGGCAAGGCGCGCTAAGGTGATTATATTCCATTTCCCATCTAGCTGTATGCGCAGGTAATTCGCCATCTGCCATCTGCCATCTGCTATCCATCAGCTACCATCGGCCATCCCGAATAGAATCGAATCGATGACCGCCATCTCGCCATCTGCCACCTCATTGGCCAAAGAAATCCCTTCAACCAAACACCCTCCTTCCACACCCTTCCATCTCCCTGCTCCCAACCCCCAACAGATACTCACCTCCTCTTCACAATCGGGAAATATCGGAGCCCAATCCAATCCAACCCGATGCAATCCAAGCCCCCAGACGATTTCTCCTTCTTTCCCTCTTCCAAAAAAAGCCAATAAATCCCTCTCACCGTTCTCTTCCCCTCCTCCTCCCGGGGACAACCTCGCAATTTATTTCTCTCTTCTTCCTCACCTATCTACCCAACTACCAACTCCCCAACTCAAAAACATATGTAAAGAAGATTGGGCACGAATGCAAATATTCGTAGGGATGTAATTATAAAGATAAAACAAAAAAGCCGGGGAGAGCACGTACCTTACCTACCTACCTACATGCCTATCCATCCTATGTTTGGAGATATCATTAAAAAGTTCAAAAAATTCCATTCATCCCGCTGCAGTGATGAGAAAGAATAAGGGGAGAATGACAATGAGAGTTTCTCATGAGAAGGAGAATTCATAAAGGTTATTTCTGTGGATGGATTGAATGATTGAATAAAAAAATTAATAAGAAAATAAAAATGATAAAGTGATATCCAAAGAGCTGAATTGGTTTGAGTTGAATTCAATTCAATTAAAGCAAACCATCTATCCATTCATCCGCCCATTCAAAAGAAAAAATTGGTTTGATTCCCAGCAAAGAAGCCAAAGAAAGCAAAAGTATTCACAAGAAAGACCTTCCTTCCATCTCAAACTTTTCAAGAATAATAACCCTTCATTTCATTTTCATTTCTCACGACAAACTAAACAAAAATAGCTTATCCATCCGCTACCCAAGCAACCGGGAGTGAGTGGAAGTGTTCCAGCCCCACTGCCCTTAGCTCATATACCAAACAAATGGAACTAATGGAACTAATGCACATAGCCGTAAAGCTGACGCCACACTTTCTATATGTGACTTAAATTGATATGACCACCCAATGAATGCTTTATGGCATCCTACATCACTTTACTCTACTTCATCCACCTCATCAAAATCAACCTGCCATATCCTATCCATAATCAAGTTCATCTAGGCCAACATTTGCATGCTCAAAAAGCTCAGGCGCAATCTCCAAATGCTTAGAGCAAGCAAAATGTGCATCAAAAGCCTCCAGGACTAATGTGACATATCCCGAAGAAAGGTACTTCAGAGGGGGCTAGACCAATATCCACATTCCAGTAATCCCAAAACAGCAATCTTGTGCAACCACAGCCAATTCTCAACATTCCTCGCAACTTGCCGGTTTATGGATACCTAGCTTATTAGGAATCTACAGAGACCAGAGACACCTAATATGCAACAGTAAAATTCCTTGCCACTTAATGAATGTACCCTTCAAGCTGCGAACCCTCTGCTCTTGCATGCACGAACTGGTGGGGAAGTGCATTTACATAAAAGAGAAATGTATTCTGGGCTTGTTTGTGTTGAGCCTCGAAAGAGTCATCTCTGATTTGTCCAGAATGTATTGTTGTGATTGAATTGAATTGATGTCTTGTTGGGTAAAATAATGTAGGGTTACATGGAGAGATACAGCTTGATATAGATTTCTGAGACAAATAAGATAATCATCTTTTGAATACCTTTTCTCAGTTTCAAAGGACTGAAGAAAGAGCAATTTGACAATTGCATGCAATTCATATGAGCAATAGACGCGCTTCTGGAAGGTTTGTAGATGCGCTTATGTGATGTGACTTTGAAGTTGTCGAAAACAGTGATTGGCTGAAAACGGTTCTTTGCCCAATTCATACACTAGCTTTCATCACTACCATTCTCTCGAATACATAAAGACCTGCCCAAATCCTTTCTTTTGATTTATTTTTCAAAACAAAGGCTCTTACACGGCTAGAATATCGTGCATAGAGCAGGAAAGTTTGTTGCTTACTTTCAACAGCAACTTCACCACGACTACAGCAGAAGACAAAGAAAATTATTTTCTTGACACTATTGCAACCTTAGAGCCTCTGAATCACTATCAGGGGTACTCATCACTGGACACTTACATTTAATTTGCTTGACACCACGGTTCCAGAACATAAGCCTCCGAAGGAAAGACGGCGCGGCCTGCAAGAAGCCACAGGTTCATCCCAAACTTTCTGATACTGCACGGTCCTGAGAGTAAAGGAACATGATCCCACTTGAATCACCTTCTCAGACCTCAACCTAAATTTGGTACTTCAGATGAACCATTTACTCTTCAAAGAACTTCTTTGGAATTTCCAGAACTTTGAAAAGGAACATCTATCAGGTCTCATTTGCTTCTTACAATCCTTCTCTGGCCGAGGTTCAGAAGACATTCATCAACAACAGCAAAAGTAACAGCAAGTAGCCATATATCTCACCACACAGAAAGGGCATAAGTTGAAAGCGAGCCTACAACAATTCAACACTATTGTCACAATAGATTGGACGAGAATTCATTTAATTGCCACAGCCTCTGTGGCTAATAATCTGGTTGGTGAATTTTCTACACTGGTAGAGGGCCGTTTATAAGCTAGTGACCAACATCTCCAAAAGACGACTTCCTTCTTTCACTGAATTTCCGAAGCTTCCATACCAGGATCAACATGACGTTATCACCACCACCATCAAGAAGTAGCGAAATGTTTCAACATGATCTTCATCATTTAGTGGCACATAATGCGAACACGTCTTATCCGCAACCAAAGTACGAGCAAGATGAAGGCATACATATGCAGACACATTACGATTCGCCCCTTTCGCACGAAGATCAATTCGTACGCTCTCGGCAACAGCATGCTAGCTATCCATACCAGCATCAACATCAGGACTCCGGACTAGGGATTCAATATGTGAGTTGCTGAGCAAGGCTTGCCCACTTTGTCCAAACTAATTGTTGATCCAGGAGTATCATGATTTTCAGACACCCATGTATCAGGATCAGTACAGTACTCCAGCCAGCTCACCAACTCCTTCATCTCAAGATATGATAAGAACGAGAAGTGGTCTTACGATTCAAAGAGGTGGACAACAAACGTTGAGGCCTATGCCCGAGGGGCGTCATCGCGCAGAGAAATCGCCCAAAGTGAAGAAGGCTAAAAAAGAAAAGGTGAAAGCGGAGAAAAAGGTGGCCAAGCTAGATAAGCCGTTGAGCGAGCTTACCAAAGATTGGAAACACGTTCCAGTCGCAGATATCGATACATACGTGAATAGGTCGGCCGAGGAACGACGTAGAGAGGTAGACGATGGTAAAGTCCCAGGGAAAGTGAAGAGACCAATGAATTCCTTCATGCTTTACCGCAAAGCATATCAAAATCGCACCAAGGATTGGTGTTTACAAAATAATCATCAAGTAGTGTCTCAGGTTTGTGGTGATAGTTGGCCGTTGGAACCCGAGGCTGTGAAAGAGCAGTTCAGTGAATGGGCTAGGATTGAGCGAATTAATCACCAAAACGCACATCCGGGATACAAGTTTTCTCCAACGAAACCTGGCGCCGGCAAATCCTCCAAGAGGAAGATGTCTGAAGATATCGCTTCTGATGATTCAGACTTGACTGATTTTGATTGGCAAGGAGTAGGTCAGTCAAAGAAGAGACGGAACTTTCGAAATCCACCACGGCCCATGCTGCAACAGCCTGTCATGTATCCTTCAACAAGATCCGCATACCACTATTCCTCACGCGAACATTCTATGGAGCCAAACTACGACAATTATAACAAATCCTCATACCAGGTTGCGAACCCAGGAAAGCAACCTCCTGCTCAGTATAATCAGGCAGGCATGACTGGAGAGTATTATCAACAGACTATTCGCAGTAACCCCTTAGTAGCCGGTGTTGAAGACGTCATCATCAAGAAGACCCCAGCTCCAGGAGTTCATTCGTACCAAGTCAGTATTCCAGGAGGACATGAGTTCGATATAATGCACCCACAACCACACTATACACCCTCCCCTGGGCCGGATTTCAGGATAGACCCTTCCTTGATGACTCAAGATCATGGCCAATACGACAATACCAACTATCATGAATCTCATCCTGATGGAGTGTATTTTGGTAGTAATCATGACGCTGAGCAAGCATGGCAGGCCGGATACGGAATGAACGATAGAGAAATGGATCCTGCTCTTCAGTATCTCCCTGAACAGCATGCAGACAAAGGGCAGATCCATGATCAACACATGGATGTCTTGCGCGGACACCAAGAAGGGTGGCAGATTGAAACACTAGATAGTGGCCGAGAATTCGACAACTGGATGGGAGCCGGAGAGGAATAAATGATCGAATGTTGATGGAGTTCGGGCGGGTTGCTCGTGTACATGGTTTCTGGGGTGCATTGGGTACGGAGAAGGAGGTCTCGTTATGTGCATTTCTCGTGGTATTGGCGTGTGGTGTGATAGTCTGACAATTTTCTTGTGTATGGAGAGGTTCGACGATTTTTGCGAACATAAATCTCTCCATGATGTAGATAGGGATGGACGTTTTGCCTCATATCCAGCCACATAAATGAGAGCTGGTATCACCAATGTCCTATTCATAAATCCTCCTGTGAACTTTCACGAAGCAATCTGGTTATTTACCATATCTTGCTGTATTGTATATGATTGAGAATTTATGGACAAGGGGTTTGTTAATAAGGAGGGCTGACGAGCCTTAACAAAGACATTGTCATGCAGGTTTCCGTTCCAGTCACATTGTCCTATTGTGATTGATGTACCTTCTTAAAAGTGCCAGACATGAATGAGTTCCTAAATAAAAACTGCTCATTGGCATAATTGACTCCTTCGTTGTAAATCATATACCTAATAGTAGACATTCAGATTATACTTGAAAAAGTAAAAAGGTTCAAATGAGTGTAGTGAGGTGAAGTGAAGAAAGAACATTAGTTCGAACGCAATGTGGAACTAATTTTAGATGCCAAGACCCACTTTTTCGTGTCGCGACTTTTGGATATGTTTCTTTGCTTCTTCGCGACTTCACAAACAGATTACCTCGATGAGTCCAGGGCGATATTTAAATATATAAGGTACATAGTAGAAAATGTATGGGGATGTAGGGAACAAATTGGTGAGTCAAATATCGCCCACCATTTAAATCTTCTAGCTAACAATATCCAGGTTCAACATGCCAAAAGAACTCAAAAACTCGAACACCTTCCTCCATATCAGACAGAGATGGTCCGCGCAGTCACTAGAGAAGTTAGAGACTTAGATAAAGATGCTTCAAATATTCTGCAATCAATTGGTGGTTCCTTTGATCCATCTGCCGACCCTGCGACAGCATGCACTCTCCTCGTTGATCACTTGTGTATGCGAAGGAACAAACGTTGTCTCCTTGCCTACCATCGTACAAGAACAGACAAGCTTGAAGAAATGGTTTGGAATGGTAGTGACGTATTGGATCTAGCTGCGCAGCAACATCAAGTTACGAATGAGGGACAGAATGGAGGCGCAGATTTGGGAAGTGGTGAGGGGAATACCAGTAGTCTAAGTCCCGAAGAGGAAGAATACGTGAGGCAATATAGCGATTTACTCGCTGCGTTTAAAGGACACTGGACTGACATTGATCTTACTGGAAGCCTTGAACCTCCCAGGGATTTGTTCATCGACGTTCGGGTCCTCAAGGATGCCGGGGAGATTCAGACAGAATATGGGTAGGTAATACACACCAATTATATGGACGTTGACTGACTTGATTACAATGCAGTACCATCAACCTTACCAAGAATTCGCAATTCTACGTTCGCCAAGGTGACGTCGAACGTTTGATCGCTCAGGGATACCTTCAAAAGCTCAGCTAAACAGGAGCTTCCACCACACAACTGTGAAGCCAGTACATCACACGGCGATGTTTGTTAAATTCAATCGAACAAATGGATGAGAGAAGTCCATCAAACATTGCGGGAGGTGAATGGATTGGGATGTCAATGAAAGACTAGAGTACAGAGCGCTCTCCACCCATGGAACAACACGGCTCTGTGCTCACCAAACCTAGCCCGCTGAAGAGAAAGACCCTATTGCGGCCGGTGCCGGAGATTTGTGGGTTAGTGGGGTCCCCTATTCTCATTTGGGCCCAAAACGGTGAATAGGAGTAGGAGAAGGCGACGAGAATTGTGCAGTTTACACGACGATATCTTGTTATTTCTATTACGATATAAATACCACGCGAAGAGTGGAAGTATTATTGTATAGTGTCAGGTGGGAGACAAACAACAAAACTTTTCCGTAACCAAGCTTTGGTGCGGGGTACATTAAACGAAAGGTGTGTAAAGAAAGGTACCAGGAGATTTCAAGATGATCGTATTCTGAAAATACCTCAAGTTAAACTGGGAGGATCCTATTGGATATGATGAAGGCTTCTATGGTGGCTGCTGAGTGGGAAACCTTCTCATGGTCGTACAACTTGCTTCTGCGCTGTAGCCGGCATGCATCAATTGAAAGGTTGACGGTCTCTAATCACTTTGTACCTTGGCTTTACCTAAGAATTGGTTACGAAAGCGGTATTTCACATTGGAGTACTACTGCTTCTATTGTACGAGGCCACTTCTCCGGAAGTTAGTTTTGATCACTTAGAATTGAAGTATCCATGACTTGAGAGGTGACATCTCATTCATGACCAACAAAAAGCTAGGTATCATTAAATTCTGACAGCCTTTTGAGCGATATAGCAGTTTAATTGGCGAGGAAAGATTCCCATCATTTGATCTAGGTAGTGCGGTGTAATGGAGTAACAGTGAAACCAAAAAGCATGGCAAGCTCTTGGCTATGGCTTTGGCGCAAAAGAGGATGGTTTGGCAACGGTTTTCGCAACACATACAAATGAAGGTTTGTTTTGGTAGGAAATACCACAGCATCGGCAACATGAATGGATGTGGGTTAAAATCTGGGTTGAGGATTCTAATTACTTCAATATTCGATAATAAAAATGATAACCAAGATGATCAAATATAAACCTGCAGAGATGAAGAAAAGGTAGGTATAGAAGATGTAAAAGAATACTTGAAATATTTTATTCTATTAAATCCATATACCAATACAAAGCGTGCTCTGTATAGATAGTGACACAAATTCCAAATTCCCATGATATGATGATACAACATGGGAAAGGATTGGAGTAAATCGCATACCGAATTTATGATCCTTGAGATTTTAAAGTGGTGCAACTTGCAAGAGATAAAAGGCAGAAATATTCCGGTGGGGAGAAATGACGTGACCCCACCTTTTCCCCACTTATACGGAGTAAGTCCACGAGTCCACCATGGGTCTAAACGTTATCAAGCATACGGAGTAAAAATAAAAATAAATTTTTCTCCTGGTGTCGGTATGATATCGAGACTCTCTCCAACCTCTAGCCTACCCGCCTACTAACTGCAATCTAAATTCTCACTGCTCCATCTCCAATTCCTCTTTCTCTCCAACATTTTTCAAGCTATCATTGTGAATTTGTGATTCCTCCTGCATCCGGTAAACTGTGGCTGCATCCCGATTCCATCATCTGTACGGTCAAGGTATGAGTGGAGATATTCTGATGGATATTCCAATTTGGCTTATGCAAGCTATGATGCATCCCAGGAAAAGCTATTCCCCTAGTGAATATGAATTTCTTACCGAGCACGCAAACGTACGGAGAAGGAACGTACGGAGAAGTACGTAGGTTAACCTCCTAGGTACACACACTTCTTTTTTCTTTGATAGCATTTTCTTCTGGTCTAGAAAAGCTTCCATTACTTCATACATACTAGAACTTTCTACATATTGCAACAACACATTTGTTTTTCTCCACATTTTTATTTTATTTTAGTTAATTTTGTTGCATTATTGTATTGTGTTTTCCAATCCAAAAGTCCAAAAGTCCAAAAGTCCAAAAGCCCAAAAGCCCAAAAGCCCATACATCCAAACAATCACATTGATTCATTTGTTCATTCAATCTGATATCTCCACCTATCTGCTAAGTCTTCAAGCTACAGGGAAATGCCCAAGGTTGAGCCATCAAACTACACTACTTGGGACTAAGGGGAAACTAGTAGCTAGATCTTATCTACAAAGTAGACTTCCTGAACTTTTCCATAATTCATTTTTATTCGTCAATTTCAATTTCAATTTGCATCATTACAATATCTTCTCCCCGTAGAACTTGCTTCTGCGCTCTGCGAGCGTGAGGCAGATACGAAAATTTGGATACCTAGGTAGCTTACCACACATCGCACTCTTTTTTCTTTCTTACCTCTGACCTGCAAAAATTGTCAATAATGTCTTTCCCCTCACCGGCTTCAGGGCCAGCCCGGCGTCGTGGAGATTCTGTCTCTTCATACTCTAGTCCCCGTCTCATCCCTCGTTCGTCCCCTACCCAAGATGGCGTCTCCAATATGCCATCCGATGTGAATCACGGCTCCTTTCGAGGTCAATCTTCTCAGCAAAATTCGACTGCTAATATTGCCGGCACTTCACACCAATACCAACCTACACGTTCTTTTGTTCATCTCTCCTATCGTGGAGACCCAGGTACGTGTCACCTCACCTCATACTTCAGATGAGATATCGCAATTGATCATCATCTGACATCATCGCAGCACCCGTAGACAGCGCACAGTATGCCCGTAGTGTTAGAGAAGATACCGCCGAGCTTGCATCATATGCCCTGTCCGACACCCCAGCCGCAGTTCCTCCTTCCCCTACCCGACCACGCACAACGCAGATGCATCTCGAATCATACTTCAATGGAGGTGAAGAAGAGTCAAGGCTGAACCGAGAAACTGAAACTTCACGTCACGAAACTATAGAAGAAGTGTCTGAGCCAGTCACTCCAGAGGAGCGCTCCTCGAGCAGCCTTCCACAAAGCGCATCTGGTATAGCCAATATGCTCAGATCCTCTCCTCCAAGTACATCACCGCCAAACACAGATGGAGCATTTGACTATGGAGCCATTGAAAATAATCATGATGATACCGATTCGCCGAATGGCCGTCTTATAATTACCTCACAAGGTGTCAAGATGGACTCGACGGAACGCACCCCCTTACTGTCTAAAGTTTCATCCTCGCATACACATCCCAATTGGATCAGAGGAGATCACGATCTTGAAAGTTTACAAACGAAAAAAGTACCAAGTTGGCCGAAGCTACAGAATGCCTTGAAATCAACTAGAGAACGAAGCACTACCGTTGTTGAAACTGCCTTCAACCCCAAGCGCTGGGATAAAAAGGCAATATGGCAAAATTGTGTCATGGCACCGGTTCAATCTCTCCCGTCAGTACTTTTAGGAGCGCTTCTCAATATCTTGGATGCGTTATCATATGGAATGGTATGTTTAATTGCTGCTTACACCGATTACACAGGACCTTAAGAACAGTAAAGTAAGCCCTAATCCCAGGGCTTACTTCTTCTATTACTTTTACTTCTAACTTTCATTGCCCGTTCCAAGCCAATGACCTTCAAATCCAGAACTTACTTTCATTATGCCTATTACATGCTAACATTTCTTTCTGTAGATCTTATTCCCTCTAGGACAGCCAATCTTCGAAAAACTTGGTGCTGCTGGAATTTCCATATTTTATGTGAGCACAATTATTTCGCAATTAGTGTTCTCATGCGGTATGAGTACATTCAAAGGAGGTATTGGTAGTGAAATGATAGAAGTTGTACCATTTTTTCATAAAATGGCGTTTACGATAATGGAAGTCGTTGGCGAAGATAATCCCGAAGCCGTCATCGCGACTACTATCACGTCATATGCGGTTAGTTCCATTTTGACAGGTCTTGTATTCTTTTTGATGGGAACCTGTGGCTTTGGTTACATCGTTGGATTCATTCCCAGACACATACTCATAGGATGTATTGGTGGTGTTGGTTGGTTCCTCATCGCTACTGGGTTTGAGGTTACAGCACGCCTTGATGGGAATTTAAATTACGACTTAAACACTCTGAACAAGATGTTTGAGTCTGATACAATTGCTTTATGGGCTATCCCTTTCGCCATAGCTCTATTTATTGTCTGGTCACAAACCAAAATTACCTCGAAATTTTATTTATCCGCTGTCATCATGGTCATTCCAGCAGTATTTTACTTCTTTGTCCTTTCATTGGATGAGCTGGAAATACCTAATTTACGTCAGAAGGGCTGGATTTTTGAGGGACCTGAAGCTAATGAGCCATGGTGGTATTTCTGGACCTTGTACAAATTCCATCTTGTGCGTTGGGACGCCATTATTGAAACAGTCCCTGCTATGTTTGCTTTAACATTTTTTGGACTTTTACATGTTCCTATCAATGTTCCCGCATTGGCCATCAATGTTGGAGAGGATCATCTTGACTTGGATCGAGAATTAATCGCACATGGTGTCTCAAATATGCTATCTGGATTTGCTGGAAGTGTTCAAAATTATTTGGTTTATACCAATTCGATACTTTTCATGAGATCAGGTGGTACTCGTCTGGCTGGTATTTTACTTGCCGCCACTACGTTCGGTATTCTAGTGTATGGACTCATCTTAATCGGGTACATCCCCGTCATGATGGTTGGGGCTCTCATCTTTGTACTTGGATTCGAACTTTTGGTTGAGGCAGTTTGGGTACCAAGGAAGAAGTTAAAGTCCCTTGAGTATTTGACAGTAAGTTATGATTGAATAAAATTCCTCTTCGATTCCTATCACGTCGGATGTTCACATATCTCGATAAAAAGCTAACATATCTAGGTATGCGTAATAGTTATCACAATGGGTGTCTATGATTTCGTCGCTGGAATCTTCATTGGCATTGGTTTGGCCTTCGTATCATTTGTAGTCCAAACCTCTAGGATCCCTGCAGTCAGAGCATCTTACTCAGGTGAGATAGCTGGGTCCACTGTTCGTAGAAACGCTACTCAATCCCGCTACCTTCGAGATGTTGGCCAACAAATTCACGTTACAAAGTTGGCTGGATATCTTTTCTTTGGTACTATCGTCAGTGTCGAGGAACGTATCCGTGCATTAGTCGAAGATGAAGCATTCACTGAAAGACCCATCCGTTTCTTGATATTCGATCTTTATCATGTGACGGGAATTGATTATTCCGCTGCAGAAGCGTTTCTTCGATTGAATCGCATTTTCAGCAAGAAAGGTGTTACCTTATGTCTTAGTGGAATTGATTCTGAAGGTCCTATAGGTAGTCATCTAAGATCAGTTGGTCTTGGTCAAGGACAAGTAATTGAAGATGGTAATGAGGTAACATTATTCGAGGATTTGAATTCCGCATTAGAAAGTTGCGAAAACGAATTATTGAAAACACTTTACGCTAGTCAACAAGCTCGAGCAAATCGAAATGTAACTTCAAATCAATTAGAAGTACCCATAAGCCGAAATAGCCGGAATAAATCATTCTCGCATTCTTTCGATACTCAATTCGGTTCTCCAAGACGTAGTCAACTTTTTCGAATGGCTACAAATGCCTTGGAGGAAACTAGCGTACCTGATATTAAATATTCTAATTTCAAAGAACCCCTTCGCTTAATTCTTCAAACCTTTCAAGGTCTGACCAAAAAGAATGAAGACTTCTGGTTCCGCGTCGTGCCTTTCTTTACTCGTAAAGAATTCCCCGCCGGATCAACACTCTTCCGTCGCGGTGAACCAGCAAAAGGCTTCTATCTTCTCGAGGAAGGTATCCTCCGAGCCGATTACGAATTACCTCAAGGACGTTACTTTGAAAGTATAGTTGCGGGAACCACATGTGGGGAATTACCATTTTTCTCCGAGACGGATCGTACGGCTACAGTAGTGGCGGAAAGAGATTGTGTGGCTTGGTTAATGGAGAAGGCGGATTGGGATTTATTGCAGGAGAAGGATAAGGAGGTTTCCCAGGAACTGTTGAGGATTGGTTTGAAGTTGACTAGTGAGAGGATGAGTGCCATCACTAGTTATGTTTTGACTACTGCTGGATAGAGGTTGGGAAGTTGGTGAAGGGGATGGGAGGGGATGGAATTGGGAATTATTGTAGATGAGGGTGGGTTATTATGGGAGTAAGTGGTTTGGTGGTGGATGATGGTGGATGGTGGTGGTTGTATTTAATGGGTGGATTGATTGATTGGTTGATGAGCGGGTGGATAATGCGAGTATGCGAGCATGTATGTATACACATGCATGAGGGATATTCATTTATTTGTTTACTTGTCTATTTACCTAGTAGTTATTGGTCCACAGTACATTATATGCCTAGGTATCTCATATATACATGTATACATACATGCACGAAGCGAGGGAAGAACAAAGGAAGGAGGAAAGAAAACTTCATAGGTGTAGGTGTAGTTACAGGTACTTAAAATCTTTTGATAATATGAGCGGAGTTTTTTAAATAGGTGTTTGGGATGGGAAATGGAAATGGAAATGGAAAAGTAGGAACTGGGTTTTCAAAAGTAATGGGCTGGGGTGGGAAAATGGGAATTAAAATATTTAAAAGAAAAGTTATGGAGTTTTGTTTGAGTGGATGAGATGTGTGATGAGATGTGTGATGAGATGGGAGGTGGGTTAATGAATGAGTTGAATGAGTTGAATGAGTGAGTGAGTGAGAGAGTGGGTGGGAGGGTGGATGAGTGAATAGGAGGGTAGATGAGTGAATGGGTGAATGTGATTTGTGTGATGTGATGTGATGTGATGTGATGTGTATGATTTATATAGGTTGAGAAGTGAAGGTCAGAGGTTAGACTTTACAATATTCTATTTATATCAATATCATTAAAAAAAACTACGCTGATGTTATTATATAGTCTATCATTCATTACATTACTGACTATTAACTCTTTAATAGAAATATATTCGAAAATCAAGATGATCTATTTATATTTATATAAAAACATATCTCAGTATTCAAATATTCAAGTATCTAAGTTTTTAAATATTTATAAATTATAAAAATAAGATTTTTTAATTATTAATAAATATATTTAGAGAATGAGTAAGAAATTATTTCAAGTTTTTTGATGAGAAAGTTTATTAAATTATAAAATATCAATAATAAAGATCTTTCATTTGAACGAGTCTTCAATCAATATTGGGTTTCTATAGCTTGAACTTTGTATAGGTGTCCAGCTGTTTAGAGAATATCTGTGCAGGGAAATAAAATAGTGCCCTAGTAGCTAACATAATCAATGGTTGTCAAGCTCAAGATGTCTTTGTGTGCATTATTGCTTTCTGCTTGATGAGGGGGTTCAGTGATGAGAAGAAATCCATGGATGCTTGCAGTGATTGGTGGAGTCCAATGCTTAGCTGCTTCTAATTTCTCCATGACAGGTGCGTGGGACAGCATAATACCATGAATAGTTGTAAGGTAGAGAGGCAAGATGATTGCTTCTCTAGAGCTGGATCTGAGAGCGAATAGTAAAAGCTGCTCTGAAGCATGGCGAGAGTACAGTACTTTTATCATTGTGATGGTTACCGCAAATATATAACAGTACTTTTGTAACCTTCTGGATGGCCATTCACGATAGACGGCTGTGTGAATTTAGGTCCTTTGAAAACACGCTGCTCATTTGTCGTATCCAACTGGTACCACAATCTCATGGGATTCGAAATAATTCCACGTGGCTCTACCAAGCTCGATTCGCATGCGTAATGAAGAGGTATTTTTACGAAATGATTTGGCTTGATAGAATGCTAAGGTTGTCAACAAAAAACTGATCAATGTACAAATCAGAAGAGATAAAAGACTCTTGTAGCTAGACGTTATTGTGCTCTCTTTCCCTCAGCAGAGCTTTGTGATAATATTCCGCAGATCATACTCGATAACTATAACTGGGTATGTCTAGTGATATAGCACACGAAAAAAAGATCTTCACTCATGAGGAAAAGCAAGGAACCGAACATCCAAAAAGGGCATGGAAAAACTTGATAAATGGGAACTCGAGACTTTGCAGACTCCGTCGGCTAACTTCGCAAATTCTAGAGTATCGCTGTTTTCGACAGCACTGAAGATGGAGAGTGAAGAGAAGGGTAATTTGAACTGTGGAATTCTAGTGCAAAAGATATGCTGGAATGAGGGAGGATCCTTTGGAGTGGTTCGCAGTGACTGGGTAATATGATACACAACTTTATTCAGGCCCTTTAAAATCTTCAAGCATGCAATTTGAGATGTAAATTCGTGTTTTTCCAGAGTGTGCTGGAAACTTCCTGCAAGGTGACTTCTAAATCTATCAAGTGAATCAATCTTTGTGGAGGTTTTCAGAAAACTATATGTATTAACACGCCCATACCATCGTAGTTTATTAATACTTATTAATGTCTCAGCAAGATCTGTTTTGAGGTGCTGCAATTCGACATGATTTATACCATTTAAGTCGTGCCCATCTACGAAATCCTGAAAAATACCACAATACTTATTCCACTATCAACCTCTAAAGGTTAGCTTCTAATAGTATTGTGTATTTTTTATGATATGATTTAACGACCGAATCAATCGAATCTATGTATCTTAAATTGAGTTCTAGGCATTGGAGTCATTGAGAAGGGTAGACGACTCATTACTGTCGGGTTGTTACGCTGTAGACGGAAACAATGAGGGGCTGAAAGATCTCTTCATCATTGCTTCGCGTTCCCTTGGATGTTGGTGTTTCGAGTGAGTTGGTTTCTCGATCTTCAATTTACTTAAGCTGATATTGATTAGTGGGCAATATACTCAAAGCATTACGCAACTGTTCGGCGGCGCTGATACTGTAAAAGAGGGTGGTCGAGATACGTGCATTCCGATAGCACACTGTGAGGGGAAATGAGGGAGGAAGGTTGATTAGATTATATTGTAACAAATTACTTATAGAGAAAATGGGTTTCACAGTAAATTTGAAATTAGAACGATTTGGATTTAAAGAAGAATATAAAGAATTGATTAATTGTGGAAAGAAGAAGACGAAAGCCTTTCTTTATATTTAATTATGAAAGGTTATATGATTGAACCCTTGTAAACCTCTATGTATATGGTTTGTAACCTCAACTTTCTCACAATACAGATTATAGTTATGTTGTATCGATTTATAAATCCGAAAAATTGGTAACCACTCGTGTAGGCCACAGCATGACCGAGAATTACTCGCAACAAGGCCTTTGATTTCGCCTTCAAGGACTTGTCCCCCAGGAAGCCGTAGAAGTCCTATTGCACCTCACAGCTACATTCGCTTGGACAGAAGAACAAAAGCTCAGCAAGCTACACAAGATTTTTTGGATTTCCTGGAGCTGCTCCTAACTTTGAGGAGAAAATCGTAGAAATTAAGAATAAATTTACATAGTCGATGCTATAATTCGCACAGCCTCGACGTGGGCGGCTGCACAGGAGATAACGAAATTTCCCAACTTCTTGACCGGTACCGATCCTGAAGTTTTGGATATAAATGTACGCTTCATCTCCTATCGCATATGCTGGTCACCGAAGCCATGAGTTGTGTGGTATATTGCCGCTTGCGCTGGTGGTAACGCAGATACGCTACTTCGGCCTATTGAAATAATGGGCGGCCGATTCAACTGTGCTACACGGAATTGCAATGAGCCCATTATTCTGGAGTACTTGTTGACCTATGGCGCATTTGTCGATAATATGAGCATGAAAGGGGTTACTCCTCCTATGCACGCTGCGCGAACCGATCATGTCAGATTTGCTAATATCAATGTCACTTCCATCACAGACCAGATGTTTTTAACACCCACAATCACCTACAACAACCATGAAGTCCTCGAACTCCTTCTCGATCGCTATACAATTCAGCACATGCCAAAAGCCCTCATCTTATAGAACCTATGCACTCAAATTTCACGTAAGGATTGCAAGATATAAACAACACAAAAAAACCACACAATAATATATTACTAAAATAAAACGAAAGCTTCCCCTCTCCTCTCCTCTGTACATCTACCACTTACTTCCTTTCCACCCATTCTATCATCACCCAAACCAATCAACCAACCAAAGAAGGAAAAAAGAAAATGTCCACACGATCCTCAGCATCACCTACAAAAAAATGCAGAAAACACATAAAAACAATCAAATCGTGCAACTCTACCCATAAAAGAATAGAGAAATATTGATATAGGGATCAAGACTGACCGAATAGAGTAGGAGAAATACTTCTATAAAGTCTACTTTTGAGATCCCGTTGGTGATTGTGATTGTGATGTTGAGGTTGAAGATAGGAGTTGTGGATTGTGGTTGCGTTAATAGGAGAATATGGAAATGAAAAGGAGGGAAGTTAAAATGAAATGAAATGAAAAGCAATAAACTATATTGCTAAAGCAGATGCGGTAGCTTATTATCACACAAAGGCAGGGTGATGTGATGTTGAGAGTGACTGAGAGTACGATGAGGAATGATGTGGGCCCAGGATCCTATCAAAATAAGTAGGGTTAATTGCATTTAATAATGTGGTGTTCATTCTGAAAGGGGAAAGTGAACAGAATAAAATACCAGAACCGTATACTGCACAGGCAAAAATGTTTGGAAATGCCAAAATTTGAACTTGAAACTTATGCCATGACATCTAGAAGGGTTCATAATTGGTTCATTGATCTCTCAAAAGCTCTCCCCAAATCATTGTGCTAGCACACCCTTCCCCCGAATCATCTATCATGCAATCTTTGTCACCGAGGTATCGATCGTTTCAATAATTTGGAATCGCAGATAGTTGTTGCGCAAGATATTCATTCCGAGCACCTTGCTACATGATATGCAAAGTGACCCTTTTAACGCTCCAAATACACATCTTGAATGTAAGAAAAGGTGACCACCAGAGATTTCATCCATTTAATCCTCAATAATGTTACCTTTCTCTGAGACGTACAAACCATCCAAGAACTGTTATGACTGTCAGTATAATTTTTTTGGATAAGAAATTTTGATGCCTACCTTTCGGATATCCTTGTTTCGTACTCTGCAGATTTGTTGAATGTCGGCGGCGCATTGGGAAACATCCTCAAGGGAGTTACCAGATAATTGAAGCTCATCCTTAACGTTCTTTGATGGCTCAACAGCAACACCCTCTCTCATTGGAACCTTACGGACGATCTTCTCACCGATGAAGTTTCTATACCAATATAATCAGCATTTCCATCTTCCAAGCCAAATTCTTTCCTTTGAACCATCATACCTGATCTCAACGACTGGGATATCCTCTGGTCCCTTCTCAACGTTGACGTTAATTGGGAAATGTGCGTAGACATATCTCATCTTGTATTTGAAACCCTTGGTAACACCGATGATCAAGTTGTTGATGAGAGTACGGACGGTTCGGAGAGTGGCGACGTTCTTGCGGGCTCCGTGGTGAAGCTCGATCTTGATGACATCCTTCTTTGGCTTGGAGAAGTTGACTGCCAAATGGCTAAGGTCCTTGTGGAGTTTGCCTATTTCGATTGTATTAGATTTGCGGATTGGCTGATTGTCGATCAATGTAGGAATTGTTTACCTCTTGGTCCCTCAACGGTAACTTGGCGGGATTTGATGGCGACCTTGACTATTCAATCAAACCGATCAGTATTCATTCTTCATCTGCAGAAATTTTCCTTCCAATATTCTTCGATGCGCTTCATCAATTCCTTCTAGATTGAACTGCAATCCCCTTTCTTCGAATTTCAACAATCCAATAATGAAAAACACCGTACTTACCACCCTCTGGGATGGTCAGAGTCTCTTCGGAATGAATGTACTTCATCTTGGCCGATTTGTCGAATGTCGGAAATGGCGAAAAGGTGTAATTTACTGGCCGTCGTCCTAGGTAAGAAGTTCAAGATCGCGAAAATCAAAATTGTTGTGGGAAGCGCTAAAAATTCGCTAACGAGGGACCGAAAATGGCAGGAACTTTTGAGGTCACGTGTGCAAGAATTTTTTACTTCACATTGACCCTTCACCTTCACCTTCACCTTCACCTTCACTCCAAGCAAGCAAGAACTTCGAATTTACTATCATCATGCCATGATAAAAAATGATTGAATCGAAAAGACGAAGGGTTTAACTTAAGGTTGAAAGGCTCCTGTCAGCTCACAAAGTAAGGTTATTTATACGGATCTCAATTGGATTCACCACAACTGTCTTTTCTCGGGCCATAAAATAGGATATCGTGGAATGATGGTATGAGGGAGGGAGAAATGAGATACTGGTCTATCATTCTTTGAACTCGCAAGTTTATAAAGGATGGCATTGGGACGTTACTGCTCGTACCCTCAACATGTAATATCCCGATTCATTGCATGAGCGATTGAGTACCTTGACTTAGTCCCTCGTCGATGTATATTTCTTGCTCAACAAAGTCCGTGTCTACTTGATGATCGCATCCCCTCTTAACCGCTGCATGGCCATATAGTTCATTGGGAAGTAAGAAGTATGCATTGATTGCGCATCCATGAATCCATGAATCTCACTCATTAGGGCCCTTTCCAGATGTGTGGTCCGTGCAAATATAAAATATCTGTCATACGTACCTACATATCAATGATCTATCTCTCCATGCAAAAAAGAACTCATTGAATCCTCGTAGCTAAGTGATTTATAAAAACTATCACTTAATAATAAGTATGTCCAAATGTTTGACAGCGCGAATGAAACATGCGTATTCATTGGTTCATTGTTTCACCCCACGTCAGCCTCACTATCCTCTCCGTCCTTCCCCGCCATTTCAACACCACATCATTCTCTCGACGTCTTTTGATACCATCTACATTTCATAGATTACAGCAAGTTCAACGACAATTTTGCACAATGAATACTCAAGAACTCAAAAACTTCCTTGCAGATACACCTCCTAGTATCGTGCAGCTTGAAATCAAGAAGCATTTCGAGGCGCTTTCTGATAAAGAAAAACGTTATGCTCATTATGTTAGCAGGTATGCTCCACTTTAAGAGTTTATATAGGCTCGAATCATCTTTACATATATCATGAACATCGACATTCCGTGAGAGCTTGGCTCTAGCATAAAGCATGCATGGAAACGCATCTATAAACAAACCGGCTGACATGATACTACAGAGCATCTATGAATGGAACTCGTATCACACTGAGACAAGTTTCCCCAGAATCTGAGGATATTTATGATTTCATAATTGAGCTTCATAAATACATTAATGGTGACTGGAGTTCTGCTCGAAAGAAAGCCGGCATCAGTGACGAAGATCTGAAATTTTTCTTAGAGTACTGCGCTCAGGTAAGTCTCACGACACATACAGCAAAGTGAACGAGGAAAAAAAAATAACGACTCATTTTAGTTCCTTGGTAACTGTGGAAATTACAAATCCTTTGGTGATTCGAAGATTATCCCAAGATGTGACGAGAAAGTCTTCGATGCTTTAGCTGCGCTTTCCCCAAAGGCAAAGCAACACTATGAAGCTACTAAAGGAGCTATTTTCCCAACTCAGGATTCTGGATTAATGCATCTCGGATTTTCCGATGATGGACATTTGACCAATTACTATCCTGATTCAACCAACATCACCAAATCTGATATCGTTGCAGTTGGCGACTTTTTGGAACAAAAGGGCTTGCTAGTGGTAAGTGAATTGCGTATATTGAACCCATTCACCATTGACACGTTAGTAGGAAAATACAAGATTGAGAAAGACTCCGGAAGGATCATTCGAACTTTTGCTTGCCTCGGCCGTCACAAGTATTCCTCTTGAAGGCAGTGATATCGGCAAGGAAACCGATTTCGTGATTGAAAAGGGACCGTTAGAGGGCACTAAATTGAAACTCATCTTTGGTGATTACTCGAAAGAGTTGGCTTTAGTTGCTGAGGATTGCAAAAAAGCTGCCGAGAATGCGGCCAATGATATTCAGAAGAATATGTATACGGCATACGCCAAATCATTCGAAACAGGTTCATCACACGTATTCAAGGACTCACAAAGATATTGGATCAGAGATAAGGGACCTTCAGTTGAATCTAACATTGGGTTCATTGAAACCCTGAGAGATCCTCAGGGTGTGAGAGCTGAATTCCAAGGTATGTCTCGAAGACTTCCAATTATCGAGACAGAAATTTTAACACCTCCTGTGATTAGGATTTGTTGCCATGGTAAATGCTGAACGCACTCGTGCCTTTGGTGGTCTTGTCAATGCAGCTGAAAGCCTCATTCCTAAATTACCTTGGGGTGCAGAATTCGAGAAGGATAAATTTTTGAGTCCAGATTTCACAAGTCTAGAAGTTTTGACCTTTGCTGGTTCTGGAATTCCCGCAGGTATAAACATTGTATGTTGTATCAAAAGCATGGTGTCATTAATACTACTGACGAATACTGTAGCCAAATTATGACGACATCAGACAGACTGAAGGCTTTAAGAATGTCTCATTGGGAAACGTCCTGTCAGCCAAAGCTCCCAATGAGAAGATTCCTTTCATTAAAGACAAAGATCTTGAAGTATTCTCCAAATACCGCGATGCAGCTTTCGAGGTACAAGTAGGAGTTCATGAGCTTCTAGGTCATGGAACGGGTAAATTACTCCAAGAAACGAAACCAGGAGTTTACAATTTCGATATCAAAAATCCTCCTACCAACCCTCTCACCGGGGAGCCAATCACTACTTGGTATAAGCCTGGACAAACATGGGGATCTGTGTTTGGTAGTGTGGCATCAAGTTATGAAGAATGTAGAGCTGAGGCTATCGCTATGGCTCTCAGTTGTGATTTCGAGGTTCTTAAGATTTTCGGATATGGCGATGGGACACCTGATATGAATAGTGAAGCTGGAGACGTTTTATACGCATCTTGGTTATCTATGGCTAGAATGGGTATTTGCTCCTTAGAAATGGTATGTTTTCCTCCCTTTCCCTCCTTACCAAAACCAAAGCAACCACTAACACAACAACCAGTGGGATCCCCGCTCCAATAAATGGAACCAGGCCCACTCTCAAGCGCGCTTTTCCATCCTTCAATGTTTCCTCTCAGCTCCCGAGCGCTTCTGCACGCTGACCCGCAAAGCCGACTTCTCCAACCTGACCATCTCCCTCAAACGCCACCTCATCCCCACCATCGGTCGTCAAGCCGTCGAATCCTATCTCCAAAAACTACACATCTATAAATCCATCGCAGACGTCGAGAACGGTGTAGAACTATACAAAATTATGTGTTTCGTAGATTCAGATTATTGGGGCAAGAGCGTTAGAGATCAGGTGTTGGCGAACAAACAACCGAGGAAGATTTTTGTGCAGGCGAATACGGTACTAGAGGAGAAGAGTAAAAAGGTGGAATTGAAAGAGTATGAGGCGACTTGTGAGGGGATGATTACAAGTTTTGTGGAGAGGGCTGTTTAGGTGTGAAAATATGTGGCAGGAAAGAAGGGAATAAAAAAGAAATAAAGACAGCGAGATAGGTGTAGACCAGGGTGCTGCATGGGCTTTACGCATATCAGTGAGGACATAGTTTTGAAGGCCGAGACAGCATCTACCAATCCACCATCAAGGAGAAAGAGGGTGAAACAAAAATACCTAATATCAGATAAAAAACTGTTGGATAGCACTCCATAATCTTCTCTCATTTTGATAATATATTACCAGAAAATAGAATATTTAATTTATCCGAATACAACATTCTTACATGAAGAGAAAGGATTATATAATGGATATTCAGAAGCTAACACAAAAACTTGGTAATCGAATAAATAGATAAATAGATAGATAGATAAATAAATACTTAAATATTAAATAATTATTTCAATCTTTTAGTAGCTTGAGATTCTTTTGAATGTTATTCTGTCTTTTGTCATCGAACCCCAATTTCCTCAAACATCAGATTAAACTCTGAAAATTATAATTAGCAATATCACAAGATTACTATTATCTTTTATCATGTACAATATCTCCAATACTTCGGAACATTGAGACTATCTAGGTAGCGAATATGAATTCAAATCCTTTAGAATATTTGAGCAGTTTGGATTATTCAAATCTATTGAAATATCCACTCAAATCATTTAAGATACTGGATTCACTTCGCCAATTGAATTGTCTTCAGATAAGTACTGTTACTAGAACTGGTGTGGAAAACTATAACCAGAACCACTCCAGTTTAGCTCTGGCTGGCTGAGAGTCTTTGGAACCTATGGCGGTCCTCTTATTAGATGGGTACTTAGTTAGATATCAACAAGTCAGTACGAAATCAGAACTCCAGATGATTAAAGATAATACTATTATGACGAATCAAACAGAGGTGTAGTAAAACAAAGCTCAAATCAAAAGTCCTGTTGATACTTTATGCCTCTTTACCTTGACTTTCCTCAAAATCGACTTGCGCTTGGGACACCACATATCCCTGGGCTTTCACATGCACGTATGTTTGCTGACCAGTTGCGTCACAAAATCACCCTCTGAACCACAAACCTACCTCCCGAATTTCATCCGTACTCTTTACCTGCCAAAAATCACCCCAAATCACACATCTCACAATCATTCGCGCTAAAAAAAAAGATATCATTGCTTTGTGGTTTTCTTCATCATTGCAAATCTGATTACAAAGTGCCCTTCACAATGAGATGACCCATGCCCATTCCGAGGTCAAGATGCAAAGAAGCGACTCGTCAAATTGATTGTAGAATTTTCCCACATCCGCGCCCAAATGTACCCATTCCCCCCAATCTCCAACACACATATTTAAAATACCATTGCGTGTGGCTTATCGCCCTTGCGAAGGCTGAAAGAGCTACCGAGGTAGCTGGCGAGTTCTGGGGTCTTTTTGAGGCTGGAAAGGATGGCCTTATCGATGGTCTTTTGGTCTGCTGCGCGGCTGGAGGATGGTTGCTTCTTCTGTTTTGATTTATTAAATTTATGTAAGATTGTGACGTATCCCCACTGTAAGATCTTACCTCTGGCTTCTCGCCTTGCTTGAAGAAAGCCTCTTCTGATGCCTTCTTCTCTGACTTCTCTCTAGCGAAGTATTTTGGGTCTGAGAGCTCCTCAATCTTTGCCGAGTCGATACCCTCCAAATCGATCTTGGTAGATGTGGCGATAACGTAACGAGCGTTGACTCTGCGGATTGGGACACCGTTGACCTTGAATGGGCCAGTGACGAGGAGAACACCTTGGTCAAGAGCCTTCAAGAGAACGACACGCTTGCCACGGAAACGACCAGCGAGGAGGATCAGGACTTTTCCGGGTTCGAGGGATGGTCTAACTTTGGATGGTCTGATGGATTTGCGGACCTGGATAATTCATTGTTAGTTACAAGGTTCTTGAAACCAAAGAGCAATGCCTGAAAATGCGATGCAATGTTATGCAATGAATGTAATGACGATTTGATTGATATTAAAATCAAATATATATCTGCAGATTGCAATTGTAATCGCAAACTCCAAATATATTGATTTTCGCGCCGCTTTATTGTCAAAATCGGACAATATTCCAATCAATGCTCTGCTATTTCTTGCAAAAATGGGTTCCTTTTTGTATTTACCTTTCTTGGTGCTGAGACATCCTCCGCCGGATAGTACTTTTGTGCCTTCTCATTGGAAACGACCCGGGTCGATTTTCCGAAGGTCTTCTTCTGGGTAGCTTCTGTTGCCGACATCTTGAAGAAGGAACCGTTGGTGGGTTGTTGTCGTAAAATTTGTCGCTGGTCGCTGGTCGTAAAAGTCGAGATGTTCTTCCGATACAGAAATCGAAGCAGGGCTAAAACCTGCGGCACTACACTTGGAATTTCAATTCGCTTAATGATTTGTGTATCATGTGATTTGATGATTATCTAAGATTGAAGAAGTTTTGCCTTTTATTTAAGGTTTGAAAATTGATTCAATCTTTAGCGTCGCGTCATTAATGTATCCACCCGGACACTTCTACTGCGAAGCTCCGGCCGCCTAGAGTGAAGCTTCCACTTTATTACCTATTGAAGCTGCTCTGTTTAACAATATACCTGTCACAAACAGCTATCCAAGACCAACAAGATGTCTATCTCACCAATTATTACATTTAAGGCAGGGAAGTGTGATCTTGATGTATGTATACTCATGTATTTCTTCATGTTAAACATAAAGTTAATATCTCCATCAGACATCGAGTAAACCTCATAAAGTCAAGCCTGATCCAACTCCTGGTTATATCTATCTTTGGGCTGAAGATGGTAAGTTATATTTAAATCGCTGGACGTGGAAATTACTAATAGTGTGAAAGGACTTATGCATTTTCAATGGCGCGAAAGAAGTAAACCTATGGATGCTGAGGACAACCTCGATTTGATAGTGCCACCAGCTGATGCCATCTTTCAACCTTACGATTCCAAACAAACTGATGAAGCAACCGCAAAAACCAATGGTCGCATACTCGTTTTCAAGTTCTTATCCTCTTCTCAAAGATACCTTTTCTGGATGCAATCAAAACCTCAAGCGCGAAATGGAGATCCAAGTTGGTTCAGTCCCCGGGACTTGAAGATTGGACAAATTGTGAATACATTGTTGCAAGGAGAGGAGGTCAATGTTGAACAAGAAATCGCACAAGTTAGAGGGGCTGATGGAGGAGACGATGATCAGGACGAAACTATGGAGGACGTTGAAGGCCATGGTAATTCATCCGAACATCATGGTGGAAGTGGAGGAGCTGGAGCAAATGCAACTGGTGGAGATGTTAGAGAAGAAGGGGCAAGCTCAAGGGAGGCTGGAGCTGATGGTGGAAGAGCGTAGGTTAATTCCCATCGATTGTTTACAAAGTACCTGAGCACTTTAACATGAGGCGTTGGTTGGTACGATGGGAGATCAAAGATGATCATACCATATAGTTCTTGTACATCTAGACAGCTACGTTTTGCGAATGAATTCCAGAAATGACAAAGCCATCTGACTTGGCTTTTACAAGAACCCTGCGCTGACTATGTGAGTAGTGCTGGTTCAGGACCAACAGATGCTGCCTCAGTTGTTCAAAACTTTCTTAATTCCTTGAAAGGTTCTGGAGGGGCTAGCATGCAACAACAATCACAAGGACAAATGTACACTACCTTACCGGACCTTTTACCAAATGCAGTAACTATCCCATCGATCGACGCTGCAACTCTAGCTCAAGTGGACAATCTCCTAAGCTATCTTCCACCTACGATCCTACAACTTGCACAAGAATCCGCATCATCCCTTGAATTGGCCGAACCTACGTCTCAGACTGCGGCCGCTGCGATAGAAGCTCTGAGCTTGGATCAAAAGAAGTCAGTATTGAAGAGAGTAGTCAGGAGTCCACAATTTCATCAGAGCTTAGGAAGTTTGACCATGGCGATCCGAGATGGTGGTTTGCCTAGTATTGCTGATGCCTTGGGAGTGAAGTTGGAAAATAATGGGCTGGTCAAAGGAGGAAGTGTTCCATTGGGAGGTGGCGATGCGGTTGAGGCATTTGTTGAGGGTGTTAGGAAGTCAGTGGAGAAGAAATGACGCATTGAGTCATAATCTCTTTCTTCAGGGCGGTGTAAGATAGATAGGACAGATGGTGTGGTGACTTGAGATGATACCAATTCATGATATGTTATGACTAAACGAACAGTTTGCGTGAGTGGCTGATGTTGGCGGGGTTTTTGGGGCCTGCAAGGCTGAAGATGAAATGTTCAATGATACCGAGGACTGTACCACATGGAATAAGCTGTTAGTTAGTACTGATAGTGTTGACATTTGCGGGAGGATGGAGTGTCATTGAATGTGATATGAGGATAGTCAAACATCATGCTAGGTTATTCAAGTGAGATTAGCTTGCTTCGTGTAGCTTTCCATGAATCGGTGTGTTGATTTGTTATATCAATTTTGGAAAATTTCTGTTACACTGCATTGACGACTCATCATAGTTTTGTTCTCACCGTCGGCTATTTTGCCTCTGAACGTTGTAGCAGCGATTGTCTTCAGCTTATTACCCTTATCCTTGGTAAATGACCATTCTGTTTAAGACGTTGCAGCAAAGACTGATATTCTCTCATCATACTGATCCTCACTTCTCGTCACTAAGTGTACTGGTTGTAGTTATACCTTTTCAAATTGCTTGTCTTCCCCTCATCTTCTCTCTAGGTAGGTAATTAATAATCATCTCGCTTTAATCATTATAGTCTTCTTCTCCAGCATTCTACAGAGAAAAGTAATTAGTTTATACGGCTACATGGTACCTGATGCCATAGGTGCTATTAGTCCGATGAAATAGTACTGTCACCTTTATGTCTTGTTCGTGGATTTTTTGCTGTTGTAGGCTGATTGGATCTAGAATTCATATATTGAAAAGTTTCAGACTGGCTAAAGTGTATAACAGCTCTTTATCTCATATATGAAAACTACGTATTTACACAATCTTGCCTGTTTCTGATGGATATTAGATGTATTATGATGAAGCTCTCATATCAATGATACTCTGTTTTAATCACATCAATATAGATTTTCATTCTATTACCTATTCAAAGACACAAATTCATATCTATCTTCCTCAACTTACCCGTGGTGGAGGTTCACTATATTATTGTTGATCCATACCTAGTGTCCCTCGTATCACCTGATAAAAGTTTTCGTCCTAAATCGTTGGAAACAATTATACATGCTTCTCTTCTATTCTGTTGAAGATTCAACTTTAATGGTCTAGAAGAAATCATATCCTACTATTGAGACTCTTGATAGAACTACTACTTCTTTCTCTTATTCAGAATAGAATATTCAACGTGGGTTTCTCTCTAGTATGTCCAGATATGGCTACCTAGATATCTAGTATCTCTTTCGAGTGACACCTTATTCTACCTATTCTAGTGAATGTGAAATAAATCCACGGCTTCTATTACCTTTCAACATCAGACAATACAGCCATTTTATCGAATTGTCGCTTAAGAGCTATTCTCGGGCTTTCTGTTATCTTTCCAAAAACAATATAAAAGTCTTTCAAGTTCAAGGTTTTATCCGACCTTCGATCTAAACCAATATATGTGCTTTCATTTCACAACCTTCATTTGTACCTTTCAACGTACTGTATCTTACTATAGTTTGTTGGATATCCTTTCTATCAGCATCTCCAACATGTCTGGCTCTGGTTCAGGTAACCCTCCTCCACCCATTCTTCAAGGCTTGGGAATCACTTCAAATCCAATAAGTGGGAGTGGTACTCCTAACAATGCTTTTGGCGGTAACAACCAAGGGCCTGCCATCAACAATCCCAGAACAAGACGTGGAAGCACACAGACGCAGCAACAAATGAAGCAGCAGATAAATCCTAGTATGCTTCGTCAACCACAGGCGCAGGGGCAACATATACAAGAGCAGCAGATCCAACATATGCAAAGGCAGCACCAACAAATGCAGCAAAATCAAATTCAGCAGCAACAAGCTCAACAGCAACAAGCTCAACAGCAACAAGCTCAACAGCAACAAGCTCAACAGCAACAAGCTCAACAGCAACAAGCGCAGCAGCAAGTACATAGCCAACAAATGCACACACAGAAAGCCACTAACCCCAACTTAAATCCATCATGGTTAGAACTACAAGGTCTCCCGATAGATCCAACTATACAACATCTTCTCGCCGCCGGCCAAGCCGTCAATCCCACACAATACCGGCTTCAGAGAGGAATGCCTCACCCTTTCCCTCCTAACGGCGCATCAGTAAACGCACAACCCACAGCTAGCGGAGAGCAAGAAGAAGACGAAGAAGAAGAGGGAGAAAAAATCTACGAAACCAGCACTCTGCATCTCCAAATCAACTCACCTCTTACAATCACCGGCGACAACAACATAATCACACTACACCCCTCCCCCCAAATACAAAACATCACAGACGCCGTACTCAACGCTCTGAAATCCGTCACAGAAGGTACGCGCGGTCTCCCAATGGGCGATGCGGAAGGGACACCCCGCGGGATTCGTATTGATGTCATGGCCGCCATTGAGATAAATGGTCAACATAATGTGATCGGAGAAGAAGCTGTTAAAGTTTGGGGTCAAAAAGTTAAGGCTGAAGCAATGGTGGCACAGAATCATTCGCAGAGATTGATGGCCCAGGCAAATGTTCAGTTTGATGCGCAGGCTAGAAATCATATGCAAGCTGCGCATACTCAGGCTCAGGCGCAGGCACAGGCACAAGTGCAGAATCAGGGACAAGAACAAGGATGGGGACAGGGACACGGACAGGGACAGGGACACGGACACAGACAACAACGACAGATAATGGCTCCAATGCAGGGAGACACGCAAAGACAGCCTCAGGCCATCGGTGCTATTACACAGACACAGCCTCAAAATTCTATTGGACAGAGACAAACCCAGGCCCAGCCTCAAGCTGCCATCGTACAGAGACAAACCCAGCCTCGGACACATATCCAAGGACACCCGCAACCGCAACCACAAGCAACAACCCAGCAACAAGCAAAAAAGACCACACAGCCAGAAACAGCAAACACGCCAGGCCAGATAGTACAAGCACAAGTACAAGCACAAGCACCACAAAATGCAGGTGTAATGTCTGCTCTTGCTTCGAAGGATAGTGGGAAGAGAGGTAGGGGGCTTAGTATGGATCTGGATCAGAATGGGGAGGAGGGGAATAAGAAAACGAAGATGGGTTTGTAGATTTTGGGGTGTGTTCTTTTTTGGGGGGGGTTGGAGTTTTTGTTTTTTGCTATTATTGGGTTTGGGGTTGGTGGTTGGATGAATGGTGGGTGGGTGGTGGGTTTGATAGGGGATAGGGGATAGGGAAATCCAGGAATTACTTTTCCTGATTCATTGAGATGCATTTCAGGGTTGGGGAATCAAATATCTGAATATGGGGGTATAGATGGCTGCCAGACAGTGGTTCTACTTCTTTGCGAAGAACTGGTTATCGCCAGGTTAAATTCGGTATTAGCTTTGATTGCGCTGCTCTTCCGGTCCGACAATGGTTGGGACACGAGAGTTGGTCATTTTCTAGTGTAATCATAAAAAGACTTTTTTGTAAATAATAGATAGCAGAGTAGATAGGGTAAATGATGTAAAATGCTACATTGTGATCATCCATGAACTAACTTACCACTTTGCAACATACCCAAAAGAATCTTTACTACAATACATTCACATACATATCCAATGAATGCAAGACTATCATGCTCATATTTCCTGATCAGACTTCATTAATTGGCCTAAGCTCCTTATTGTACAAAAGTTTCTTTTTAGAAAGTCATTGCTCTATGAAAATGACTTTTCCATCCCTACTCAAACATATCCTCACTGTGTGCCAGAAGTAAATCATTTGTGATCCGGATCATATTACCACATCGCCATGTGATATAAAGCTCCCCATCTCAGACTCCAAGTAAAGCAAGCATCCCTAAATCCATGAAAATTAAAGCAGAACTCTGCCATACCCGCTTATGCAACAAACAGTGGAATTGTCTTCATCTGTAATCACTTGAGCGGATATCTTGTCTGTGCAGATCCTTGGCCCCTCGAGGTAGCTTCCGATCTCGTTCAAAGAGGAATCCACAGTTATTGCAAAGAGTCTGAAAGTTATTAGTATTGTGATCCTCAAAAAATCAAGGTAACTTACTCTTGGGCCGGAAGGTCCGTCCCTGACACACCAAACTGATGTTCCCCAGACTTTACAGTGAGAGCATCTCCAACTATTCCGCTCGAACTCAGTAAGACTGCCACCTCCACCATACCCACTAATACCACCAGTGTCTGGTGTGCCTCTTCCACCAGGTGTCCCAGATCTCCCCAGTGGACTAAGACTTCTAAAACGTCTCTTCTTCTTACTCCTCTCACCGCGTCCCATACGTTCTTCAGCTGGTGGCTCATCAAAGTATCCTCTATTCTCACCAGGTGTCGGAAGACCGCCTGCCATCCCGGAATTCGACGAAAATCGAGCGGTCTCTCGCCTCATTCGCCTAATTTGTCTCTCCCTATCTCCCTCACGTTTCTCAATTTCTTCTTTTGACAGGATCTCAACCTTTGGCTCCCATTCATCTGCTAAATGTTCATTATCATATCTCCATCCAGCATCCTTGCCATGTGCAGCATCATTGGGTATATCTCCTCCATAACCACCAACCAAACCACCACTTTCACATGCCTCTTTTTTCAGTCTTAAAACTGCTTCATAGATGGCGTGTGTCATGGCCGGGACCCATTCACCGGGTAATCCAAGATCTGCACAGGTCTGTTTTGCAAAAATTTCAGCTGTCCCTGGAGGGTGTAGTAATGACCATTCAAATCTATCTGTGTAGAGATGGTTCGAGAGGTTGATGTTTAAATTAATGATGCACCGGTACATGTCATCCGGGTTATATTCATCAGAATCGGGTGCTATCGAGGTAGCAGTAGCGGTAATATCTTGCGATTGTGCAGTAGTAGGTTTAGCAGGGGTTGAAAATCCATTAGATTGACCGATACCATTTCGCATTGGGGTGGCATTTCCACTTGCAGCAGCAGGTGTGTTTGAAGCATCCCGAGACGATGGTCCTTGTTTGATGGTGTTTACAGTGCCATTTGCCATTGCCGTTTGCTGTGAATGAAAGAGCGGATGAAGAGCCACACCAGCGTATTCTTCAAGCTGTGTACGGATCTGCTTGCTGATTTCCGCCGCCATTTGTCCTCTGTTTGGCAAGTCCAAATCTTGTACCATGGTTTGCGCGAATTGATCTGTGGTCGTCAATGTCTCGTGTAAATTCCACAAAAACACATCCTTCAAGCGATACGGCACTGTCGTCTCTTGCGGCTTGTATACAGGGAGGGAGGTATCAATCGTAGGGTATGAGACTTGAATATTTACAGGAACTGGTAGAGGCGCAGGAGGTGTGAAGGAAGGAATATCAAGGTCGATTCGAATCGGGATTAATGTCAATGGCAATGCTACTTGCGCATAGTTTTGCATGTCGGTCTTTCCCGGCCTCTGCTTGCCCATCCAATCTCTCCATATTCCCTGAACCTCTACTGGCGCAGTAGCTTCCTTGCCAACCTTGTCCGCGGGGTCTTGTTTTGCTTGTCCAGTATCTTCCCTTCGTAAACTCCTTAAACCCGTGGGCCTTCTCTTGTTTTCATCATCTTCATCCTCCTCATAGTCGTATCCATCCTCCGCATAGTTTACTGCCGTAGTTCCTCGTTTGGTTGTCCGACCGAGTGGTGCCGCAACAGCTGTCGCTGGTTGTATGACTGGCGTAAGTAGCGAATTCGCATATGTGCGCAATCGTGGAGCATAACTCGAAATAAAAGACTGGGGAGGGTTGCGAGTAGTCATTTTGATATTGAATTAATAAATATTGAAAGTATCAATTTGATCAATCGGTCCTTGGAGCGTGAGAAAGAACGATTTTTATATTTGCAAAGAGCTCAGAGGCCACTCATAACAAGCTGCGGAGTTATGCGATCATAACCATAGGAGTTGCGCTGTCTCAAGGTATTGTATGGTGTTTCCGACAAATCGTTGGTTATATCTCAGAACGCGTCGCGAGAATATCAATTGTCGGACTGGAGCACTTTGGATCTTTGGTCTAGAAATGGCGCTAGTCCAAACTAGGTTAGCGTGCGTCTTAACATCATCCTCCCCCGATTTTTCTTAAGATTGGAATTCAAGTGTTATGTATGCCATGAGAATCCATTGATTATTATTTTATATATTATAGCTACAAAATTATAACCACAGTGTACCATTTTAGAGATATACTAAAACTACCGTAGCAAATATTCAGGGATGATTGGAAGTTCACCCGTCCCTATGATTATATCTCAGATGGCATCGGATATCCTTGTCTAGAGCTTGACGCTGCTGGAACAAGCGGAAGCATTTCCTTAATCACAGTCGTTGTGTAGGGCAAATCTTTTTTGAGATGTGGTTTGGTTTTTAGAATTTCGCTTGCTACGTCGATCTCTTTTCCAAACACATGATCATGTCCTTCTCTTGATTTTCGCATGGCCTCGCCATTCTTCGAAAGTAGATGATAGATATAAGATATTGTGCTACTGAGTGAATCATGGCTTAAAAAAAAGGGACAAACTCATTTGTCGAATGGCAAATGCCTTGAAGTCTAGGTCCAATTTGTCGGGTTTGGTGTCGAAGTCGGGGGCAATTCCTGCTTGCAAAATAAGGTCCATGATTGCTTTGCTCGAAGAGCAGCTGGCTGAAAAGAAAGGATGTCCTGGTGCAATGGGCAGCGATTGTTGTTAGTCGGTGCTAATCCATAGTAAGGAGACTGGAAGAACTGACGCAGCCTTGCTGTTGAAGCTTTGCTATGAGCATTCGCGCCGCATAGAGTCGTGTAAAAATAACTTAGCAAGCAAGACCCTACAACCAAGACGGAGGCGACTACATGTATGGCACCCATGATTGAAATGTCTCCAGTTGTTTGGAAAGATGACTGAGTGGTCGATGGATGGTGAAGGGTTGAATTTAGTTTCGAGATTATTTTGGGGCATTGTTGGAGGTAGTGGCTGACAGTGAATACCGAATGTCGAAACACCGATAATGAAATATTAATAATGGTGAAGTTGTGGAGATGTCATTTGTACCAGTCAACATGCCAAGAGTTATTTTACGGCTGTTCCCTGAAAAGATCCATTTACCCACCAATTTGACCCTTTATGAAATATTCTCAAACCAAGCTCGCTTGAGATTGTAAACGGGATTTGTATCCAGACAAGTGTCTTAGATGTACTCACAGGTAGGTTTTCGTTTTGAAAGAAACTAATACTGAAAGTTCAAGGAACTGGTTATTGCAAAGCACAGTTGTTAATAATAGGTAGTATTGGTATCAAAGTCCTAGTAGGAATTGAGTCCTAGCAGTCTCTTTGAATCAAAAATCTCTTCCGCGGCATATATATGCCAATCAATACTATAGAACGACGGAGATAACCTCGATTGATTAATGGTAGGTGAAGCACCAAGCACTTTGAGCTCTAAGATATGGCTTGAATTAAAAATAAAGGAGTGAGCGCTGATACTTTTTGATGATATCGTTTGGTGATGCAACGTGCAAGTAGGCCATTGGCGGAAACCGCCAATGAGAAGGATGGACCATGGAAGACATTGTTGGATATCAAAGTATAGATTTAATCAAAATACCTCTTATTGGCCGTTTTGAGCTCCTTTTGGAGATTCGCGGCGTATGATGCTTTTTATGGGGTTTTATACTCCGCAAGTTAGTGGTGCCCTTGAAGGATTTCAGGTATGACCTTAGCCCGACCATCAAACACAAAAGGATGGATCGTACTTCATGCTCAGCTTCATGTTAAAATCCTGGCTAGATACTGTTCAAGGAATTGTTCATGATGAAACACATGCATAATTATTTGCCTCGTGTAGGAATACCCCCGCTCACGGCCGATGCGCCTCCTATCGAAGTAACCTAGATTGTTCTAGCTAAGATGGTACAGTGCGCCGGAATTCTGTCGGTATCAGTCAGTAACTAACCAGGAGGCTACATGCTCTCATTACTATACGCATGTATCGTCCCTGTCGTTAGGACATTGGTATAAGCGGTGCAATAGTGTTACCTGAGAAATCTCTGGCCAAGACTTTTAGCCGACCCTTAACCCCTAATTCCATGCTGTACTTCTCTGATAGTTCAACCATGAAACTCTCCTTCAAGACACTCTATCTATTTTTTCTCATACTTCGCGCATATATTAAAGGAAATCATCAGAATTACTAGGGAACTTTAGCTTCAGCTCCTGTCATGGAGGTCAATTTGGAAAAGGATACAAATGCAACAAGCACTTCGGACCAATCATCGCTCCCAACAGCTGACAACCCTGTTGAAGCCTCGAAAGTAAATACTGGAGCAGTGCGCTCATATCCAACGTTGGACTTTGACGTTAAAGAGCTAGCCTGAAGCCTGAAGGGCATAGACTGGATCATCTGCGTCCTTTTCATCTACTGCGCTCTCCCTGTATGCTCTTGACAACATTATCGTTGCTACAATCCAGCCGCCTATCATTAAAGACTAACAAACATCCACTTCAGCGGGCTGAAATTTCTCAACCGGATACGCTCTACTGATTGGTTTGGCACCGTGCTCATTGTGGTGCTGTCGTGTCGGGAATCATGGGTATAAACTTCGGAGGAGTTCTTTTCGCTTGGAATGGCGGTAGGATTATTGGCTGCTTTGTAAGTCCTGGAATCTTGTGGATATTTTTTGGCTTGCAGCAGTATTATTGTGTCTTCACCAATCCACAGAACCGACTGTCCCATGGGATGTGATCCCGAATTGGGAAGCTGACGCTTTAATCCACACAGACTGCTCCTGGTATGCCGCCAGCCTAACATTCATTTATTTCATTCCGGTAAGTGTATCTCAACCCGGTACTAGGCTGTCGCGGAGAGTATGAATACGGTATAGATTCTGGTAATTGTGGCCATTGCATTAGCTTTTATTCTATGCCCTTTCCTGAAGTGTAAGAGGGAAGCATGACCGCGCGAAGCGCTGTAGCATGTACTAGTTCTCTACCAGAATAATGTCATCATTTTTCATCTTCGAGCTTCGCGACGGAAGTGGCAATCTGATATTGAACCTTGTCGCTCTTTTGTTGTTCACCTGGAAACCATGTCTTTTTATTTGTTGTTAGGTATGGAATCGCGTATTTTGATTTGTATTGATGTGATTTCTTACTATTGACAAATGTACTGATATCCATTATTGAAAGCCAATCAATTCCACATTGCTCCTTAACATTATGCATAATGAGGAGATGGGGATAATGGATTAGTTAATTATGCTGGTACTGACTGTTTCTAACTTTTGTGGTATGTGTTATGTTTTCGGCTTTTTACTTCCTATTTTCCATTTGAAGTTAAGAAAATACGAATTTACGCGACAGAATCTATAGCTAGCGCGTTCTGCGATGGACAAAGCTTCGCGTCTTTCCGCCATTTGAAGTCTGTTAAGCAGAAGGGGAATATCAGCTATACTGGGGACCAGCCTGGCTTTCTTGATGATCAGAAATGCAAGACTCATCATTAAGGGAATCTTCTCCGGATCTATTGAGGCTTCTGCCTATTTCTCCCCGCCTTTATTGTCACCTAAAATGCGAAATGATGTGACGCGACGCGACGCGTGCAGTTGACACCGTGATATGAGTCAGTTTGGGTAGCCGGAAAGTCTGTAATACATTCCTACTTAGATTTAGAATTCGCGGGTAGAGCTAAATGAGGTAATAAAAGGGTATATATCCTGTGTATCTGCATTTATAACAGTTGGATGTGGAGAAATTATCCATACTATTGGCTTTTTTAAGTTTTCCCCCCGCCAGACCCAGACCGAAATAGGAAGGTGTTGCAGACTTTTCGCGTATTGCGGCCAGAAAGTGTAGTACAAGTCCCCTTAAGCACATACCATAATATATGATAGCCACAAATCGCAGCTTCTTATTAGTAGGAGTTTTACGATACTTTAAGCACGTACCACTGAATGGTAAAGTACAAAGGCTGCATCTGTATCCATCCTCACTTGCAGTACATTTCATTCTTATCCTTTCTCTCCATTTATTTATGATACAATTATCATGGCATCTGTTTATAAGATGTCTTGCAATCCCAATGTCTTTCCAACATTTCTTTAGACATTCAATTATCGTCGGGTTTATCTTATCACATTACTAATCGAAATGGCCAACACCAGGTAAGTCTATTCATATAATTATTCCTTTATATATTCTATTATTGACTCACAATCATTTATTCATATGTGTTGTGATTGATTTAAATAATCATTCATTCATATATATTGTCATTGATTCAAACAAACATTTATTTATATATGCTGTCATTGATTCAAAGAATCATATATTCATATATGCTGTCATTGATTCAAACAATCATCCGTTATATATTCTATCATTGATTCAAACAATCATTTTTCCAGCTAATCTGACATTCACACATTCATTCTTTCACTGCTCAATTATTCAGGGGCGTCCGATCATTCACTTATTACGTTACTAATCCTTTGTCTTGTTCATTAGGACACGGAATCAGCAGAGTCCGAATCTGGAGGATGATGATTCGGTGGAAGGTGATTTAGCGGATCTCGTACGTGTCATTTGTTCCTCCCTCTATCCCTCTTGTATAGTCATGCTAACAGGTTTTGTAGACTCCCTCAGCGTTCAAACACCCCTTTGTAGCCCCACCTCCTGGCGCATTCAAAACTGTAAGTACCTATTCCACACATACGATCATTACCTCCCGTCTGCCGGCCTGTCATAACCACATTGGGGTAAAACGACGGCATGGGGTCACAGCCATCTATTACCTCAAGCCTTCGTATCCAGACATAAGCAAGCGTCTATTGGGCACCGTGGGCTATAAACCTTCCTACTTTGGACAGGGGACAATTCTCTGATTGCGAAGCTACTTGAGTTCCTGTGTGTGGCAAAACTTTAATCCGGAAACGCCTACGACTGTAGTGGTCAATGAGGTGCTGGCCCGACTCTGGAGCTGTGACGCTTTTCCAGAGGCGCCTTTACACCTCGTGTGCGGCTTTACACCAGGAGAGCTGAAATAAGATTCGCTCTATTGTTTTGCCAGATGCTGGGCGGAAGCAATGATCACAAGACATTGGCTGACATGAGATGATCGAGGAAAAGGAGCAGAGAGAGAAAGAGAGGAGGAGGAGAGAGAGAGAGAGAGAGAGAGAGAGAGAAGAGAGAGAGTCAAATCACGAAAGTAAGATCACTTTTTCTCTGTTCTGCTCTCAAACTTTTTCATCTCTTTTCATTACTGTTTCGGTTTCTTCACGGGAAGTTTCCATTCATCTATTCATCAAGCTAGTTGGTCAACAATCACTCTGCGTCTATTCGACTACATGGCCTCCCAGGTCATCCAACCATTCAGTTGCTGACTCGCTTTTTCACTCGCGAACTCATCTATTTGTTACTAACCATTCATCCACTTGTTCATTTTTCATCCGTTCAAATGTACTGATTTGTATATAGAATCAGATATTATCCGAGCAGAGAGAGCTAAAGAATTGGGAAGAAAGGTGTTCAATCGTAAGTAGATTCTAGACACCATCACTTCAATTCTCGCCCGGACACATGCTGATATTTTGTAGACCAAAGAGGCCGTGATAAAAACTGTATGTTCTTTTTGAAAATACCCTTTATAAGAATTTATGAGCTAAATATTATGTTAGGCTAGAACAATCATATTCTCCGTCATGATTGCTTATTTATTTGCTATTTTGTGGCTTGCCGTAGTTGGTAGTCTTGGCTGGTTCGTGATAAAAAAATCCGTTTCCTAGGAATTCGGGGTTTGGGAGCGATATTCTTAGGAAGGTTTTCAGTTAAGATATGTGGACAACAAGGGCTTACTTACATTTGGGGGGAATGCCGAGATATGTCCGATTGCGAGATTCTCGAACAGACCAGCCTCAGACCTTCACGATCAACAAAAATTGTCCCAAATCCTTGGACGTTGAATTACACCTTCCGTGGAACACATCTTCACATATTTAGATGGTAAATAGTATCTACTCTAACAGTATAGATGGAACATCCTGACAATCCAAGAACTCAACTAATGCCGCTCGATAAATAGAGGTAACTATAGTTTTGTTATTCACGAATTTGCTTATTATATGGTGACCTTCTACTATCTTGTCTCTTTTATCAATAATCAAAAAACTTTGTTTCGAATTCTTCAGCCAAGGAATAATGGATAGACAACCAGGAGATGCTCTATCGCGTCGAGCAAGTCCATGATCCTTTCCAGTCCACCAGTCCTGGGATTATACAGCGATTGAAGATATTAGTCGATCGAAGGTTCACATTTTGACAGTGAAAGTGCTATGTACCGAAAATCTACACGAGGTCATGGCTTCATTGCCTCTGGGCTTTTTACGACGACGTCCTCCTTCGGAATCGTAATTTATGCATTTTCCACGCAGGGAACTTACCTGGCAGCGAATAATTTCCGGGACTATTTTGCGTGTTATAGAAGGAGACGCAGACTTCCTTGATTCAAAATTTAATCATTGATAATCTCTTTTCGCATATACTAAAAATCAGACTGTTAATGGTAATTAGACCTTGTATATACTGAAGTCTGTCATTATACACGAAAGCAACAAGTGTAACATCCTTCAATCATAACTTGAAAAAGACAATAAAGGGTTTTTATCAGAAGCTAACATCGTCACTTGGATAGACACAGCCGTCCTTGTCTGAATGGAAAGAAAGAAGGTAAATTACCCAAAACGCTCTCTGCGAGTACTGTAATACCCAGCTGATATTACGATGCCCGTGTCTCCGTAACGATACGTGCTTTGGACGACGCATGGCAACACCAAGCCGGAGGTCGCATACAAAAATCGCACATGACTTGAATTCTAAGCTTACTGCAGACAAATTGCTGCTGCAAAATTGCGTCAAAAATCCCTATGTTTTGTTTAGGAAAACTAGGAACAGCGATAACAAAATGAATGTGGTGGAATGTTTCAAGACAGTTAGTTGCGTTTGTCGCAGAAGCGATACGTTCGACGGTGGCAGGTATGCTCTTCATTGATTCATTGTGAAAGAATTGGCCACCGTAGCAGAGCTTGGTATTGACAGTTTGTTGGCGGCTGAGTTTCGCAGTTGATTTTAATTATAGTGTATTTGTAGCATAGCGGATTTGATAGATATTAAAACGAATATAAATATATTTGTAGATAAGATGGTGAGGTGAATGAGGCATCGATGTCGTGACCTACCTTGTAATAAGAAGCATAAGAAGGATTTCTTCTGAAAGCTTTAGAAGTAATACATGCTTTACACCGCCTTTATTTTGCTACAAATGGAATGACTCTACCTATAGATAGTGAGACTTATTATTCTTGTTGTCAAATCTAGATTCGAATATTGAAAGTTCATGAGCTATATATATCTAGGACGAGAAACAACACCATCTTAGTCGCTTAACCTTAAGGTTACCTAATCTAAGACCTTTATACCATCCCCTAACCTCACTTACATCACTAATCTTTAAAAATAAAAAGACCTCATACCTACACAAAATACTCAAAAGGAATAGCGAAAAGAAAAACGACTCGAATGGGACTCGAACCCACAACCTTTGCCACCGGAAAGCAATGCGCTACCATTGCGCCATCGAGCCTTTAGACTAATTCGATGTTGTTGTTATTTGGGTATATAATGCTAAGCTGTGAGAACCCCACTATGTACCCCGCACCATAGAGTGCTTATCAAGGATTAGCAATTTTCTTGATCTCGGATTTTTATTATATACTGATGGAGTGGGTGGAGTGGAGAGATGGGTGGAGAGGGATGGTGAGGTTGAGAGCAGGAATTGATTTAGATCTGAGTACAACGACTGAATGGGTTGTGAAAATTGTTATTGTTAATTTAGATGTGTTAAACGTCTCGTCTCGTCGTTATCATACAATCCTTTACCGGATCAGAATCTATGTTTCCCCATGTGCTGACCATCCCCCGTGCCTTTTCCCATTCCATATCCCATATCCAAATAAACATTAATACAATACTCATAGAAATCATACACTCATCACAATCCACCAACGTAACACAACATAAGCCAACAACAGCACCTAACCCCTCTAAATATCATGTCTAGCCTTCTTACTCTTATGTCTAATAACCTCACCCCACCTATACAAAATAAACGGAATAGGAATAAACGCCACACTAATAAACGCCAACGTAGAACTTGCCCATGGAACTCCCAAATCTTTAAACATAGCATTAGCAAAAAGTGGAAAGCCAGCACCAAAACATGATCTCATAAAGTCATTTCCCGCGTATGCTGAAGCTGCGTAGACGGGGTATGCGTCACCGATGTAGTTTAGGACTGAATTGAAGAGTAGAAAGGCACCGATGGAGAAGAAGGCTGAACCGATGATGGGAACAATCCACTGGGTGAATATTAGTTTTAGTTTGTGGTGAAGAAGTGAGAGTAAAGAAGACAAAACATACGTGAATACTCTCTTTGCTAGTCCATCCAAACCAAAACAAACAGATAGGAATGCAAAAAGCTCCCACAAAAGCTGGTTGCAATCTAATCTCCGGTTTAATATCACCATTTTTATCAAATTTCGGTTCTTGATATTTCTTCAAGTACCAAAAGAATGGTGGGATAACCACAAGAGATCCGACAAATATACCCAAGAAAGCTAATCCTTCTTTCCCCAGGCTAAAGCCGTGAATCTCGACGAAAACAATGGCGAATGATTCAAACCAGACATATAGAAGACCATAGATTAGTGCGATGTATAGATTGAGACAGAAAAGAATTGGTTCCGTGAAAGTAAGTGAGAAGGGACGAATGAGAGCCATGTTTATTTTATCTTGCGTCGTCATTTTATCGACTTCGATTTCTGGTTCGGATTTTAAATTCTGGACACCACTTGCTTTTGTGAGACGGAGACGTCGTCGATATAATATGTTGGCGGAGCTAGTTTCAGGTAATAAGAAAATTAGAACGATCAGTGCGAATCCTATAGAAATGCTGTCAGTATCAAAGGTAAAAGTAATATATGTCAAAGTCTTGAAAACAATGAATCAACTCACCTGATAGCCAAGTCAATTCCCAAATCGTCCAAGTCCACCCTTTATTCTCTGCAGCGAATCCTCCAACCAAGGGACCCAACTGAACTTATCAGTGATCAAGAATTAAAAAAAAGAAGCTCGAGAAGAACATACCACTGGACCCGAAACAGCAGCCATACCCCAAATTCCAATAGCATAAGCCCTCTTATTTGGCGCATACATATCACTCAACGAAGCACCTCCAGTAGCCAAAACAGGAGAACCAAAAAAGCCAGTCAAAAATCGAAATATAAGCATCATGGCGAAATTCCTCGCATATATGACACCGAATTGTAAAACCACAAATACAATAAGCGTACCAATGTAAATGGGATTTCGACCAATTTGAGGTATCTCACTCATGGGAGACCATAACATGGGTCCTATGCCATAACCGGCTACGAATAAGGTGAGACCAGCAGTGGCAGCAACTTGACTGACTCCGAATTTTTTCATTACATCTAAAATACCTGCGGAATAGATGGCTGATCCAATGTAGACGGCAAAAGTTAATAGACAGATGAGGAAAGTAACGAAGAACTTTTTTCCTGTCGACCAATTTTGTGGATTCTGTTACAAATACTCAGTTAGCATTGTAATGCAAATCCTAGACTGTATGCTTGAATGCTACAGACAGAGCTACACAACATACCTCTGAATCATAAACTCCATCAGTTTGATCCCAATCAATAATTTGAACATCTATGCCTCCATTCTTCGTATTAACACCATGGTCGTCCGCCACTCTTGTTCGATCCGAACTTTGCGTTGCGTTTGAGGGTCTAGTGTATTCTCCATCTTGACTTGGACTATCACTATCTTTAAATTCCAATGATTGTCCTTGTTCAGGCTCATCACAACTCCCATATTTCCTCACGTTCTGCGTCTTCTGGGTATGTAGATATTTCCGCCAGATATCTGCATTTCCTTTCTCGGTGTCGGCTGACACACTTCGTTCCTCTGGATATTTCAAAATCTTGTTTCCTGACAATAGACGCAGGGCCTTTCCAGCTGTCGCATCTCGAAAGAGTTCCTTCATCTTGACCGTTACTTTTCAAATTTTCGACGGCACAAATGATAATTAAATGAATAAAACCTAGTGTGGCAAATCAATTTGCTTGTAATAAAACAAATAAGTAGATACTTCTAAAGATAAACTTTTAAACTATTGATAATATAAGGCGTGAGAAGAATGAAATATATATGAAGCAAAGTATATTTAAACAGAGATGTGTATATATATGAAAATGATATGCAAGAAGAGACGAAAGTTTCAGAGAAAGGAACAAATATAAGTATGAAATCAAAACCAAATCATCACTTTTCCCTTGAACTTTTCCCCCTTCCTTCAAATGCAACATCGAATTCTCGGCCTTTTGAATAGACCATATGATATCATACCTCATACCAACCTAGTAGTATCAACGGGATATCAAGCAGTCCCAACATCGACCTTGCCCAACAGAGCAGCAGCTATTAGTCTTCCCCCGTCACGCCCATGCCAAAACCTCATGATCGTATCAAAAACTAACAATGCATCCATCCATTAAACCCGAGATCTAAAGCCCATCAAGCAGATCAACCAAGCCCAATAATCACCATCATAGGATTACCATCACCATCACCACGCACATCAAAGTTGTCCGAAACCCGCATTAAGCTTAAACTAAACATGCACGCATAGACAAAGCATCGACTCGATAAATGCGCATTATTTCGATATGGCGAACATACCGGTACATGCACGATCAATGAGATATCGATCCATGAGATAAAGCTTAAAGAAAGATTTCATCGATCGCTGACGTAGATGACTTTTTAAGAGATTCTTGATTAGTTAAGGTTAATGTGGTGGGTGATCTTTTGTTTGTTTTGTCTTAGCACATCGCTTGGCATTTTTTGGCCCCTTAACTCCGCCGAGTCTAATGTGACCTTACACGACACGACCTCGGGATGAGTGGGATATATCATATCTAGGTATTGTAGGTCTGAGAATCTAAATTCGAATGTTCTATTTATTTATTGTTAAATCTAGACCAGAAATTTTGAAGCGTGTGGGAGCAAGTTTACTAGAGTGTTCGAAGACGTATTCTGTTTGCCACATTTAGAAGATTTATATACAAGGTTACCCATCTCGTTGAATCTACTCGTGATTGGAATAATAAACCAGTATATATTACTACTGTCTCATAGTAGTCACCAAACACTAATTTCCTTCTCGTCCGTACTCCGTATATTTGTATGTATAGGTACAAAGTACTTCCAAAACCTACCTACCTGCGTATCTCATCTCACTCATTCCGTCTCATTTCACCTCACCTCACATGGCTAAAAGTGATTAAGTATTCAAGAATAACAACCAACTACCTCACCCCACAAAATCCCTGTTTCAGGACCTTTCTTTGCAGTATCCAAGCATACAAACATCTAGATATTCAAAGTCCTCAATACTTAATTCCCTCCTCCATCGTTCTATCGTCCCCCATTCCTCCTGCCTAATTCCGCTACTCAGTTCATATCTATATCCAGAACCACAACTACAACCACAACCACAACCACAACCACAACCACATCTATCCACCCTTCATCATCCCAATTATCACCTACCTACCCCTACCTTTCTCCTTCCCTCATCTCTCTCCCCCTTTCTTACCCCCTCTCTCACCCAAATACAATCTCAAAGATTAATAAACACTATCACCCCACCACCCTCACCCTCACCTCAACATCACCCTCACCATCACCTCCACCCGCACAACCACAACCACAAAAGCACCTCTCAATACCCCTCAATACCCATTCACCCCTCTAAATCCATTCATTCATCAAAACCTTCCACTTAGCATTCCATTCCCTTCCCTTCTTAATACTAACCCTAACCCTAGTTAAATTAAAAACACCCGGTACTTATATTCTCAAAATCTTCTTCAAGCTTCAAAAACACTAATAATAATATTCTTATTAATATAAATATAAATATAAAAACAAAAATAAAAATAAAATAAAACAAGCAAAGATAAAGTCAAAGCAAAAGTCCTACCCACACACAACTAAGTATGCAAGTATGATAATAAACTCACCAAAAAAAAGTAGATTCAAACAACCAAATAAATTCTCTTTTGAATAATAATTGATAAATCAATAATCAATAAATAATAAACGCCCACCCACAACTCAGAATGCCACTCCATGAAGCCTTCCTTGCCTATTAATTAGCTAGCCAGCCTTTTTGCCAAAGACGCCTGGGTAGTAATGCTTTCTTCCAATTTTTTTTCCATTTTATTTCATCCCATCCCATGACATCCATTCCGTCCATTCCATCCATTCCATCCATTCCATCCATTTCAACGAGAAATTTCCTTTCAAGTAACAAGATATTGTAACAAGATATTGTAACAAGATATTCTCCCCCCAAAACCCCAGCTTGTGCTTTTACCTATCCATTCCCTCCCTATATTCTCATATCCCACCCCGCTGTCTCCCAAATACAAACCCACCCGTTCACAAAGCCTTAACATCCTTGATTTTCTTTCCACCCAAATCCTTCACCTTCTGCTCCAAATTCTTCTTCGCATGCAATTCAGCTACATCATCACCTCCTCCAATACTAACTCCATTAATCAATACATTTGGTACCGTTGTTCTACCCGTTAATTTCGCCAATCTCGCTTGTAGTTTTGCCCCGAGAGGATGTTGATCGAGTTCTACTACAAAGGGAAGTGGATCGATGGAGTATTTTTCAAGGAGGATATTTTTAGCGCGTTTGGAATGCGGACAGTAGGATTTGGAAAAGATGATTACTGTGAGGGTGGATATATTAGTTATGTTCTAGAGACAGAGACGATAGAAATAGAAATAGAAATAGGATGAAGAAATAAAGAAAAATGTAACATACTTGGAGATTTCTTCAAAATGGAATTCAATTCCGTCGTAACCTCCACATCTTCCTTCTCCTCCTCCTCGTCCTTCTCCTTCTCCTTAACAACTTCCTGTGCCTTGTCCCCACCAATCTTCTTCCTACCCGCTACACTCCTCTCACCCTGTCCTTCCGCCGCATTTCCTTTCCCTACAACCTGACTCGGCGGATCAGGTTTAAACGCCTTCGCATTCGCATTATCCTTCGCCTTATCAGCCGCATCTTTTAATCTCTGCGCCATTTGCTTTGCTACCTTTTCATCATCATCGTTTTTACCACCGGTACCTGCACCCGCCTCAGCCACCTCCTGTTTTCCCAGCCCTTTCATAGTTTTGGCGTAGAAATCTCCACCCGTGCCAGCTGCGACATTGCGTTGTTGACGAACAGAGGATGTGTAGAAGAGGAGGGAGACGACGGCGATGAAGACGAGGAGGCCGAAGATTTTGATTCGTCGCATAGATGCCATTTTGGTTGGCTTTTCCTTGTAGTAAGGAGGATCTGTTCAATTGGAAATTGTATCATCAGTTGGTGCTGCTGTTGCTCTTGATGATTATTTGGAATTTTGAATGTGTGAGAAGTTGGAACTTTGCTTACTAGGTTCGTAGTACTTTCCCATTTCAACTGCAGCAGCAATGCAGGATGTTTAATAATTTATGTGGTAGCGGTAGGATAGGTGGGTAGGTAGGTTGGAGCTTTCGTTTCTTTCTTTCCCTTGTCGTTTCCTTTCCCCCTTCTCTAATTATACCACGGAATTTGTAAGCTTCGAAAGAGGTATTTCTTCGACCCCTCTCACTCCACAATAATCAGATTAATCAAAACCACCTGTCTGTCAATCTAATTGCAAATCTGCCGATAATCCGAAATATGTTCTCCTCGCTTTATAAATATACGGAGTACCTAGTTACCTAGGTAAGATCTTATATATCTTGTATCCGAAAAATCAAACTCACACCAGTGAAACCAAGTCTCGCTTCCACAAATATTCTACTACCGTTATAGAATAATTCTCTGGCTGCTCGTGTTGTAATTGCCAGTTTGGTGTACTCCGTACGTAGTATTGATGTGATGTATTGATGTTGGTGGACCCAATATTCCCCTTCCGTCTCTCCAACAGTGCTCCCTCCCTGTCATAAATCCTAGAATATGTGCGGTGCGATAACTAGGTTTGACCCTCCTATTCCTTATCGTGAACTATATTTAGGTCGTTTATATCTATCTTAATCTTAATCTTAATCTTAAATCTCAAGCAACGTTAACCTTCACAAATCAAACTAATAATTTGATCATCCAGAACTACTAGCTAGGTAGACCTCCCTATCTACACTTCTAATTTCTGTATAAAATCAATAAGGTTATATCGGTATAAATAATAGACAGGAATAATAAATAGTATTTCAAAAGTAATCTTATCTAGATCTAGATACCTACCACGATATACACGTATATATCATATATCTATCATTCCATCATTCCATTCCATCCATTCCATCCCATCCATTCCATTCCATCCACTCATGATACATTCCATCCCACTAGCCACTAGCCACTAGCCACTAGCCCATAAGAAAAAACAGTTAGTACTAACTCAATACTCCGACTCAGGACTCAAGACTCAATAAAACGCCTCATTCATTCTTATTCCCATCTCACCACAGAAACTCCCTTCCCTCCCTCCTTTCCTCTCTTCCCTCTTCCCCTCCCTCTTCCTCTTCCCTCTTCTCTCTTCTCTGTTCCCTTCCTTCCACTTCCTCCCCACTTCCTTCCTCCCTCTTTAAAATAACCCTACAGCCACCCCATCCCCCTCCCAACCCCCAACCGCTCCTAACTAAGAAAAATACCCATCAATACCTACCAATACCTACCTATCAATAACTTTCGACCCTCACCCATAACCCTTAATCCTCCCCGAACAACCTCGATACGAATAAGTACAAATTTAGCCTCTTATACGATAAACTTTTAAGCAAAGCATGAACAGTGATAGATACCCATCCAAGTTCCAACCCATCCATTATACCTAGTAAAATTGCCAATATAAGGGTATCATCTATTATTTTTATTATGTATTAAGCTAAGTATCTAGAGGCATATTACATAGTATGTATAGTTATGGTAATCGTACAAGTCGTATCAAGAATCCCATCCATCCCGCTGTGCACCAAGCAAGCAAGCCCCCACAAAGTAACTGACAAAGGAAACTTAAAATATGCGTGCGTGCGTGCAGATCTGCCATCTCATCATCACCTAGCGCCATCAAACTTTTTCTCCTCGCTTGATATCTCCGCTCAATCCATCATGAATATACCGCCTTAAGAGCCTCTCATCTGAAGGCTCCCACACTTGCCCTTTCCCTTAAAGTCCTTTTAGTCCCATCACCTGGAGTAGATCCAGTAATCTCAATCCAATCCTCCCATTCTCGCGCGATTTCCATAAGTACACCACCCATCACAGTAGCCGAAGCCATTAAGCCATGCCCTTCTCCTTCTAATACTCTTACTTCACATCTCTTCATTGTTTTTCCCAACCATCGAACATTTTCAACTGGAACTCGGGTATCCTTACTTCCATGATGAATAACTGTTGAACGTGTAATATCAACATAACGAAACCCAATAGTATGTCTTCTTTCTAAACACACTAATAAATCTACAGCAGGGTTTGCGCCAATAGTAGCAAGGTCCCATATAGCATGGGTTAAACGTGTATCGTAAGTCATTTGCCTTTCTTTGTCGGCTAATGTACTGGCAGCCACTGCTAGTATTGCAGCATCATGATTCGGATCATTTGGATTCCCTGCTGCTTCCTCCATTGATTCTGCCGCCAGAAATTCTGGCCTTTTTGAAGGATCAAATTTTTGATTCTCCTTATCTAGACCTGGGGTAAGTACGTTATTCCTACCACTCGGTGTGGGAGTATCTCGAGGGGTACTTGTAGATTTGCGTTTATTTCTCTTTTGCTTAGGAAGACTACTGGTAACTGAGCTACTAGTAGCACTCATGAAGCTGGAATTAGCAACCTTGAGAATTGTAGTTGGAAGCGCACGAAGAATACGCTGAGATGTAGGTATAGAATTTGCCGGTGGAGACACTGTCTGTGTACCAAACGTCGTCAATTGAGAAGGTGGAATCCAAGGAGCAAGAAGATGAATACGACCGCGAATGTGTTGTGGCATACGTAATGCTGTTGCAAGAGCATATATTGCACCCGCTGAATGCGCAAGTATGGAGAACTTTGTTATCCTCAAAGCTTGACAAATTGCGTACACATCATCTATGTAACATTAGCACTGAAAAAGATAATACAGGTATAAAGCTTACCAGGCCAGCTCAGTGGAGTCGCCGTGCCATCAGTATATGGCTCACTTTGTCCAACTCCTGGTCTATCGGGTGTGACTAATCGTAACTTCAGCGCCAAAGCAAGTTCATCGTAAAAAGCGGTGATATATCTAGTCAACCCCATCCCAACACAGCAGAATACAACTGAACCCTCTGGATCGCCAACTTCTGAGAATGAGATGGTCCGACCGCTTTGAGGATGCCTGATTTTCTGTGATAAGCGCGGGGAGGCAAGGTAGGCTGTGACGGCATCATCGATGGAATCCGCACTGCTAGGACGAGCGTCAAGAAACACAGAGGCAGGTCGCGCTGGCTCGGAGGAGACATATTTAGACTCAGGTCTGGAAGAATTTTTCTTGAAGGTATCATTGTTTAAATTGCCAGGGCTTAAAGGCGCAGACAAACGTTTCAGACGTGAAGTGCTCCGTTTTATCTTTAGCTCTGGTGGTTCAGGTGAAATCCCGCCAGATTTTCTTTTCTGGCTAGATGACCGTTTGGCTTTGTTTGGACTCTGGTTGTGTTGTGATCTTCCTTGGGTAATAACCGGTGCAGGGGCACACTCAATATCATCCTCAAAAACTATGTGCTCGTTATTCTTTGTAGTCTCTTCAAATTGGTTGTTGGCTAGCGTTGTAGATTCGAGCAATGGAGAAGGTACGGACCCCTCGCTAGGCACTTTCAGATTCGTGGATTCCCCAGATTCCGTCGAGCTTTCCTGCCTCTGATCCGGGCCTTCGTCATGTTCATTAGTAGTATTCTTCTGTTTGTCACGTTCCATATCACTTTGTCGACTCGCTAATTTCGAATCGCGTTTCTTCGTCTGAGCGGCCGGTTTTCGAAGTGAGGAATCTCGTGGAGGTATAAATCTACCAGATCCAATGCCGCCGGGACTATTCGCCAGCGATGGAGACCAAAGACGAGGAAGTGGGTTTGTGTTGGTAGTATCGAGGGTGAGTATCGTATGTTTGCCTATTGTGAGAGGTTCTTCAGTAATAGGGATTTCAGCCATAAAAGACGGTTGATCAAGGTTGGGTATGGCTACACGATCAAGCCCAAGGCCCTTCAAATTTCGTTTCTTGTCCGATGCGTTCTCCCTAAGTCTCTCTTTTGAACTCATGTACATTAACCCTTTATGATTCCTAGCCTGTTTTTTGTCCCAACTTTCCGTGGACCTTTTCCTTTCCAACTTCGGTGTTGGAGGGTAACCAGACTCTATTGATAGATTGCCGATTGTGCTCGATTCATCTTTTTCCCTTGAACCTTGTGAACCCGTCGAACTCGGTCGGCGCAAAAAGTTTTTGAGTGAGTTTGATCTAGAATCTGCGGCAGGCGACTTTGGTGCAGTCAATGGTGAAAATCCCGATGGAGGTTTCGCAGTCTTAATGACAGGAGGGCTCGCAGCCAATTCATCGAGAGATTCTTCTTCAACAAGTTCGCGCAATGAAGGTCGCCTAAATGCGCCGTAGTCTATTCCAAAACTTCCTCCTGAACTTGTCCTAGTATATGATGGTCGCAACTCTGAATGGGTAAAGAAGGTTTGCGAAGCAGTTGGTGAAACGGATGTTGAGTGATTCTCGAATAGTTCATTCGCAGGAGAGGATATGATGGAAAGCGATGTAATTAGAGAAGATATAACCTCCGGGGACGCGGGTTGTATTGATACACGATTTGAGGAATGCGCCGAGGGACCAGAGAGAGATTTTCGACGTCGTGATCGATATGGTATTGGTGGGGGAGTCTCCATGGCGCTGTGTAAGGATCGGAGGTACCGCACCTACTATAAATGGAAGTAGTGGTAGGTAGGTTTATTAAGACGATTTGATACAAGCATTGACACCACCTTCAACACCACAAACCACCAAACAGTTGAAAGATTGTTTCAAAGATCCCGATTATGTTTAACGTGTGAAAAACGTGTGCGAAGAATTGGCTTGGTGTGAAATTGGATGATACTCTGTTCGCAATGGCTCGCACTGGCTGATAGGTAAAGGGATTAATATGATATGGTCCGAGAACGTATGAGTGAGTAAATGAGTAGATGTGAAATAAATGAATGTTAATCGATTACCTTAGGCACCTTGAGCACCTTTGTAATAACCCAAGAAACCGGAAAGGTGTATCAAAATATCAAGACAGTCAATGTGCGCAGTCTGTTGAAGTTATAATAATCAGGAACATACGAGACAGACCCATTTGAAACGTCCTGTTGCCAAAGCTTGAACCAAAGTAAAGGGCCCCTCGGTAGGTTAGGTAAGTGATAATCAATGGAAACTCAAGCTTCCAAGCTTCTAAACCTCCAAACTGCTAACCTTCCAGCAGGAACTCTCTAATCGACTGATAATTTTTGGTGAATTGTCGAAAGCCCCATACTCCGTACCTAGTTCAGGTTCAGGGGCATTCACTGCCTATCGCCTTTTTCCCAAATAATTGATTAACTGTGTCGCGGGGGGAACGTCCCGATGGGAATTTCAATTGACAATGATAGGTTGAATTGTCAGTTCTGCCTGCAAAATGCAATGCAGAACATGGATGCTCTTTTCCCGCGAACGCACTCGTGGATAGATGTGATGGATTTGGGTGGGCTTCGTGGGACGCCTTTGATTTGTGCCTTTTATTTTTCTGGGTCGCCAATTTAATCTCGACAGGGCGATCGGGAAAGGATCACTTGGGAAAGAGGGACCTTGTAGAACATTGATAGAACATTTCAAGAAGACATTGATCGATGGTAAAATGACTTTTGAGGTAGAGAGAGCGATGTGACGAGAAGGGGGAGGGAGTGGATAGTGAGGGGGAAATACATTCCATTATATTCAATGCCCCTTTCCAAATAATCGGTTACAACTTACCTGCAATTATGCCTTCTATGAACTGTGGCCACTGTTATCCAGTAATTTGCGAAGACCATTTTTTTTATATCGGAATCCGCTTCTTAAAGTTTCTACAATTAGCATTAGTGGATCTGAAGCTTCTTCCTTCTTCTATTTCTTACTTCTTTTCATCTACCTAAACGAGAATCAAAAACGAAAAGAGATCAACAGGTTGTATGAAGGTCCGAGCTGAGGACAGGATTGAATTGCTTCATAAGTCTACTACTAGGATACCTAGCTGCATATAATAAATACAGCGTACTCCGTTCTTCAAGCGGCGGGTAGCCGTACTCAAGACCCCTGATGCAGTAGCAAAGGCCAAGTATTATAGCCGAGCATTCCTCCACATGGCAAAAAGTGGACATGAAATCAAGAAAACGTCAGTGTTAGTTATGACATCGTCACCACGAGGGGTCAATTTTTGGACAACTTAAACTATGGAGCGGGCCGTTCGTTGGCATTACGGTACAGAAGTAAATCTTCTTTTTATTCTCCACTACCTGAGAAGTATAAGGTTACACAGTACACCTTTACTTATTTCGAATCATACATAAGGTTACATCTTTCTAGAAAAACCTTTTGCAAAAACAAACTCCACGATGGATGCTCTGCTATCGCTTCCGGTGGTGGGATACTTTCTCCTGCCATCAGTATCAACATACTCAACATCGTTAAACTTCCTATTCTTTTACATGACATGGTCAACTCTCGTGCTTTCGCATTCGGCTGTAAAGGTCGAGTTAGTAGGGACCCTTGGAATAAGACTATTATTCTTCGTAATACCATCATTACTATTCCTCCTCTTCGATTCGATCATACCAAGTTTATCGGTAGGGGTTAAGCGGCAAGGAAAACAAGCATTACCTACTCGTACGGGGGGAATAAAAGTATCCAGGTCCAAGGTTCCGAAATGGTATGAGGTTGTTGGGATCAGCATATTCAATATCTTGCTTGGAATTGGCATTCAAGCGGGACTGGAAATGTTCCTTACGGAAATCTTACACTATAAAACTGCGCTAAGAGTCACTACCACGTTACCCATGCCATGGTCGATCGCCAAGGATGCTTTAAAATGTCTTCTTGCCCGCGAGGTTAGTGATAATCTCATTAGGTGCTTTCGTTCTGTGTTCATGGCTGACCCATTTTTCTTACAGGTCCTACAATACTACACTCACCGTTATATTCTCCACGCTCGGTCTTCAAACTTCCTCAGCAAGGGCCACAAGACTTATTTCCACTCCATCACTTCTCCATATGCATTCGTCGCACATTACGATCATCCAGCCTCCTACATCCTTTTCCGCTTCATTCCCATCTATCTCCCCGCACTACTTTTTCGTGTCCACCTCCTTACCTATCTTCTCACTCTCTCTGTCGTCACTTCAGAAGAAACACTTGCATCATCCGGCTACACCAGCATCCCAGGTATTATTCTTGGTGGTATAGCACGTCGACAAGATCTACACAGTGAAAGTGGCGGAAAAGGAAATTTTGCACCATTGGGTTTATTGGATTGGATCCATGGAACTAGCATTGGGCCTGGATTTGAGGAAGATATTGCGGATGAGGCTGAAAAGCATCAAGTCAAGAGTCGAAGCAGAAAGGCAATTTCTAATGGAAAGGAGGGTATGAAATCGTTAACTGGGGGAAGAAGAAGTTCTAGGAGGAGTTAAGATTTATTTTTGCTGCCAAGGAGGACTGGATTGTCTTTAGGTTTTGTCTAGTATTGGAGTTTGGGAACCGTTTGGTTTTACGTTGAGATACCCATGATTGATGACTCTACGACTCTTGCTATGTATCTTTCATAAATTCCCTATGATAGCAATTTACATCACCAGATTAAGGCAGAAATTTCCTCATACAAAGTTCCAAGTACAAATTGCATCTACAAGTAGGCGCGTACCTTCAACTTGACAACCAACCATCTACTTACACCTGAACTGCTACTCTCCTCCATTTCAGTTATCCTCTGATCAGGAATGCATTGTAAATACTAGGTATCATAAGATTCTAAGTCAGGTACCTTGCTGGCTGGCTGGCCCTTGACTACGGAAGATAAGAAAGACAGTTACCATGTTTAAGTACAGGGGTATCGAGCAATGTTCCAATCTCACTCTCTCTACCTCCTTAAGATGAAGAGGCTTTTCAAACTCCCACGAGCAGAAACTTAAAGGTCGTTGTAATCTTACGTTAATAACAGCCATCTTCAAGATATTTCAATCCATAAGAACTTAGAAACTTCGGGAAAAAGGAGGTTAATTTCCAACATACATCCTAACCTATATCCAAAAACAATTACCATTAACCTCCCCATCATCTCAAACTTCCCACTCACCACCCAACTCCTCCTCCTACCCACCCACAACTCCCACAACCCCCTTCAAATCTCAAATCTCCCCTTCCCAACAAAATAACACGTAATCCCAACTCCCCAAATTTCCCAATCCCAAAAAATCCCTCCTTCAAACAAATTCCAAATTCCAAATTCCAAAAACTCAAAAATTGAAGTCACATCTACGTACGTATGTATGTATATGTAACCTATACCCTTCCTAGTCAAATCTAATTTTTTACCCACCCACCCATCCATCCATCCATCCTTTACCAATTCTTTTCTTTAGCGAAGGAAACCACCCTCTTTAGATATGCAACAATAAGTTTTGAGGTTTCGGGGGATGTTTGATTGGTGAGTCGGATCGGATCGGAGCGGAGGGAGCTGGGTCCGAGATGTGGGGTGAGTGAAGTTGTGGAGTTGATTGGAATATGGAAAGTTTGGTGAGTCTTTGTGGAAGATTTTGTGTTGCTTTGTTTATTTTGTTTAATTTGTTTGTTGATTGTATGATGTGATGTGATGGTGATGTGATGTGATGTGATGTGATGTGATGTGACGTGGTAGGGGATTATGAAATCGTTTGAAGGGTTTAGGGTTTTTGGTATATCTGTAGGTTAGGTTACTATTGTATAGAAGTTGAATCATGATTCATCTGCTTGTATGGAATTTATGTAGTTCCATATTTTTGAAGGATACTTACTTACTTACTAGTTACTAGATGGTTGCAAAGTGCAAGAGTTTGCATATGCCATTGGTTTAATACTCAAGGGAGACAAGAAACTAAAGAGAACGGGAGAAAGAGGGGCAAGAAACGATCCTTGACCTCTTATGAATGAAATATATCTTCTTTGAACATTAACTTCCTGCTATTCAGAAGTTTCTGATGCTAGTGAAGTTGAGGTCATGACTTTTCATTGGAGAGACCTTCAAGAAATGATGCTCTAATCTATCAAAGGGTTATGGAAATTGATGAAATTTTGGTGAGGATTGAATGTCCGAGGAATCTTCGCTTAATGAAATCTTCTTGCCTCATATCAAAACAATCACCCCTTTTTAATAAGTTATCAATTGTTCTCTAATTGGATATTCAAGGTGTAGTTTGAAGATGACTTAGATGGAAGGTTTTATAAGTTCCTTCGTATCTTGGTTTTTTGTAGTATTAAAAATATTCTCTTGATGTTGATCATATGTCCAACACAAGATTTGAACTCTGACTTGTCTCCTTTAGTAAGCTGGATTTTAAGATATCTATTGAATCTTAATATCTAGACTTACAAAAAGTCAACCTGAATATTTGGTTTACAGGAATTGGAGTAAAACTCTGGCCATACGAATCTACTAGTAGTATCTCAGTATCGGTCCTTTAACCTGGTTATTACTTTGGTTTTTGGTTATTTCCATTGAAGCGCCGAGAAGCTTGTCCAACAAGGCCTTTCTTCAACTCACTCTCTTCCATATCCTTCCATTGATTTCTTGATCTTTTTCACCTTTTGACATGCAAAAAATCAATATACACACACTCCCAATTCCCGTTCCATATTCTCTAACAATTGTCAGTCAAAAGGTTGAGTGTTTAGTTCTCCTATACAACACACAACCCTGTTCTTTCGGATTCTTGTGTTGTACAGGTCTTGGACTTTCCATCATCACCAAGAAGATACCATCACCGCGTGTTTATTACACGTTCTTTCCAGGGCAATTGTTTACTGAGCTTTGAAGCATCAACTCTTACGCCAAATCTTACTTCTCATGGCTCGCTCTCTCACGAATAATCTACTAACCTCCGGTAGAGGAGTGGAATTACCAGCAGATATATGCTTGCGCGTTGTCGACCTGGTTATTCATGACGCACCCAAGAATATCGTCTTATTACTCAAGCTTTCGCGTGTAAGTTATGCACATACTCATTTTATACATCATCCATCCCCCCTGCCAGTCACCATAACCATTCCCGATCAACTAACTTCTTCCAGTCCTTCAAAAAGCTCATCAAAGCATACGAACGAGCACTCACCAAAAATGCCGCCAAACTCTACGCCAACTCCCAAGTAAATCAACAAACCCACCTCATCGCCCTCAGCCAACCCAAATCCAACCGCTCATGCCTTGCGCCAAACTTCCACCTCAACCACACATTCGCCTGGCTCCTAGAAGTCCAAACACGTTCCAGAACAACCCAAGAAATAATCCAAGACCCCATTTCCCAATGCCACACCCCCACCATCTACTGGGCTAACGGCACAAGTTTCGATCCCCCCAGTCTTCCCATCCCCGCCCCAGAACTCGAAATCCGCATCGTAAAATTCAAACAAGAAGCGCTAAAACTCCTCTACGAACTCCTCGACGCAACACAAGGTATCCAAAACGAATGGCGCGCACGCACTAGACAAATAAACCATCTCGTGCAACTCAGCACCCCCGAACTAGCAATCCTGTGCATCTTCATCCCAATCCTCGGATTTAACCTCCTCGAAAAATTAAAAAACCATAGCCAATCACTCGATACAAAAAGAGAAATAATAATCTTCCAGCATAATCTCATCCGTTACGGTCCTATAGTCGCTTGGTTGCATATTTCCTCCGGGATTAAATGTGAGAGGATGGGGCTGGGGAAGATGATGGTGTTGAATGGATGGTTTAAGGAGAAGCAGGTTGAGGGCGTGCGTTTGCTGAGGAGGTTTGAGAGGGGGGCGACTAGGGAGGCGAATATGAGTTTGCTGCTTTGGAGGGTTTTTCAGGAGAGGGGGGATGTGAGTAGGGTTTGGGGGTGGGAAGTGGGGAGGGTTGTGGGGGTTGCGAGGGGTTGGTGGAGAAGAGGATGCTAGCTTATGTTCTTGATTGAGTTGTTGGGTATGGGGGAGAAGGGGGTTGGGGGCTGTGCTGTGCTGTGCTGTGCTGTGCTGTGTTCTTGCTAGTTTTGGGTGTGGTGGTGGCTCTGATTACGAGTCGCGCGGGATCGAATAATGTTTATATATGATGAATGAGGAGGATATTCATATTGTTTGAACCTAATTGTATGATTTGGTAAGGTATACTCTGGATGAACTGAACGGAACGAGGACTAAAAGTACAGCTGAATAGCTAATCAAGTATCAAGTATCGCGACTTAGGATTAGGATTAGTATTAGGTTTAAAATTAAGCTTGGATCGGAATAAAAACTACTACACAATGGAAATTAGATTATATATCGACTATTTGTCGTATGTAGGAGGTTGGAGACTTGTATCTTTAATTCGTGTCTCTTTCTTGTGGATGAGAGTAGTTGTAGTGGAGTATGTAATACGATTGGTTGTTTATTTATTTTATTGATGGAGAGAGATGAGGGATAAGGGTTGAGGAATGAGGATTTAGTAGTTCTGGTTTTGTAAGATCTAAAGAGAGAGTATATGTTAATATTAATAGTGTTGAAAGGATTTGATGATGTAAGACTTGAGATTATTTATTTTTGTATAATTATAATTGTGAGCTAAATCTCCTTCTTTTCTGATTTATACGGGATAATTTAAAAAACCTAAGGTTGTATAGGTAGATAGAAAATTATATAAAATATTTACTCATAGGGAAACTAATGACGCTTAATTAGATGATTGATTTTGATAATAGTTATATAAAATGATAGACTGATGAAGAGTTGATAAAAACTCTGGAAGGTGATGAACAAGCGGTTCCTAGAATCCTCGAATCCTTGGATATTTGATGATCACGAGGATAGAGCTAGGGTTTGTATGTGATTATATGTAGTGAGAAGTAATATGAAGATATTCTATTTAGGTTAGGCCATTTTTTGTTATTTCGAAGAAATTTTGATTTTGGTTTATCATTCGGATTTCCTAACACAGTATGTTTTTCAATACTCGGGATTGTTGATTACCAGAAGTGCATCGTCCAAACGGAAGTTGAAGTCGCACTTTATCCCTTTGATGTACGACTAAAGAAAGGATTCATGAAATGTATGCCTTTAGACTCACTTAACTCACTCCAACTAATCCGACTAACTAGGTGGTTGGAAAACTTGAGGGGAAGATAGAAGTGGAAGGAGCTCTCTCTATACTATAAAGACAGAAAAAAGAAGACTAAGGAGCCTCAACTTGGCAAATTAGCCATTATCTCAAGAGCGGATACCGCATGGAATCGCTTACTTTAATTGACATTTGAGATGAACAGGACGTGTAAAGTGCTTTTATTATAATTGTATATATTAAAAAGAGTATTTACCTGTATGAGAAGGACTACTCGTATAGGGGTAAGAATAGGTATGGCGCTATAGTTACAATCGAGATGCAGGGAATGAAAAAAAAGGAATCGGAAATTGAAGTATGGATACAGGCTAAAAAGCATGTGAATGTATTGCTAACATAACATTTCTACAGTTTCGAAGGATCTTTAAGCTGTGTTGCAACCGCAGAATCCAGTGAATGTGTTCTTTCCATTTTTAGAATGCTTGACTTCCGCCGTTACTTTCCGATCATCGGTTCAGCAATGAGAGTACAATAGATATTAGATATAAGGAGAATAGAAAAGACATCAAAACTATAGACGTGAGAAGGAGGAAATACTACCCTCACAAACTCATTCAATATACTTTTCTACTCTTCTCTCCAAAAGCAAGATAACAAAGACAGGAAAAAGACAACTGTTTTAACAAGATATTACTTATATACTGAGTAGATCAGCGACTTCATCAAGGGGATTAAGAGATTTAAAGAAAACATCACAAAGAAATCACAAAGAACAACAAATAAAAAACGAACTTTTTGGGTTTAATAAATTGAAATTTAGGAATTTAGTCAATTTGGTAGATGATCAGAAAAAAAGGAAAGTAAGGAAATAAAGAAAGAAGGGAAACAAGAAACAAAGAAATAAGAAAAGAAGGAAAGAAATGAAAGAAAGAAACAGGGAGAGAAAGGAAAAAAGAAAGAGAAATATGCTGGCAAACAACTCACAACTAAGTATCTTTGCGGATCTACCTCAAAAATACTTGCATCATGTTACTTAGCACTTGCTTACAAACCAATGATTCGAAAAGCACCAGTAAGTAAATCATGAAACTTAAAGAAAGCGATCGAGAGAAAAAAGAACTCACTGAGCATTCTTATCTCCTACTCTTCGCCTTCCGAAGCTCTTTTAACCTCTCCAACTCCTCCTCAACCGCCTGCACAAAGCCCTCAGAGAAAAGCGGAAATTCCAATTCCCCCAAGTTTCCCAAAGCTTCCAAGCGTTGCAAGTTCCTCTCCAAGGTTTGCAAATTCCTCTCAAACTGCATATCCTCCTCAGTCTTCGTCTTCGCCGCCTGTTCCTCAGCGTCTTTAGCCACCGTAAGCTCATTCAACCTCTCAAACTCCTCCCCAATCTCTCTGAGTCTCTCCAATTCCTGCTCAATCCCTTCCACAAACTGCCAAGAGAAGATCGAAACTCCCGCTTCCTCCAAGCTCATCAAAGTTCTCTCCAACTCCTGCACTGCGACTTTGGTTTCCTCCAGTGCCTCTGGAAGCGCCGATTCTCGAATACACGCTGAGTTTGGCTCATTTTCTTGCATGGTCCTCCATTGGAGAAAGACTCTCTGAGGAGTGTATAAACGCTCTGGCCAGGGATCTTGCACAAAGAGTACACCGCCGCGTAGATGTTTGGGTTGTTCAGAAATCATTCCTCGGGCAATGGTTGCCCATTTGGATTCTAAAGTGTTATCTTCGAAGCTGTTAACAACTTCGTTGAAGAAGGCGATTTCGCTTGGGACCCAGATGGTACGATCGGCCATTTTTGCGGTTGTTAGTGTTGTAAGGTTTGTGTAGAACTTAGAAGAATTCTTAGAAATGCTTATTTATCTAGATGATTGTATGAGTTTTATCTGGATAGTTGCTAAGAAGTTGATAGTTGATGATAGAATGAAATATTTACTGACCTAGAACTGCATCTCATTTATAGGTGGACTCTACATGTCGTTCAGATACTGTTCGACTCCTGTCTTGACATTGTAGTCTTTTTGCGAATGAGGTACTCTCAACAATTCAAACCCTGAACAAATATTATTCGAGAATTATTCTACACTACTTTGTTCTTACAACTTAAAGCAGTCTATAGTAGCACAGGTCTGATGTTGGTAAAGTGCTTATGGGGGTCCAGTACCAACAAACTTAATTCATATATCCCTTAGATTGTATCCATCCCAACTGAGGCGCCAAGAACATAAACTACAACTTGCTCTTCTGAGCATTACCCTCTTCTCTGGCTGCAGATCCGGGAGTATTTGCGGCCCCACCAGTCTTCGAACCAGAATTTGCCTTGATACTAGCCATATCCTGATCTAACATTTTCCCATCTCCACTGCTGCCCACAGGCTTCATTAAAGCTCTTCCGTTACTCAAGCAAATCTTTCCACCTTCCACTTTGGTGATGAATCGAATTTCTTCCCACCCTTCTTTGATTTCTCCTGTTTTCCAGATCTCGATGATTAATTTATCACCAGGTTTAACCGGTGATGCAAATCGACACGAGAATTCTTTGATGTTCTTGGGGTCACTACCACCAATAGCTTTAAGAATTGCATGAGCAGTAAAATTCCATGATGAAAGACCATGCATGATAGGTCCTCCAAAGCCCATCTTTTGACCTGGCTCAGGTGTTGCATGTAGGGGATTGTAATCACCGTTCAATCTACCATTTCCGACCCATTAGTCAGAGGCCACAACATTCAGTGAAAAAGTAGAATCATACCTATACAACAATGCACTTTCCTTAGTGGTCTGATGTTCCATCACAGCGTCTGGCTTCTTTCCTTCCGGGGGAGGGAAATTTTGAGTCGCCGGGCCCTTGGGTCCATTCCAATTACCCTGACCAACAAAGAATGAGGACCCAACAGCTCTGCTATAAACCTCTCCGTTCTTTTTATCTACGATCTCCTGTTGCGTCTCAACAACCGTGCCAGATTTTCCTTTGTCATATACACCAATTACTTTAGAGCGGAGTTCAAATGTTTTACCAGCTGAGGTAGGAGGGAGTGGTTTGAGAAAAGTCATTGAACGACCTCCATCAAGGACACGAGTGTAGTCGAATTTAGGCACACCTGGAATCGGAGTTGCGGAGGAGGCGGCATAGAAGTCAATTACTTCTTGGGTTGTGTTTTTAAATGCTTGGGAGATGTTAGCTGATAGATAGAACGAGGGGAAGGACAACCTTACGAAGAATGACAGGATAGGTTGGGAAGACGGCAAAGTTAGGATGTAATTCCTACAGTTTGAATTAGTTTGAAACCCTTCTGATTGAGTATCAGATTCATACGTATAAGAAGTGCAGCTCATCATTCGTACATCCAATGCTGTTGGCGAAGAGCAAAACATCTCTGGTTAACCAAGAAACCTCCTCTGCAGGATATTCAAAACCAGCTCCTGGACCAGACATTTTGATGGTTGTATGTGTTGATTCGAGTATTAGTGTCTTTGTTTTACCGAGAGAGTTGATTCTTGAAGATTGGGAAGTGGATTGAAGAATATGGGATAAGAGATAAAAGATAAAGGCCAAAAGATAAATAAAAGACAAGAGGAAGCACCAGAGAGCTTTACTTGAGTAGGTTACTCGTAGCTACCCCGGAATTCCTTTTGTGATCTCCACAGTTCGGCCATTTCTCATCTGCCGAGGTATCTTCGGAGAAAGGAGAAAAGAATGAATATGAAATATGAATAACCTTAGAACATGTTTGTTTGCACAAGAGTAACGGCAACGTCATCACAATTAGAAATTACACAATACTTAAAACATTACTTATATTTTTCTTTGTTTAATACCCAAATACCTAGGAGATAAAGTTTTTTAAGTAATATAGCTTAAGTGGTGAATTTGGCGTCAGATAGAACCCGGCGGAACGATTGCAAAACATGGAGAATTGTTCAGACGCTGCGATTCATTCTCCTCCTTTTTTCTCCTTCAATTTGAATTGTTGGGAGTACTTTAGGCATTGAAATGCTTTTCGAGTAAATGTAAATTTACATGTCACATAGTCATAATGGAAAGCGTTGGCACAATGGGACCACATTAGTTGTACTGAAGTTCATTGGTTAGATGCATTCTATCGAAACCTTATTAAAACGAACTCTTTTTTTTTAATATCGTCGATGTAAGAGAAAAGCTCTCAAAGGTGAGTCTTGAAACTTTCAAACCTGTGAACCTTTCAAACCTATCTCTCCACGCCAGTAAGCAAAGAACTCTAGAATCAAGGTCATTCTCGGCCCATTCTCGTCCTGTAACTGTAACTGAAAACTCGAATAAGGCCATTACGTCAAAGTATCGATCCTTCCCATAATCAAAAAGTAAAAGAAACATTAGCCACGCCTGAGTTTGCCTTAATAAATCTCAATCCCCATAGCAAAAGATCCCCAGTTGGTCTTGTGGTATCACCCACTTAACTGACCGGTAGGTTCTCCATTTTGCCCTTGCCATCGGCAATCCACTCAGGTTCGATGAGTTTCTCTCGATCGGCATACAAGTATTTGTAAGCCGTACGAATAGTACCATCGCTAACACCAGCTACTTGGGATATATCCTTTGCAGACTTTGGCTTCCCGAGAAGAGCTGATGCCATATAGATGCAAGCGGCTGCCACTGATAGAGGTGATCTACCAGCGAGATCACCAACGGTAGAAACCTTTTCAGCGAGGCCTTGGGATACTTTGACGAACTGTTGGCTCTTAAGACCAAGTTGACTGCAGTAACGAGTACAGAGGTCTTTGGCATTGGTTGACGTGGTTGTTTGGTAACTCTCTGTAGCTGCAAGAGCTTGAAAGCAATGTTAATATATACCAGTATAAGATCATCAGCTTATACGACTTACCACCAACGGCTTCAGCCCTCGCCTTCTTGGCTGAACTATCTGAAGCAAAGAATTTTTCAAGTGCTTTGAAAGTTCTACCAATATCCTTCTTCGAAACCTTTGTCAAGGCATAGATCTCACGGAAGGTTCTAGGGACATCGCACTGACGGCAAGCGATAAAGATGCAGCCAGCGATGATGGCTTCTTGGGATTTACCTTTGAAGGCTTTAGCATCATCGACAAGTTTGAAAAGATGCTTCGCGGTATCGGAGACGTTCTTTGGAATGTTAACAGCGTCGCAGTGAGCACCGATCTCCTTGTAAGCCGCAAGTAAAGCCTTGGTTGATTTATCTGTACCTTGTTTACCTTGAGCACGGTAAAGTTCCCGACTGCGTACGGAACTGTCACCAAATGCAATTGTTGTGGAAAGTTGAGAACCGTTCAAAAGAGGATTAGCAGCGTCACCAACACGGGATGGATCATCATTTCCCTGATCATCGTTGGAGAATGTACGCCATTCGGAGCGTGTATCAACAATCCGATCACCAATGACTACACCACATGTGTCGCAGACCAAGTCTCCAGAAGAAAATTCTTCGACGAGATTTGGTGGAATCTCCTTGCAGTCCTTACACATAACCGTGACGTTCAAATTCTGACTCCATTCTGTTGTCTTGTCCAATGATGGTGGAGCCATCATCTTTGGTTTGTATGGTTTTGGTCGATAGATATTATCAAGTTTATCGAAGACGGGACGTCTCTTTGGCTTACGACGGACTTGTGTTCTTTTCTTCGTGACAGCTAGACGGGTCCTGATATCTCCTGTAGCTTTATCGCAGAGAAGTGTAGTTGAAAGCTTGATGAAAAGCGGAGAATGCAGTTTGGCGGTATTGTGGGGAAATTAAGGTGAGTTGGTGAATCGAGACAAGTCCGATGACGGTAATCAAGGGTCCCTTGACGTGTGATTCAAAAACTCGGTCAAAGTGAAGGTAAGCTGAGTATCGAGAAAGAAGATAAAATACGTGTATTGACGGTAGATATTGCAGAGTAAATCAAAACCAGTATAAGAAGACGCGTGTGGCGAGTCGATTGTGATGTAAACTGCTTTGGCAAAGTCAAAAACCTGTCGACATGCGATTTATCGTCTCGAAAAAAGGATGTAATTCAGCGGAATGCGCGAATTTCGTCTAGTGAACTTAAGGTCAAATAGATTAGGTGTTGTAAAGTAGAATAGTGTGGGATGGGAAGATGCGCTTGCTGCTTTCGTCGACGTATTTGAAGATTTTCGCAGAACAAATGACCAGTGAAGGCGTCCGTGAATATTGTATCAAAATCGTTGTTGGAAGCTGTCAGAATTATCGTCGAAAAGATGACCGGCAACTTTGGGATTGTTCAAGAACGATAATGTTACAGTCTTCTGTTGATGTTGCGAGCGAGCGGTGGTGGTTGTCGAAGAAGATGTGGTTGAGGTTGAAAAAGGAAGAGAAGATTCTTGCAAAAACAAAGAATGTCAGCCGCATTGGTATCCGTACTAAGATTTCTAAATTTGCAATAATATCACGTGGCACAATTCACTTATTATTTTTTGTCAGCCTTGAGCCACGCCTTCTTTTGGTTGCCTTACAAGTACAGTATTAAGTGGCTCGCTAATGGATCGCGCCGAAGCTCCAGGTCGGTTTGGAAGCTCTTAGGTATTCAAACAACAATATTCGCAGCTCAATACATTTACTGTTATTTCGTCCCATCAACATTCTCTTTACACCTCAGCTCATACGTCCTTTTCGAATTCTCAATCACAACTTCAACTATAAAAATGTCTACATTAGAAGATCTCGATGATCTCGAGAGAGAGCACAAGGAAGAGAAGAAGGACGATGGCGACAAGGACAAGAAGCCAAATCAAGCTAATGATGGTGATGCTGAAATGAAGGATACTGAACCTGAAAAGGAAGAGGACCCAATAGATGAAGAGATATACAGCTTGGGAACACAAGATATCCTCACGAGGAAACGACTTTTGGAGAATGATTCCCGAATTATGAAGAGCGAGTTTCAACGTTTATCACATGAGAAGGCTACAATGGGGGAGAAAATCAAGGACAACCTTGAGAAGATCGAAAATAACAGGTAGGCTCAGCTGCTAAACAGGCATATAGTTATCACATCTTAATCTTCTAACTTTCTGCAGGCAGTTACCATACCTCGTTGGAAATGTTGTTGAGTTACTCGATCTTGATCCAACAGCCGAATCTGCTGAAGAAGGCGCAAATATCGATCTCGATGCTACCAGGGTCGGAAAATCCGCGGTTATCAAGACTTCCACTCGACAAACCATATTCCTTCCATTAATAGGTCTTGTAAATCCAGATGAGCTGAAGCCAGGTGATTTGATTGGTGTCAACAAGGATTCATATCTCGTACTAGACACATTACCCGCAGAATATGATAGCAGAGTCAAGGCGATGGAAGTCGATGAGAAACCCACGGAAAAATACACAGATGTAGGAGGATTGGACAAACAGATTGAGGAGTTGGTTGAAGCAATTGTATGGCCGATGAAGGAAGCTGATCGCTTTAAGAAGATTGGCATTAAGGCGCCCAAAGGTTTGTTGTAAATGTCATCCACGAATAAATAGATAATACTGACATTTGTAGGTGCTCTTATGTATGGCCCTCCCGGTACTGGAAAAACACTCCTCGCAAGAGCTTGCGCTGCACAGACGGATGCAACTTTCCTCAAACTCGCCGGTCCTCAACTCGTACAAATGTTCATCGGTGACGGTGCAAAGCTGGTGCGAGATTGTTTTGCATTGGCCAAGGAGAAGGCACCAGCAATCATTTTTATTGATGAATTGGATGCTGTTGGTACGAAGCGTTTTGACAGCGAGAAAAGTGGAGATCGTGAGGTACAAAGAACTATGTTGGAGCTACTAAATCAACTTGATGGATTCGCTTCGGATGATCGTATTAAGGTATTGGCAGCAACCAACAGAGTCGATGTTCTCGATCCTGCTTTACTCCGTTCCGGTCGTCTTGATCGAAAGATTGAGTTCCCTCTGCCAAACGAAGAAGCTCGCGCCCAGATTTTGAAAATTCACAGCCGTAAAATGACTGTTGATGATGCTGTCAACTGGCCTGAATTGGCAAGAAGTACGGATGAGTTTGGTGGAGCCCAGTTGAAGGCGGTATGTGTGGAAGCTGGTATGATTGCTCTTAGAATGGGAAAGAATAAAATCAGTCACGAACATTATGTCGATGCCATTGCGGAAGTCCAAGCGAAGAAGAAGGGTATGTTTCAGCCACTCTATTCAATGTTTTCTTCAATACTGACCTCATTACAGATACTGTCAACTTCTACGCATAATGTGACTATTTTAGTGGCGTTTAGCATATCTTGCACTGCGAGCCTTGTAATCATAGACAAATCATGACATTTTAAATATGACCAAACCTTGGAGACGCCGAGTAACTCGTGATTGATGAGAGCCGATGGTCGTATATTAATGAAAACTGTCAGTCGTTTACTTTCCAGCGTGTGCCGATATGAATGCCTGAATTCCTCTCTCTGAAATATGTGAAAATCTATCTTCCAACAGATCTTCTGTCTGGGAGAGACTTTCTACATTGGAGCGGATCCTACGTAGCTCTATTAGAAACTACCTATTTCAAATGTCCACAAGTGTGAGGTGAACAGATCCAAGCCATTGGAACATCACATATGCCATTTGAGAAAATTCGTGGTTTTTGATGGCAGGTTCCTTCCTATCCAGTAGATAGCGAAAGAGCTGATGTTATCCCAGCTGGGAATAGACACAACACACACGTCAAGTTCAATTTCAAAATTCATTTTCATCTGCAAAGTGACACTGTAAGAATTAATACACTATTCCAGGCTCTGCCCAACTGAGCATCGTAGAACTCCACGCGTGACATCGCTGGTTGGAGGGCTCTGTCAGATCAATTGCCTGGTAGTGAGCAAAACGATCATCTGTATCTGTAACTTCTTTGCCCATGAACTTGTTGTCGGAAATGCGAAGTGCAGCGATGCTGCAATTTCCGTGTTGAACGAGTGTATGTGCAACAATTCCAGTCCCTTCAGCGATGGATTGGTGGACAACACCGGCCGCTACTACGATGCGAACGATCGCATTCAAGTTACAGATATGTTGCACAAACTCAAGAATCATTTTGCCGTTGTTGATTACGGTATCTACTAATACCACTGTGATCTTGCCCTGAAGGTGCTCGGGCATGATGTCCTGAGGATCCTTGGCGTGGAGGGACATAGCGAGAAGAAAGGCGCCATTTATTCCGAGGGCCATAGGCTCTCCACCGGGCATTAATGCTACGATCAATGTTTAATTCCCGTGCAATGACTGATGGCCAATGGTCTGATGACCTTGAACATGTGGAACCTCGTACGACTCAAGGCCTATCACTGCAAAGATGAGCTCAATTACGAGATAGCGATATATGCTGCGATGATACTCCCCGAGAGCAGGGCTTTTGTTCGTCGCATCGCATGTGGGTATCATCAATAACTTCATGGAGTTCTCATCCGTTGCGTGAATGACCTTAAGCTTTGCATGCCGACTATGGCGGCTAAAAATCAACTCCAAGAACTTCTGATCGGTAAGCTTGATCAACGGAAGCTTCTGAGTATCCGGTATTGGCAATGCATTGTGGGGAATGATTAATTGGGATGCATGAAGGCCGTCGTTATCAATGGCATTCAGTAACTCTGCTTCCATTTTCTTGCTCCTCTTATCCACCTCGCCAACCACAACGATGGCCTTGTTTGCCGCCTTTAACATACCCAAGTCCAGCGGGCTATCCCCAAAAGCGCAAACATACGTCCTGTTACTCAGTCGCAAACGGTCAACCAAGTCAGCTTTCACTTTAGCTGTGACAACTATTTCACAAGGTCCATCCAGATACGCCCCCCCGCGATGACCTTGACTGATTTGGACAGGCCTTCTTTCTCTAAAACCTTTTCCCAAACACGATGCAGCCCACAACTGATAATCACGGCACCGATATGCTTCTCTTCTGCAAGGGATTGCAGCAAGGACACAAATTCTTGGTGTATGTTCACAACCGAAGCTACTTCTTGGCAGATATCATTATATTCTGTTTCGTCCATCAATTCGCCGTAAACAAGAGCGACTTGACGAAACGCTGCACATGAGTAGCCTAGGTTAGTTCTGAACAATAATTTGAGCAAAAGTTGGTATTTGGGAGCCTCCGACCGATTCCTTGCAATCCATTTCTGCCAGAATAGTGCGCCGGTGGCATCTGTTACCAGCGTTCTATCGCCATCCATGACTAGCATGGTTCCTGGCCAGCCTTGGTTTCTAGAAAATTGAAACTTGTCTGCTAGCATGGCATTAGCGATTTCAAGATTTCTTGTCTCAAAACCATTCCAAACATCCGTGACCACCTTGAAATCGTGTGATACTCCCATAACGCCGAGGAAAGCAACACCGTCTTTGCAGCAAATTTCGGGAAACACGCCATCTATTTCTCCTGCCATTTACTGAGATGCCCAACTGATGCTGCTGGTCGAGTTCTTTCCTTATCACTCAGACGATATTGCTGGACAAGTGCGGGAGGTACCTGAAGATAGATTATGTTTGTATAGACCTTTGCATCTGCAGAGTTCCAAAGGAGTACGGGTTCATCAGTGCCTTCCTCCCAGAACATTAAGTTTCCTTTAGCAACCGCAGAAAATTACAACTCAGCCGACTGGTCGCCAATTTTGCCAATAGCAGTTCCTCGATAGTGTGTCTGCTGCTTGGGGCTCATTTTTTTGAAGGCTTCCAAACCACCTGAAGTAAATTCGTCGATCACTTGGGAGTCATCGTAAAAGACGAACGGATAGTCTTTGAGCAGTCTTTTCAAATAGTTCAAGGTTCATAATTTGCCGCATCCAGAAATTCCATAGATACTGATGACTGTGCCTTTCTTGAATGGCCCGAATGCTTCTTCGTTGGGATTGCCATTGCATCCGAATTATTCTTGCAGCTTTCAGAGATTGTGAATATCTCTTTTGGAGTCTAGGATCTAAAGGATGAAATAGACTCAATTCTGATTTTGAAGTCGTGTTGACTCACTCTAAATTTGAAAAAACACTTTGGCACGAAAGACAAAACTCTTCTCAATTGATATGCAAACCTATTCCCCTTAATGCTTCCACGGCGACTTGCATATTTATGCATCCTTCCACACAACAACAATCGTCGAACTAACCAATCAAACCATCACAATTCGTTTGCCATAAATGATTTCACAATGGTATTCTAATCTCAAAATGTTATCTCTCTACCCTAGCTAATATAATCTCTCGCTATATCTTAGTCATTATCCTCTGCAGCACCTAATCAACCATTTTCAAAATTAAAATCCTTCTATAGATTGTTATCGCGCATCTCCTGGAGATAATCCTCCAATCGGTCGCACTCAGCTTCAGTCTCCTCGTTTGCGTGAGCGAGCACATCATCATTCCACCCATCAATGGCCGCCTCTATACAATCATCATTCCAGGGACTGTCCACCCTACTCTTCCTTGCATTTCTTACTGTGGATCTTTCGCCTCTTTAATCCGCTCCTTCCCCTCAGCTTCTATATAACTTCTCCAGAAAGATTCATTCCCCGGTTAACGTTCAAGCATCTTTCTTAACACATCATTAACCCCTGGAAGCATATCTACAGACGATGCATAGTCTTGCATAACTTCTGATTTCATTGGACGTCGTCCACGAGACCGTATTTCAAATTTTGCAAAGCGACTCGCTTGGTCTCCCAGTCATTTTTGACGGCATAAGGAAGAGGACCATAAGCTCGATACATTTGACTAGGTTTCTTAATTTGCCCTTTTTCGCCGGGGGCTCGCACAGCTAGCTCCATGAGTTGGATGTTTTTGACTTTCGGCTAGTAAGATGTCGCGTTTGGTTAGAAGAAATGCGAAATATCGCGCAAGTCGAAGAGGATTTTAGAGGTATATGGAGATTCAAAGAGAGCTTTGAGTGATATGTATTGGGAGTGTCGGATTGATAGGGTTATCCTGGAGAGTGGCCATGGTTATACTGCATCATGATGATAGATTTGTTGGAGGAATTGTGTTTTAATGAGGATTTCAGGCAGGAGAGTTCTGAAATCGAGGGGATAGGTTTCGCTATTTCGAGGGGTTTTGGGAAGATGGGGAAGAACCCAGTGAATTTTTGGGACGTAGGGGTAGCTGTGTTTGGAGTTCTGATTGAGAGGTACAAGGTGGATTTACAGGGAGGGTTTCAAAATATCGAGTTTGACAAGTTCGGCTTTTGTTACACATGAAGCGGGGAAGGGACTCACAATAGCCTGGTCCTATAGGCTGGCTGTATGCATGCATGCACGTCGCCGCGGCTGATAGCTTTCTCGACTTTCAAAAAGCAAAAGAAAAAGTACCTAGTTATAAGGTCAATGCTGTGTTGGCGTGAGAAAGGAGACATGGGAAAAAGGGGTAGTGATAGAGAGGGTGATCTTTTGATCGATCGCTGGGCGCCTGTAAATTTCTAACAATATATCAATACTCAGTCTATCAGAATGGGTTGGGTTGTAAGTAGGAGGCATATTGTATGTATATCAGGGAATGTTTGATATACATCTTAGCCACTTGGAGTTTTCCCTGGCTGCATTTTTAGTAGAATTTCTAATAATAATCTAGGAAGTGGAATTCAAGTGGTCTTTTTGTTAGAGCCATGGACATCCATCAGTGTGTTGAACTTGTATATAATATTGAATGCCTAAACTAGCAGCCCAAATTCATGTATTGAAAATCCGAAGATAGTTTTTGATTTTTTGATGGATTTAATATGTAAGACTGTTTATAGTAGTGTCGGCTCATAGTTAGACGCAATGGTATAATGACACCTGATTCAATATTATACAAAGTCAAAATTTGAAATCTTTCGTTATTGGAACCCAGCCTAACCACTAAATATTGGAAGCAACTTGGCTAAGCATGAACTAATCTCGGCTCAGTAAACTCGCCATACTTCCCCGTCGTTTTCACTCCCGGGTCTGAGTAGGGGATGATGTGAAGTAGACATGAGCTAGGTAGCTACTCGTAGTTGCAAACCACAGCTCAATGCTGTTTAACGGTTGAACGAACAAGCAAACTCAAATAAGTAAAAGACCATAATATAAGCCTGAAATTCATGAATATAACTATGTCATCTTGCCCTCAAAAGACTATCAATTCAATAAATCCCGGTCCAGAGGAGGTGAAGTGAGAAGCGATAACCGTATTTCTCAATTTACATAGCCAAAAAGCAGGCCAAGACTGACATTTCGATGTCTTTTCCAGGTCTCGAAAAGAATACCCAATTTTCTACGCCTTTTTCCTTGACTCTTTATCTCAATAGAAATCAAAGGAGGAATTCAATCCATCCTTAGCATCCCCTCCATCGATCGTATCTTCCACAAAAATTCTCCGACCGCATCCATAACAGCATCTCGAACCAAATTTCCATGTAATTCTGCGGCATATCTCTCCATAAATATCTGGTCTTGTTCCTACAAAAGTATAATGCTAAAATCGAGAAACATTCTTGGTATAAAATCACGTTGCTCTCGGGTCCATTTAACATAGACACCATGAGAGGCGCAAAATTGCCCGACCAGGTGACATAACTCGTTGAATGTAGCTGGCAGCTGGTTTAGCTGCATGGGCAATTTAACACATATTAATGGAGTCTGTGATGACAAAAGCTGTCGCCATAAAAATCACCATTGGTATAATTCTGAGTCGCGATACGAGAGAGAGGTCTGTACATATGGTCGATAGTGACATTTTGGCAATGCGGAATCATGAAAAACCTGCAAGGTACCAAATGTGTGCATGTGTCGAAAGGGTGAGGCCATCTCTGCAGCGTTTTTCAAGTGATGCGGATGTGCAATTGCTGCAGTCAGAGACAACCATGTCATTAATGGCCTTGGTTGGCATAATGATCGAGCCAGTATTCATATACTGTACGATGCGACAGAAATACCTTGGGGTTGGCCTTCGAAGGCTCCATTAACCTGAAGACTAAAATTATGTAACTCCAATTCTTAATCGGAGAATTTGCGAACTAGACGAGAATTAGATTGAAGAGCTAATGGTGTAGAAGTTTTGTAAACATTTAGAGGATGGGTACATACAATGTGGAGAATGGTAAGCCAGAAGCAACTTTGAGATATGGTATACTTTGGTGTCTGGCGCATCTAGAGATCCTGTTCCCAAGCAGGTGAAGGAACCACTATTGTCTTTCGTGTAATCGAGTATTGGTCTTTTGGGCCAGCCAGAGAGTGACATCTCTGAAGTCATTGTATTTCCAGATGCCAGACAATGGAAATGATAAATCTTGTAGTTTATTTTTGTATTTTTAGGGGTGTTCTAATGAACGATATGGTTTAAATATTGTGCGCGCGAAAGTATCAAGCTATGCATTCGCTTGTCCGCTGTATCAGTATTCACGTACCTTGCACTCATTATTTCTAGCCCCCTTAATGGTTAGTTGAGCTATTCACTCCAAGGCATTACCAGTCCCAAAAGCTCAACTTACCTGAAAGATTAAACTATTAAAAACGAGGAAATTTTATTTCTTAAAACATTCCGATACATTTCATTCCTCCAAAATCTAATCAAACTGACATGATTTCTGCAGGTATAGATCGTCGACCCAAGGATCAACTAACTTACAAGGCAACATGTAAAATCGACAGGACTATATCCTGAAGGATGACTGTTTGTCTTCGATATCCCCCATACACGCGTCACAGGGTCGCCGGAGCCATTTCTTTTTCCTATCTCTCCAAAATTTCTCCTGGTGCAGCTGGCATCCTTGCACCTGTCTCGGGTTTGTTTTTGCTTTTGAAGTCATCAGACATTTGCTCAAATGTAACCCATTCAACTCCATCATGTCTGTTAATATGATCAATGATCCTGCATATTGTTAGCGTGCTGCCGAATGTATGAAAGTACTATATGCCGGCGAGATCAAAATGCCAAGAATGCAAGAAAAATCGAAAAATCCCTAGACAACAGAAAGAGGAGCAATTGCATACCTTTGTTGCATCTTCAAAGCATGTGGTCGCCCTGAAACATCGGGATGAATAGTCATAGGGAAAACGAATTCATCGTAATTCTCGTAAAAGTAGTCGAAATGATCAAGCCACATCTGTTCTACAACTTTCGGGTCCACCCATCCGTGACTATTGGGTGACTTTTTGATAAACATCATGGGAGGTAAGTCATCAATGTACCATGAAGCTGGAATTTCCACCATGCCAGATGGTACACCCTTGACAAGTGGCTTCATCCACTCTTCTGCCTTCTTACTATAATCAATTTTGGTCCAAGTATCTCCGAGTCTTAACCAGTACATTTGACAATCATCATGGCTCATGCTATGATCATATTCAATTCCGTAGCTCAGTAAAAGTTCCGCTCCTTCCTTGCTTGTCTCCCACCATGGAGCAACACTTCCCCTTGGAGGTTTTCCACAGAAATCTGTTAACAACCTGTACGTTTTATCAAGAACATCTCGTTGCTGCTCAAGCGTCATATCAATGGGATTTTCATGAGAGTATCCGTGGAGACCAATCTCATGCCCTGCGTCCCGGACCATGGCGCATTCTTCAGGAAATGTCTCAAGGGAATGACCCGGTATAAACCAAGTTGCCTTCATGTTGTTCTTCTCAAAGAGCTTGAGAAGACGACGAACACCGATTGTACCAGCGAACAGGCCTGAATAGTGTAAGTTTGATTGTTCACGAATCAATCGGATAATAGGAATAACTTTTCCTTCGAGAATTGGAAGCTTCAATTCTCACAAGCATTGAATCACCTCTGGTAAGAAGGATTCACGGAAAAGATCTCGAGAATGAAAATAGAAGACGACATTGTTGTGAAATTGAATGACGAACCTCTACTGATGTCTGAGGTCGAGTCTTCTCCACCATATGAGCCTAACCATCCGGCCACGGCATCAATATCAACTCCATAGCCGCAGAGAACGCGCTTCTTGACTTTCCCGGTCATTTCTGGGGTTGAGAAGGAGGGTGAAGCACACATAATTGAGATCAGGAGAGCAGATAGTTATAGACTCTGCAAAGAGGAGAAGAGTCAGGATACACAATCTACGTAGAGAGTTGCACTGCTGGCGTGATTTCGTAGTCAGTTATCTTGCCCCAATAGAAATTACTTTAGCATTGTGAAGTGCGGGGAAGCTTTGATTATTCCCCTCGATGAGAACATTTTAACAAGATTTGTCTGTGTCCCGATTGATAAGAGGAATTGATTTACCTTCCTCATCCGTCAAGAGGAAGGCAAAATCCGAAAGCATAGGTAGAACGCGAGTCACGTGATAAGCTTTCAACATTTTGGCGCGAAGCTCTTTGGATGAATTCATCATTGATCAACCCTTGTTAAATGCATGTGATTGTTTGGGTGCACTAAGTGGGCTTATGGATGCCAGTACCAATCAATCGTACTAAGGTTCCTGCTGGATACTTCGTAGGTATTCTAATTTTGAACAAGATCGCAGGATCGCAATCGATATCAAGGTACGATCGCGAGTGAAAAGAAGGTTAGAACCAGCTTGCCTCAACGAGTTACGACTTATTATCCACGCTCCCCTGATCAAATCTCATTTTCAGAAGTTTGATTTTCAAAAGGACGATTCCACGAAAACAGCACCAGTCTTTAAGCCAATGCTTGGTTTATATTGATTTCATTCGTCTTGAAGCTCTAGAATCATATTAAGTGCAATTCAACGACCCAACATATCTACGAAGCTTACGAAGTTACGACAAAATAGACATTTGGTCATTCGCGTTGCAGGCCACTGACACCCTGCGGTGCAGTTGTATCTTGGGGGGGTAATGAAAGTCGAATGAATGCAGCCCTTGAATCCTTTCCTAAGTGCTTTCTTCAAGAGTGCTCTGCCTACACAGTGTACGCCTGTGCACCATCATGTAAGCTTGCCAACAATGCTAGAATTCCATTTTTCAACAGGTACCATGGGGCATGATGCTGATAGCTTTCTAGATATTACTAGTACCTACTACCGAAGTTCTCCTAACCTCCCGCGATCGAGAAACCGGCGCGCTTTACGCAGACCTTGCAGGATCGGAAGACTTCCTAGGCAGTCATGTCTTGCGAATACCGGCCAACCATGCTGCGACCGCGGGAGGGAAGGATGCGCCAAATATGCGGGAAACCCGGGGAAAGGCGAAACAATATACAACGGTCAATGGAAGGACTGTCGTGATCAAAGATGCTTTTGTCTACAGTAATAAGGGTTAGTATTGTTCGTAATTTTGTTGGAGGATTGGTGCTAATATCACATATTGCCAGGATTCAAGACCTTGAACCAAGCGCAACTTTTATCTGATACTTTATGGTATCCAGATTCGCTTGAACCACGACAATGGCTTGTCTACTATATATCGAGACCTCTGGTTGGCATATTCGAGGAAATCAAGATCGCAACTGCAATGCTAGCCCCGAGGCTCCCGGATGGTAGACCGATGCTCCCACCCAGATCGCCTTCAGTGGCCGACTCCACCTCTATGAATGGGCTTCCTCGGAAAAAGGATATAAAGAGTTTCAGCGAGCTTTTGACGAATTTTCCGATGATTGCGAGACAAATGCAACCTGGCTTGGAAGGCCTCTTCAAGGAGTTCAATCAAGTATTTGAAAAGCAATTACCCCCTCCTCCATCAGCTGCGAACATTCCAGACCCTGTACCGGACGGGCCCATAGCTACAGCAATGAAGAAAGCACGGTCCAGTAGTTTCTCAAATCCTGGTCGACCAAATGGGCATGTGCAACGTTATATCGTGGATTTCTATACCGAGGATGATGAGAATGTCATGCGGGGCGCTTTGGAGACCGCAGTTACGTCTGCGATTGATCTCTTCCAGATGGTCGACAAGCAACAACTTTCCCTGCTTGGAGCTACGACTGATCTTACAGGCCCAATTGTGGAACGTTTGATTGATCGTTATGTTACCGAGCAATTGCACGATACCATATTGTTTCCGAGACTATGTACAATGAAACGCCCCGAAGACTTGGAGTTGGAATCAAAAATAAGACAGATGGAATTTGTGGATATCTCACAAGTTGGTATACCAATTCAAGGTGGTCATCAAGGAAAACATGAACTCACATTACGTCTTGGTCGTGCTGTCGAAGAATTTCGAAAATTGATTGTAGCAGGAAGCCCGCAGCAGATGATGGATATTTTACTCATGACGTTGAAAACGGTGACGCAGCTCATTGAGATTCCAGCAAGCGCAGGGGGACCCACTTCTTCCGAGAAAGTGAGCTCTGTTTTGACTATCAATGCTGATACTCTCGTTTCGCTACTATTGGTTGTGGTCATAAGGGCACAAGTTAGGTACCTCCAGGCTCGTCTCCTATATATGCGCCACTTCATTTTTGTAGATGATGTGGAAAGTGGTGAGATGGGATATGCACTAAGCACGTTTGAGGCCGTCTTATCATATCTTGCAAGGGATTCAGGAGGTCTTCGAAAAGCTAGTCGGCGGAACCACAAACTGTGGGCAGCAACTAAGAAAGGCGACTTAAAAGAGATGATGAAAATTATGGAGCCAGAACGAGAACTATCTTCGGACGAAGAAGAATCCGACCACGAGGAAGCTATCGTAGACGATATAATCGATGAAAATAGGCCATGGGATACTTCGAATGGACATGCAAGACGGAGATCTTCTGGAGCCGCCGCCACGAGGCTTTCGCAAGCATCTACCCTCACTCATGTCTTTCCTTGGCAATATCTACATGACGGTGCAGATGAAGAGCGACTACCACCGCTGCGGAGGCCTAAAACAGTCACCATGGATGTGCGAAGTTTATCTAGTAGCTCAGAGATATCTTTCAGATCACGGGCTACCACCATTGACTCTACAAGTAGCGGCATCGAAGGTGATACGTCAATAGAACGATTATCGCAAACCGAGGATTCATCCGGTGAATCTGTTCCCATGATGGCCGTTCAACACGAGAGACCGGAAGCTCTTCAGTATCTTCTGTCGTTACATGATTACTATCCGCTACGAGCTGTTCTTGAAGATACGAATAATGAGGGAACGACCTTATTGAGTGCTGCTGTGCAGTTGGGACATACCGAGCTCATTAATATAATACTTGATTTTGTTTATCGAGCTGCATCAGAATTGATCGTCATTGGATATCTTTCGCGGCAAGATGTCAACGGCAGGAGTGTAGCCCATTTTTTGTTCAACTATCCGGAGCTTATTTCGAGAGTCGGGCGTTTATTGCCCTGGAGGCAGAAAGATAAGAATGGCCAAACGCCACTTTTTGCATTATGCAGATCATACGATCATGGACGCTATAGACCCATGGTAGAGGCAGCAATTGCTGCAGCTACGGATTCTCAGGAAGATGGTCAACCTTTACACTTAGACGATCATGTTGATTTGAAGGGTAACACACTGTTACACATTGTCAACGATCCTCAAATAGCATTGCAACTTCTCTCTCATTGCGACTCCGATGTTAACGCGACCAACGAGAAGAAATTCACACCACTCATGGTAGCTAGCAAATATGGTCGACTAGAAATGGTTCGAGCTCTATTTTCAGATCCAAGAGTAGACCTTTTTGCTAAGGAACTTCGTGGTTTGACAGCGGTTGAGCTTGCCAAAGATGATGACGTACGGAATAGAATTGACGATTTAATATTGTTCTCAGGGCTACCAGCCACTGATGGAAGGATCACGGCTGTAGTTAGATCATTTTTCGTTGAGGATGCAACTATCCGATTGGTACTCAAGTCTGGCGCACCCTCGGGGCCTCAAAACTTTACCGTCACCACTTGTCGACGTTCGTTGTCCGACTTTGAACATCTAGCAAAGTTACTCACTTTAGAAAACCCAGCTTCGTGGCTGCCATCTATATCAGGGATGAGGTCACCTTTTCAGATTCCTTCAAAGCCTTCGAGGGCTGTTCTGAGAGATATCCAAGTCCATCTTGATGCATTTTTGAAGATTCTACTAGCACATACAACCTTTTCAACACATGAGATGTTATGGGAATTCTTTCTGGTACCAGATATCCAGGCAGAGATGATGGAGCAAAGGTCTAAACTGAAGGCTGAGGCAAGGGTAGAAACAGTAAGGGAAGAATATCAGCCAATTGGTGATGTTCGCGATGTCGAGCAATTCGTAGATCATGCAAGAGATATGGTCCGAAGTGTCAATTACTCTACCAAGAGTGTAGCACGTAGGGCCAATATGGTGGCAATTGTCACCACAGGTATGTTTCCAATAATTCTCATAGAACATGTCACTAATTTATACAGATCTTTACGATGCTTATAAGCTTTCCACTCGCGCAATTTCTACCCTTACGTTCCTTCCTCAAACTCATATATCTGCTCTTGAAGCTTATACCCAAACACTTGCTCCATCATCCACTTCCCCATATTCTACCTTCCATACAACCATCCTTTCAATCCATAGCACCATAATCGCCATGCTCCTTTCTCTCTCGCGTCCCACATCGCTCATATCATCGATCACTACATCCCGCAAATCTATCGAACGTTCCTACAACTCCCTTTCTCGATCAACTCGTTGGCCACTAGGTCTTCTCGATGAAACTCGGCAACGTTTAAACGAAGAAAAGGAAGACAAAGTCCGAAGAACAAAGGAAGAAGTCGAAGAAACTGGAAGGGAACTAAGATACACACAACAGGTCGTCGCAGCAGAGTTGGCTGGTTGGCAAGATTTACATGAGAAGATGGGGAGGAAAGCCGTGAAGGATTTGGCGCAATCAATGCTTGTTAGAGAACGTACGACGTTGGAGGGGCTAAGAAGGGCGGTTAGAAGATTGAAGGTTGGGGAAGAAAGAATTATAGATGTTGAAATGGAGGAAAGTGAAGATGAGGATGAGGGTGGAGAGACGGAGGCGAGTGGTAGTCATGTTGAAAGCATCGTTATGTAGTTGACACATTAACGGATTCACAAAGAAAAGATTCTTTGCACATCAGAAATGCAGGAATGGAAATGACTAAAATGAAATGGCACGTTGTGTTTTATTTTGTTTCGGTTTGGATAGAATTATAATCATGATCATGCTAGGCGATTGTGGCATGGCATGGCATGGTATTATACTGTACAGCATCTTGGCGTTTAGGCATACATATAATCCTATGAGCGGTATTTTTCTACTTATTGATTCATGATTTTTGAATTACTTTGCATACTGTTTGTTATGTAGCATGTTCCTGTGTGATTGGTGTGTTCTTTGTAAACTTACTAGGTATGTATGTCATGACGAATTTATACCTTCTCATCTATATTTTTATAATGGGATGTGATGAGATGAACTAAAATGAGGATTGAATGAAATGAGCCGTTTCAATACAAGCAAGCCCTTTCTAATCTTTTGAGATGGATAAATTATTCTACTGGAATGTGTGTTTGAAATCTCTGCATTCATTCTTTCATTCGTTCGTTCGTTTGTTCGTTTCTATTCATTCCAACTCCTCTATATGAATATTATAGATATAATATCTCGTCCTAATATACCCAATTCATAAATCCCATCCCATCCCATCCCATCCCATCCCATCCCATCCCATCTCATCTCATCCCATCCCATCCCGTCCTATCCTATCCTATCCTATCTCATCCTATCGAATATAATAGCATCAAATCCGACAAAGTTAAATGAACTTTAAATAAAATTAAAATCCATGAATCTACCAGCGAACTACTACACACACACCCAATTGGTATAAATAAAACTCTACCCTACATACTATCTAAACGACATCACAACACTTCTTCCCACTCGCTAGCTGGCTTTCCAAACGCCATCATGATATCATTATTAAACCACCAAAACAGAAGTATTCAGCTTCCCTACAACTTCTCTATCCCACCAATTCTCAAAATTTAAGACTAGTTTATCCTTTCGTGCTTCTTCGGCTGCGAATACTACCGCGTGACTTCGAATTACCTCTTCTACTGTTATTTAGGATATTTATGTTAGTTTTTGTGAATTTTTCGGTAAATAAGAAAAGGGGGAGTTGAAGGTAATAAACAAAGAAGACAAAAACTTACGGCTACATCCTACCCATTCCCTCTGCGCAACTTCTACATCTGCTCCTTCATTCATAACACTATTCACAGCTCCTACAAACTGTCTCACTAAACCTTCATCACCACCTCCATGTCCACTCTTAGTATCCGTGATTTTCGGCTCGTAAACTTTTTTCTCTCCGGTCTTAAAATCCTCGACTTCAATCGTCGTACTATCTGCATATATTTCCCCATCACTTCCATAAATATGTGTGTATCTTTCACAAATCTTCTTTGTATGAGATACCATATGGAATGAAGCTTGTTTAGCCCCGCGATTTAGAGAGGGATTCACGGGAAATGTCATGGTTACGAATTGATCGTCATTGACTGTATTGTCTGATTCGTAGACGCAGCGCCCGAACCAATTCTTAGCTTCAATTTCAGAGATAGGGGTTTCGGCTGTGTAGTCTTTGGATAGAATGGATAGAACAGCGGATTCTGCGGCTGAAGAGCCGGAGGTGGTGAGAATATCTTCGATATCTGGGACAAGAATATCGACAGGCCAATTGGTGTTGGGGGCTTTGAGACCCTTGAATTTCGGGGATATGTATATGTCTTTCGCGGAGTATTTGCAGTCTGGTTCAATGGGACAGGAAAGACAGTTTGTCGCGGTGCCAGCAGCTTTCGGTTTGCGGGTGCGAGTAAATTGCTGAAGGGAACCCGTGGATGTTATTGTTTCGGGGAGATGAGGTGGAGCGGTTGGGTCTGAGGGGGAAGGAGAACAGAGAAGCCAGAGGAGGAGATCGATATCGTGGCAAGATTTCGTGAGGAGGGAGGGAGCTGTTGTGGACTCTCTGCGCCAATTTCCACTATCTTGATATTAGCTATCGTGCCTTGTATTTCACGAAGAAAACTCCCATACCGAACATAACTATGAGTAAAATGCCACCATCCCACCGGCTCAGTATGATTAATACTCAGCACATCCCCAATCACCCTCTCCTCCAAAAGTAATTTCCTCAACATCATATTATGCGGACTATACCTCAATACATGCCCGATACTAAATATCTTCTCCGGCAATCGATTCCGTGGATAATCTGGTAACATCGCCCTATATATCTCCACACAATCTGCCAACGTCGTAGCCAAAGGCTTCTCACACATAATATGTAATCCCAATGGTTTCAACCCCACTATAACCTCCTTATGCATCTCATCTAGCACACATATAAACGCAGCATTGACACCTGGTGGTACAGATTCTCCGCGAGAAGCTCGAGCACGTCGATCGAGTTCATAATCGAGAAATTCCTTCCAATTGGAAAATGACTGTCCTGGAGAAGGTGCATTGGAACCCCAGATGTAGCGGGAACCCAGCCGTTGACGTTTGTAAGGTATAGGTTCTGCGACGGCGTAGACGATGCCAGGAGTGGATTCGGCGACGCAGCGTGAGTATTGGGAGCCTCGAGATCCGGCGCCGATTATAAGGATGCGGGGTGGATTTGAGGACGTGGTTGCGGAGGGATTGGTAGGGGTGGATGCGTGTGGTGCCATGTCTATGGGTTATAACTGGGACTGGGGAGCTGTAGTTTAGCTTGTGGGTGGGGATTTAGAAAGAAGATATGAGATACCAATTGAATAGATATTCTTGCGAATTTGTAGTGCTCAATCGGTTGCACTTGCCAACAACAAAGGTCTGGCGGGTTATCACAGCATATAAAATACTTTACTCATCCTCAATTCAGAGCGTAAAGGGGCAGTAGAACAACTCAAAGCTCATCTTGCGATAAGCATTTTGATAGCTTTGTAGATGTCAAGCTTGTCTCTGCATGCAAGGCCTAGTACGACCCCTTGCCCCGCGATAACAGGGTGGGGAAAAGTAACGTTACCGGGGCTGGGCCAATCATATCGAAGTAATTGACATTGGAGAAGATGCCAGCCATATTCATATCTTTAATCGTAGAAGGAAAAGACCGATAAACCTCAAAAGAATATGCCTTGGCGTTTCAAAGTCCCAGATCAAGAAAATGGGGGACAGCTGATGAATATTTCTAGGTAAAAATTAACTACGTTACATTAAGGCGTTTTTTTGTTGCATATCTACATAAAGTCTGACGCAATACAAGACATTAAAATACAGGGGCTCTGTAGGCAGTTCATGTACATACATTATCACAGTTAAATGGTATCTAATAGATTAATACCAGTTTAGATGAAATTTTGGTATCACAAATGTTATGACACCAAAGATTAAGCTTATGGCTGAACTACGAATTATGCATGTCTCTTCCATGGCTCCTTCTTTCCCCATACAAATTCTTCTCCTGCGGGCGCCTCGTACCAGGCGGCAGCGCTTCTATAACGTGCCGTTCAGTTATTTCCTCACATATAGTCCCAAAGCCGCCACGAGCCTAGCATGAGGTTCTTTCCCCATTGAGCAATGATGATTCCTATATGTGCCCAATTCTCATCAAAATCTGCCAAAAGCCAGGAAATAATTCCACAACTATTATACGGAATGATGTAAGCGAGGTTTGACGCCGAAGTCACCAAATACCGTTGCTCGAATTGTCGATAAGAGTGTTTGATTGCAATATTCTTTATCGTCGAAGTACCAGCACTAGGGAACAAATTCGGGGTCCAGGTTGATGTTGAAATCGATTACTTGAGACTACTGTCAAGAAGTATGTTGCTAACTCTCTTACCCGGCTTGCCTGGGGGAGTCTGAAAATTGCCCTTGGTCAATCATGATGTCCTAGCATACCGGACCTCATATGTCTTATACCATCCACTAATCCTGCGTTCGACAAGTTCTCTCATTGCTTCAAGTGTCTGACATTTATCTTTTAGATCATCTCGGAAATCGATTTCATCAAAGTTAACCTTGCGATTTCGGTTGAGTTTGCAATAACCTCCATCCTTATTAGTTTTGTGGGCGGTCAGTACAACAGGAGAAGTCCAGCTGTGAGATACAGCGTTTTTACTCAAAGTCGCATATACTACATTCCTATCACCAAGCTTACGGTCCGGCTGTTTCAAAGTTCCAAGATACACACCTGGTTTAAATAATGGATCTGACAAGCCATGATCTTCACCAGGGGTTTGGAATGGTGTATTTAAAACACCGAGTGGTGTTGCAGGTCGTGGGTCGGTGAACACATCGTGCGCCGTATTGCCGTATGATCCATCTGAGGAACTTATCGTCGCCTCCTGGCCTGAGTCAAGTTGTTTGGGCGATAGACATCTTGACATGCGAGCAGATGTAGGCTGAGTAGAAGGCTCGAATAGTTTTGCGGAATCGATAGGAAATTCAGATGGAAAGTAAGTTGGTGGGATATGTACCTTTGACGGCGCTGGAGGATTTACTTCCTTATGGTGAGGCGCAGAAAGTTCGAAATCGCTGGTCAGAGGAAGGAAATGATTTTCTAACGGAAATATTCTATCTTCTGATATTTCCACTACATGGGATAACCTTTCCAATATCTCCTCTTCTGACTTGGTTCGGTCTAGACCTTCAGGTTCTAGGGATGCCATTGTGGGCTAGCTGGAAGAGAAAATAATGCATTATTGCAGTTGTGACTGGAGAAGATTTTGAGAAACGGCTCATGTTATGGTCCTTGATATTGAGATCGAAATTGGGGAATCGCATGTTGTCTTTATGAGCTCTAGAAGCATACAATAAAGGATATTACAATGGACGAACATGACATGATCCTTGACCATCTAAAGCATGTGAAAATTAAACAAAGGATATTGAAATACATCATAAAAAGTTACCTGGGTTGATTGAGACTTCTCAAAAAAACTTACGATTCTTGAATATATGATTGGGTGCTACCATGGATATTACCGCACCAAGTATATTTGTGGTGTTTACTCAGAATCTATTGTGATGATCTGAATGCTGGGCAGGGATATAAAATAAGTGTCAAGATACTTCGTCGTGATGCTTATTACACCAGTACTGTACATATCTCGAGTAACAAAAGTGTATATCATGATGCTCAATCAAGCATGTACGAAGTAAGTGGAGAAATCTTGCTCCTTCGCCGAATCTCGGGTGCTCGCCTTTCAATTAAGGCATCATTTTATATCACATGATATCTACCTCGCTTCTCAGGATCTTCCAATTCTCCATCCGAACCTCCCAACGACCTTGAGATCTCTAATTGACGCCCTTCATACCTGTCAAGATGTTCACACAAACTGTCCGCGCTTCGGTATGCTATATTCTCAGCTCAAAATGTCAAATTACTAACCACCAAAGCGCTCTCAAATCGCCCGCGTTGCGAGGCAGCAAATGATCAGCAAACGAACTTTCATCGTTCCAACTGCTGTTCGTCGTGGTATGTTGATAATTTTATTTACAAGTAACATCTAGGCTTTAAATCACTTTAGATGTGATCGACTTTATTCGCAGCAATATCTACCACTCAGAAGCTAATTCCGATCAATAGCGGACCTTGTCCAAGATCTTTACCTTAAGGAATTGAAGAGTTACAGAGCTCCCCAGATTAAGGCTTCTGATTCCGAAGGACACGTTCTCAAGTTCTCCCCACCTAAGGCTCCTACATCTCCAGAAGAAACCGATATTGCAAAGGAATTGGCAGCATATGAGGCAAGCACAGTTGAGGTAGAGGGACAAGCTGAGGGAGGAGCTGAGGCTAAGGAGATTGATTGGTTTGAGGAGGAACCTGAGGAGGAGGCTGCACACCACTAGATTACGAAATGATACCGGGATGAAATCTTTAAGTTACGTGGTAGAATAAAAGTTGCGGATGCGATGAAGGTGCGGGGAATGTGTACACATAGCGAGGTGATAGAATGAAGTGCGGATTGTACAGTCATCAAACACCTAATTCGAAAGAAGAATCGATCGACTGGATAATCACCTGCAGCATAGGATGCTCTTCCAATATGTCCAGAAAGCGAATTATGATTCTCTTATTGGGAAGTGGATTGGCTACTAGGTGTTTGTTTCGGTCCCCTCACATTTAGCATGGAAGACTTTCAAGCCAAGTGGCCGGAATGCTTATTGTTCAACGTCTTGGGAATAAAGCATGGTGAAGTTGCATAAAAGACTATTAAATTTATCTGTGGAATCATTCTTCCGCACCCCCGCAATGTTGGCCACTTCCTCTCGTACAAAAGGATTCCCTGCGACTAACTTCCACGGGCCTTTGCGGGGATTCTACCTAAGTGTCTTCTCTTCTTCTTGTCCTTTTTGACCTTGTCCAACATTATTCCCTCAATCATCTCCTTCATCGGTGTTACTAGACTTGAAAAAATCCTTCCATGTTTGCCTTCCGCTGTGGCAATATCTTACTGGAATCCTGCCCATCCTGTCTTCATCCTTCCACCGATCATGCCATATAACTTCCAAGTGAACTGGTTAGCATTTCAAACATCAGTGAAGCTTTGAGCTGCTCAATCCCGATCATTGTTTGATTCAATCACCAACATCTACCCGAGCAGCTCTCTTGATACTCCTTCCTTCCAACTCATATATCTTTTCCTTCATACTCGTACCATGCAATTCAAACTTTCCAGGTCCCTCCAACTCATGGGAATTAGCAGTTGTTTCTAGCTCCAACACGTTCCTTATCACTCCATATCTTCCATGGTGATGTAGGAGGTTGTTCATGCTTTTCTCGGTGTTGGATTTTTATATATACTATCGCCAAAACAAATAAACCTAAGATACCAGCGACAATGCCAACGAAAATACCAACTATCATATGCATTCGTTTCTTCGCACTGGAAGCTGGCGGTGTGTTGGTTGGATCTTGTAGTGAATCCTGCAATGTGTTGGTAGATGTTGTAAATAACGTAGGGTGTGTATTTCTAGTGGTATTTATCATGCCTGTGGCTGTACCCAAAACCGATATTGAACTCGAAATACCATTTTTTTCCAGCATAGTAGTCGAAGTAACCTTTCCAAAATTCTTTGAGCTGCTGCTGTCACCATTTACACCGGTACTACTCCTGCTAGTACTAACAGTGACATCTCCGTCTGGTAACCGGGCCTTTTTATCAATGCTGTTACTATCATCCCTCTTGTGTACTGCAGCATCATTCACCCAAAAAGCACCTGAAAGTGTTTGGGTTCCATCACAATCGCTCAAAATTTCCATGGTGGAAAATGAACTGTGTATTCTGTTATGTCGATACGGGGTAATTTGAACAGAGTCAATATTATCTCTCTCCTCCCTATTCATTTCATTTTTGAATTCTACAGTCAGCAGCGGTGCGCTCGTATCAAATTATTGATTGATATTGCGTTTCCAAGACTGAACATAGGGTACATAGAGTAGACCCAGACTTATTAGCTAGAGAATTTTTAATAAAGGTATCAATCACTCTGTTCTAGCTCTTCAGGATAAGATATTAATTATTACCCTTCGAGACTTTTGTGAAATGAAATACACTTATTTACTCGTCAAATCACATTTCATATAAACTTGATATAGAATAGAGGATTAAATACTCAAAAGAACACATATAATTATATTACATTTAATAATCCAAGTATGAAATCAATAAATAATTAAATAAACAAATAGATAAATAAATAAAACAAGATTCTTATATTTTTCTACATAACCCATCCTATCTCCCCCTCCATCCAATCTCCCCATTCCTTCCCCTCCATTCCATCCATTCCTTCCATCCATTCCATTCCATTTCCACCCTCCCTCCATTTCCCCTCCCCTCCCTCCACTCCTCCTCGTTTCCCTCATCCAGAATTACATTTTTCTGTACTAGGGAGCAAACAATTCTTTCATCAATGTCATACTTAATTGCAATTTTCTTTAATCTTTTCCTTTCCCTTTCTTTCCTTTTCCTTTTCTTCTCTCCTTTGTCTTTGTTCGCACAAGCACACACGCACGCACACGCACAACTCCATCTTTACATCTTCATCTCAATAATTCATCCATCCATTCATTCATCAGAATATAGATAATTATAAAAGTAAATCATGCAAATCATGCAAATAATGCGCGACCACGCAGTACAAAAAACTCCATTGCAATGCAAAAAAGAAGACAACAAAAAGGCGAGCCATTAAGCAAGCCTACAATCAATAAAACCACATCCATCAAAATTACGCCATATCCATGCATCTTACCACTCAAAATGTTACATCATCATAAGTATGTAAAGGTAATTCAAGTAAAGTTCCCGAGTCGTTTATCAATCAATTATCTCCTTCAATCCATCTCAACTCATATTGTTGCAAGAACCAACTCAGGAAATGATGAGCTAGTAAATAAGTCCAGGAACATAAAACGTAATAAAAATATGATAGAATGCATGCACCACCCACACCAAAACCCTTACTCCCATTTCGAAGAAAAAGAAGCTGATTCATAGACCAAGTAATGAAAAAAAGATTGTATATGTATGCGGACATAAAAATCATGTCTGCATCAAAACCTTAAATACACGAGATGAGGTCATATACTAATGAAGGATTAATGAAAATCATCACCATTGAACATTCGTTCATCTTCATTGGTATGATTCCTCACTACTCCACTCATTCGATCGGAACGTTGTTTATCGGGAATATCAAATGGATCCTCCCAATCATGTTCTGTTCTATCGTCTTGATCCATTCGATCATCGTATTCATCTTTGACTCTATCTCTCATATTCTCTTCAATGGAGCTTTCATCAACGAATGTGAACCCCTTAAAGTTTGCTTGCATTCCTGGAGATAATGGTGTTGATGTTGCCATACCTGCAGCAAGGGCAGCTGCACGTGCATTGAGTGATGACGCACCATTCAAGGCATTGGTGAATTCTGGATCGAAGTTGGATGTATCCGTCTCTGACTTCAACTTTGGCTTGAATGGAGGAGTGATCAATTTCTTGGTAAGAGCATCCCAATCAATATCAGAGAAGAAGGGATGCCTCTTCAATTCTTCAGCATCATCTGTAGCTCCAAGACGATGTTTGGGGTTTCGGTTGAGTAATCCTTTGACAAAGTTTCGTCCTTCGGTAGTCAAAGTGTCTCTGGGAAATCGAACTTTACCAAAAGCAATATTTTTGTACATTTGTTGTGTATCCTCTGCGTAAAATGGACTCCAACCACAACACATTTCGAATACCAAGACTCCTAAAGACCAGAAATCAACCATCTTTGTATATCCAGCTTCATCCAAGAGAACTTCGGGTGCGAGGTACTCAGTGGTACCACAGAAGGTATTAGTCGTGGCATTTTTCGTTAGATTTGCTTTCGATAATCCGAAGTCGCACAAGGCGATGTGACCATTGGCATCCAAAAGGATATTCTCCGGTTTCAAATCTCGGTAGACGATATCATGCTTGTGAAGATGTTGAAGTGCTAAGATGAGTTCCGCAATATAAAATTTGGCACGCTGCTCATCGAATCTTCCCTCTTTCTGTAAATGCCAGAACAATTCACCTCCAGACATATAATCCGTAACAAGGTATAGATCCGTTGGTGTTTGGAAGGAGAATTTGAGACCAACGATAAATGGAGAATCAGCAGTAGCTGTTCGGACCAGGATATTTCTCTCACCAACTGTGTGCGCAACCTCCTTCTTTTGAACAATAACCTTCTTCTGAAGAACTTTCATAGCATAAATTCGCTTCGTGTCCTTCTTTCTCACTTGGTAAACTTGCCCAAAAGTGCCCTTTCCGATAAGCTTTAAAATCTGGAAATCGTCTGGTCCATAATGTTTCTTCTCTGTTCGTTGAAATGAAATTTCAACGTGAATCTCACCTACACTTCCTGCATTGAGAGTATCGTCCTTTCCATGTAGTTGAAACCAGCCGGAAACAGGAGAATCAGCATTCTCAACAAGATTGGCTTGAAGATCAACGTGACCCAAGAATTCCTCTGCTTGCTGAGCTCGGTCGTAGATGGTGATATTGACTCTTGTATCAGAGCCAACAACATCACTGAATATTCGTTAGCCAGATGAATCACAAGTCATGCTGTTAAACCTACAAGACAGCTTCGGCATCCCATTTTGGGTGAGTAAACATTTTCCGACCTTTGTTCTTGAAATCTCTATATTCCGACAAGCTGGTGTTGCTGCTTTGTCTACTTTTCATAGGAATGGCCATAGGGCGACCAGAATCACTTCCAGTACGCGTGATCGGAATACCGCCAATTGGAATTCCGCCAATTGGAATTCCGCCAGGGCTATGTGAATTGCCATCATCCTCATCATCCTCTTCTGATTGCGGACCTTTGGATACCAACTCGTTTCGTTGAAAAACGGCTACCACGTAGGGATCCAAGCTCTTCCTCAATCCTCTGGCTTCATTGATCTTCACAGTAAGTTTGCCCTTTGGTGGTCCCACTGCTCCTGCTATGCTATTATCTGCTCTAGAAGTCACAGCCGGTCGTTCACTCGTGCTTGATTTGTCATTTTGTCCGTTACTGGTTTGTGCAGTATGGTCAGAATTTGTGCTCGCAACACTTTGGTCTGACTTTGAAGTTTGATTTGACAAAGCTCGGGTGGGTGTTGATGGTGTGCTCTTAAATCCGTCACAAGTTAGCTTCTTGAGTCGATCATAGGATGGTGACTGATGGAATTCAGAATGCAATCGGGATAACGGAGGAGTGCTAAGTTTGTGCTCGGAGGGGGTATCGCTTGGATTTGAAAAATGTGTAGCATGGACATTTGATGGAGTAACAATATTTGACAATGGTGTCATAGACGAAGCTCTTCTTGCATGTGACGGAAATGATTCCGAAATGCAATCTCGGTCAGTAGGAGCTATCGTCTTCTGTACATTATTGCCAACGTCTTCAAAACTCGCATCACTCAATTTCACCTTGTATAGCGAAGATGGATGTGAAACAGGTGGTGTCGGATAAGGATGTTGTTTGGATATTTGAGAACTACCCAAAAGCTCATGAGATTGGAGTAGTGGATTTTCTCTCTCTACTCCAGAATCAATCCCAGGTTCATCAATTGAACTTGGGTTGACTTTCAAACGCGCATCACCTGTTTCAATTTTCTGTCGTGGGAAAGAGTAACTCTCAAAGTCACTGGGGTTAGGATATGATATATGTGATGATGTATGTTTCGAAGGACTTGAGTAAGAACCTGAACCAACCTGTCCATAAAAGCTATGCAATATACCAGGAGTTCGCTTGTCTGACGGATCTGGTTGTGGGGTCGCGACACCGGAGCGGGGTGTATCGGAATCGATATGATCACCTTCATCATCTCTACTGTATGTGAAATTAGCCAAAGTAATATTGATTTGTGACCAAAGGTCATGAAGTGAAGGCATTGGAAATCGATGATGGTGAAGTGATCATGTATTAAAGTAAAATATTAGAGTATTAGAGTATAGAGGAATGGGAAAGATGTATAGAAATAAGCAGTAGGAATTTAAATTTTGCTTCTCCTCTCATAGACAAGCAAGCAATCAGAAAACCCTCAACCAATATAAAAATTCTCTCTCTTGTGTCATTTTTTTTCTTCCTCTTGCTTGTCCTTCATCAAGAAAAAAAAAAGGTTACACCTGTACGCCGATTGCCGCTGCGATAAGAAACTCCGATTACAACCGGTGCCCCTCGTCAACTTTGACGTTTAGTTATTCAGCATGTGCAAAATGACATTAGATGAAAATGAAAGTGGAGTGGAAAGAAAGAAATAGAGTGAAGGAAAGAAAGGAGTAAATGGATTTGTCCACATTCCCTTTATCCCTTCTTTGTCTTTTCTGCCAAAGCACGTCGTTGTCCCTTTTTCAAAAAAGAAAACCCTCCGATTTGGAAACCCCCATTATATATTTATTATGACGACAGAGTGGAGGAATTGCGAAATCGAAATTTTATAAGCGTACCTTCCCATCATTGCTTGAGTAGCTTGCCTGAGCAAGTCGTGTTCTGATCCTGCCATACTCTTATCCTTTTACAGTCTGCGAAGACTGTATACTGCCAATATTATAATTATGTTGAAGTATTTGAAGTATTTCGTTGCGGTATGCACTTTTCGTGGATGAAGAGGTAAGAAATTCGTCGAGACTTTGTAGAAAACGGGGAAAATTGTAGGTATTTTTCTTTTGTTTTTCGACAGGTACTCGAGAGGAGGGACTTTTTAATATGTTGATATCGGCTCCGCAGTAAGTTGATCGACAGGTAGGAAAGGAATAAGATAGGGACTTTCGACTTCTTCGTTACCGTATGTATGGAATTTCGGATTTGGATTTGAAAGGACGAATTGAGGAATGAGTCGCAGTTCGATGGTATGGAAAAGTAACACTTTTGAAAGGTTTTCCAATTCTTTTCTTGAAATTTTCCAAATCTTGATAATTGAATTGAAATTTAAGTTTATGGAAAATCTTGACAAGAGGGAAAGAGGGGGAAAAGATTGGAACCAGTTCCCTCTTCTTGGGTTGATCTCTTAAGCTTCAAATCCAAATTGTACCTAAGGCTGTCCGGGCGAAGGCGAAGTTCCAAATAAGTTCCAAATAAGTTTCTCGCGTATTTTTTTTGGTTCGATTTTCTTAGTCTCGGTGACCACTGGATTTTAAGTCGTGCCAGTTCACCAATTGTTTAATAGCTCTTCTTGGAATATATGATATGAGGCCAGCGGAATAAGGAGGGCGAAAATCCCTTGTTAATTTCAGCTGTCAAACTCCAGTAGCACTCTCAGCACTTCACTACACCGTACTTGGGGCGTGATTATTCGTGGAAGCGATTGAATGGGTGAATTCCAAAGTGAAGTAAGTTGTCCTATTCGTACCTAGGTCATGTAATTTAACAGATTCGATGGGATCGTCCGACTCGTCCGACTGGTTTGATTGAGAAAATGAAGATAAAATAAGTATGGTGATAGTAATAACAGTTTCAGGTGAAATGAGATCCCCAGGAGAGATATAGATGGAAGAAGGAAAATGAGGGATATGTAGGTATACTAGGTAGGTTGGTGAGGATGGTGAGGATGGTGAGGATGGTGAGAATGGTGAGGATGGTGGAATGGTGGAATAGTAAAATTGATAGGGAATAGGGAGAATAGATAAATGTCGTAAAATAAGAAAAAGGAAAGAGGAAAATGTAATAAAAAGATGGGAGTATCTCTCTTTACATATTGATGTTGATATTGATATGGATCCTGACTGATATTGAGACCGAGTAGACAAAAGTAAATAAGAGATCCAATATCAAGTGTCCAGTCAAGCGTCAAGCATCACGCGTCAAGCATCAGGTATATCAGAATTAAATCAGTAGAGAAGGTGAAGGCGGCGAAGATAGTGAGTGGAGTCTTTATGGGGTTGATGATGATGGATTGATGACAGCGCAGTCGGTCGTCCAGCTTTGCTCTTCTAATAAAAAGGAGAGAAAGGAAGGGTCTGGTCTTATTATTATTATTGTCAAGACTCTCACTTACTCGTGTATATCGGGATTTGATTTGATTTGAAATAAACCATGGAAACCGATAGATCATGTACATAGGTACATAGGTACATCGGTACATAGATACCGGTGAGAATCGAGATACATTGTAGCTATGGGTTGTCGTTGAGAAACAGTCAAGAAATCGGGATACCTCCTTCATCTAATCTTTCTTTCATTCCGAACCTATGATATTCAATATATCCCATCTGTCCAATCTATCGCTCAACACACAATGCAACATACAACATTCCTTTTGATTTTTCACTTCCATCTGTAGTGTTACTGGCCGTCCCAGTAAATAATTCCAAGCAAATGTCCCAAGCCATCCATTGCCTGAAAAAGAATGCCCTCAACCGTACATCGTAAATTGGTCGTAAATCAATAAATGGGCAGATGGAGTAAATCTTACAAACTTAACCTAGCCTCTCTTGACTCGATCTAAAATACGTCATATATCAAGTGTCAAGCACCCTTACACGACTAGACAGCCAGTCCTTCCATATTCCACATGTTACGGGGCTTCGTCGGGTGGAGCAGCAGTTTGAAGTAGTAGCTATGAGCCTGCAACAGCCCTGGAACACACAGAGCTGAAGTTGTCTATTTCGTCGATATGTACGTGGAACAGGAAAGGCGTAGAACATCAATCAAAATCCCTACTAGCTATCTAGTTTTAGGTAACGCGATCTTGCCAATTCATATATTGTAATTAATTCATATCGGACTTATCGAGATGCCCCGATATATCTATCTGTTTATCTAGTTACAACTGTTGTTGTTACCCCGATGTATCTGTTTATCGGTCTATCGATCTATACCTGTCTATCTATCCATATCTATCTACATATATCTACAGCCAAACAACTTCATGTGTACATCATTCAGCCCACACAAGATGGATACTCGCTTTCCCTTTCTAGAATGTTTGTCCGCCCAAATAAATCTATGAATTGCATCTGCACCCTAAATTACTAATGCATCCTACAAGAAAGCTGACCTAAGACCCTCAAGCTTAAGATCATGTCCTTATCCAGGGTTCCGTAGCATTTGGGACCCATCAGCCTGCACCGAAAACTGCAATACTGCATAGAATTCCTGCAGTATGCCAATACCATAAGACATGCTCCGTATTGATAATTTGATAGTCCCTATACCCAACATCAGCAACCTCAAGCTTCAATTTCTGCTGGCCAGTCAGATGGTGGGGAAGGGGAATGAATCGAATGTTTCCTGCATTGGCAACTATTCTATTTGGAATTCTTGGAACAGGTATTCGGTAAAAGGGTAGTCGGTAAAGGTTCTACAGTAAGTAGCACGTACATACTCCGTAAAAAAAATCCCTTCAATCTGGTTCCTTACTGCGTACTGTACGGAGTAAAGTATTTCAAGAACTGGTATCCGCATGTTGTGACCCATAGAAAACCATGCCATGCGATGCGAACACATATGAAATTCCGATGGGAACTCACATTACGCATTCATCAAGCACAGCTTCCTTCGTACAGAATCTGTCCTTCATCAGTAAATTTTAGAAGCCTCGTTGCATGTGCTGTACTCGTACATCCATCATCTACTGTTACTGTTGTGATCTGATCCTGATGTGGAATCAAAGAAACTGCAGAGTACGAGCAAATGGTTACAAGTTTCAATTCAAGATACGAGGAAGAGAAGCAAAAGTCCAGGTGATTCATATCCGCTTTGAACCGAAACTTATTCCAGGGGTTGGCTACATCTCTTCATCTCATGCTTCTCATCATTCTGATAATTCTGTCATGCTTGTAGATGCTTGTGAAAATCAGACCCCAGTACTCCGTAATTGGAGAATAAAATACCCTCCCATGTGATCTAGATCTCATCGTGGCCGTCGTCTAAGACACCCTAAAATGGTAAACAGGTGCAGCGGTAAAATGATAAAGATGGATGAAGGGGAATTTTGCTGGGAATGATTTCAGTCACGTGATTACAGATTTTTTTTAAGGTTAGCTCGTTTTACACGTGCTTCTGGGAATTTGTTGAAGCGGCCGACTTTCACTCTCGCGTCGCAAGTCGCGACAACGAGCTCACACACTTTCAATACATTACAAATTCAATTGATTGATTTTTAAAAATACCTTCATCATGGGTAGACGACCTGGTAGAGCGGCTGCTAAAAATGCTGCTGCTGCATTGAGTGAGTTGCTTTCACCATTTTAACTGGCGCATAACATTACCTTCAGACAATTCAGACAATTCTAACATCATGTCTTATTCATATAGAAAACACTCCGCAAACCTATGATGACGCCGAAGATGATCCAATAGTCGATGCACCACTATCAGATCCCGGTACACCTCCCGAGAATGACGAAGATGAAAATGGGGAAGAAGAAGAAGAAGTCGTCGAATCAGAAGCTGAAGAAGAAGTTCCAGCTACACCCGTTCCAGAAACCACCATTCGCAAAAAGCGATTAGGAAGACCTCCAAAGAATAAACCTCCAGGATGGGATTTAGATGATGGAACTACTTCTGAGGCAGCTACACCTAGTCGAGGAAGAGGTAGAGGTAGGGGATTTAGAGGTGGTGGAAGATGGGCTAGAAGAGGTGGTCCAAGTCATGTTACACAACAACCGGTTGATAAAGAGGGAAATATGATGGATGTTGTGAATGATGAAGTGGAGTTACCTGAAGATCCAGAAGGAGAGAAAAAGGTTGATAAACTTGGTTATTTACAAGATGGTCGGGAATATCGTTGCAGAACTTTCACGGTTCATGGCAGAGGAAAGAGACTTTATATGTTATCAACGGAACCAGCACGTTGTGTAGGATTCAGAGATAGTTACCTTTTCTTCGCAAAACATAAGAGGTTGTTTAAGATTATTATTGATGAGGATGAGAAGAGGGATATGATCGAACGAGAACTTATTCCACATTCTTATAAGGGAAGAGCTATTGGAATTGTTACTGCGAGATCAGTCTTTCGCGAATTCGGTGCTCAGATTATTGTTGGAGGCAAAAGAATTACAGATGACTATGAGGTTGCGAGAGCTAGGGAAGAAGGAGTTGAAGAAGGTTCTTTAGCTGATCCAAATGATGCAATTAAAGATGGAGAAGCATATAACAAAAACCAATACGTCGCATGGCATGGAGCAAGTTCAGTATATCATTCCGGTCAACCAACTGTTCCACAACAAACTGGAAAGATGATTGATGGAAAGAAAAGAAAGATTATGGTTAATGATGTTAATTGGATGTTGGAACATGCTCGAGAAGCTAGGTATGTTTATCCTCTTTTTCATATCATCATATGAATTCATTACTAATATATTCTCAAAGTCGGTTCAATTCCGCAATCTCAGCAGCTCGTCGTCAAAATCTAAATGGTATCTACGATCCTCATACAAATATTATGCAATACCCACGTACTATGCAACCAACTCATGCTCGTTGGGAACAAATAGACGATAACGAACCACAATCAACATCCACAGACTCATCACTCTTTCCACCCGTCAAACCATTCTTTTCTAGAAATTTCATGATCGTAGATACATATATGGAATCATCACCATCAACACATTATGGTGTTCCAGGTCCAGATAGTGCAGGATGGGATTTGGGTATAGGTGTAAACGCAAGTACAAATGTGGGTACAGGTACAGGAGATAATCTTTTAGGTATGGATGGTCTATGTGGAGTAAGTGAAGATGTACTTGATGTTTTACCAGAAGATTGTAGGAAAGCTTTTGAGGAAGCGAGAGAGAGGGAAAGAGAATGGAAGGGTAGATGGAATACTGAGGGTGTAGATGGTTGTAGGAGAAGTGTTAAGGTTGATAAGGGATTAATTTTGTAACGAGGTTGGGATGTGGATAGAGTAGCGAAGCGAGCTCTGATAGTAAGGGAGAAAGAAAGGGGGAAAGGACATGATGGTTTAATGGAAAGGAAAGAAATGGAAAGATAGATGATTATGGAATTAGCATAACCAACGAACTTAACTAAATGAATCTGGATGAAGGATGGATGGACGGCGTTGGGGGAAAACATCGTTTATAGGATGTTACTCCTACGAGGAAGGCTATGATCGATTATAAAATAAGAGTTGTATGATAAGATCTATCTATTTATTTATCTATTCACTTGATACATTGACTCCATATCATAATACTTGTTTCTCTTGTTTTCTTCCCTTTTCTCTTTTCTCTTTTTTCTTCCTTATCTCTCTTTTTTTGTCTCAGTGTACGAGTATCGATCTTGTACTTTTGGAAATGAATACTGTTAATATTTGTGATATAGTTTGGGAGTTTGGAATTTGATAGATCTTAAAGGTTCAAGGGGGTGGTTGTGTTGTATTGTGTTGTATTGTGTTGTGTTGTGCTGAGGTTGGCTGTGTTGGGGTTGGTGTTGGAGGGGTTTGGGGAGGTGTAGGGAGGTGTGGGAGGGGTGGTAGGGGAAGGTAGGGGGAGGTGTGTAGAGGGGTAGTATGAGGATAAGAGAATGAGGAGGGTGAATTGGTAGGTGAGTGAGAATATGTAGTTTAGATATATATTTGTGTGTGGTGGGGCTATAGAGGTATAAAGGTATAGGTATATAAGGAGAGAGGGGAGGGGAGAGATTAGAATCTTTTATATATGCTTCTCCCTTGGTAATTGTAAAAGGAGTATAAATTTATATTTTTAGATAGATTTGTGGTTGAATTTATTGTATAAGATAGGAGATTGCTGGGTCGGGATTGTTGAGGGGGGTAGAGGAGTAAAGAATTAAAAGTGGTCTGAGAAGAGAGTACTAGACTTAGTAAATATAAAGGAATATATTTAATTAATAATAAATGAAGAGAACTTTGAAAATAAATTGTTTTAAAAAGGATAGAAAACTGATTATCGAAACATTAAGTTAAAGATTTGAAGAATATAATTGAATTATAAAGATTGATTTAATATATAAAGTTTAAGCGATGATAATATATATAAAATTCGTTAACAGTAATAGAATATATCATCGACCGATGATAATAAAACCAAATCTCATCACGGAATAAGTAATTATTTCTTAAGACAACTAATTAATATATCAGCATCATATTAACACTATATATTCTTATAATATATACCTTCTCTTCTCTTTCTTGTTCTCCCTCTTCTTCTTTTCTCTCCTTGTCATCTGCCTTTTTTTCTGTTCCATTCTCTCCATTCTAACATACCACTTTATAACACCTAGCATAACATCTGCTATAGGCTTCATATATATCAAACCCCAAAGAAGGAACATGAACTTTCACACTATTTGCCTGTATCCTGTATCCTGTATCCTTTATCTTCTTTTATTTCCAGAATCATAGGGGTTCCGAGTATGTATTAGATATTTTACTACTAGTTATTCTAAAGTATTAGAGGCTCGGGGAGTGTGACGTAGTAAAAGAGATTATATGATATAATAATATATAAAGTATGATTTAAAGAAACTGGAGTAACAGATTTGGATAATTATAGAGGTGAGAATAGAAATAGATGGGAGAAGTTGCGAATATCTATTTGGATAGGGTAAGAACACTGAATAGGGATGGGGATGGGGATATAGATATAGATATAGATATAGATACTGGGAGATTTCGGAGAAGGTTTTAGAAAGGAAGACTTCAAAGAAGATTTTTGAGAAGAAAGTTCTTGGTATCACTTTGAGTAATACTATTCACATAGTACTATTATGGGTTATTTGTTACTCAGTCTTGATCATTGTTCTATGTAGAAAGGTTCTTATTTATATCAAGAAGATACTATGGTTTTGCCTATAGTACGGCTCTATATGAGGCTAGTCATATGACCGTATTTACAGTTCTCAAGTATTGAAAATTCAGCATCTATTCACTTCCTAGTTACTAGTACACGTATCTATTTAAACGGCTGTAGCTAGGTGTAATTACATGTAGAAATGATCAATAATAAATACTTATCACTATTCCTCAATTATGACTCAATTTGAAAAGCATGGCCTCGGCGGCTATTAAACGGATTGCTGGCTAGGAGGATAGCATCGCGATGTATGGATATAGATCTGAGTAATAGAGTAGTATACATGTTGTAGGAGAAAATAGAAGAAGATGAGATGATGTTTATTTTAGTAAAGACAGAAATGAGAAGAACATGACAGTTGTCGTTTGTAACAGTGAAAGCATAAATATTTTATAACAGAGAATAAGACAGATGAAATAATGAGGATGACAGTCAAGATTGAGAATGAGAATCAAAATCCCAAATCAAAAGAAAAATCTATCAAGGAACCCAGATGTGAAAAACATCTACACGGAAGTTTGAACTCTAGGTGTGCTTTTAGGAGTTCACAATCCAAGTATCTATCCGCGATCTCACCATAACATCGGGAAATACTTCGATTTGTGTTTGTAAGATTAATATACTGAGGGTATACATTTACAAAGGAATCATCCAAGACTTTCCTCCGTTTGAAGTGAACAAAAATTTACAGTGATAATCAGCTTGTAGATTGTTTAATTAGTAGAATTCCTCTTCATCTAGATTCACTAGAGGTGTATCAAAGCAAAAGTAGCTAGACGAAAATAAACTATTAATCAAACTAACTTTGAGATTATAAAGCCCGCTCAACCTCTGCAATTGGGATAATATGAGGAGAAACTTGAGGACTAAAGATTTGTACAGATAAAGGAAGAATCTTATACTCCGGGTCTAGTTGCTCGCTCATTCGCCATCTATTTATATACTTTTGAATATATTTCAATATTTATATTAACATTCTTATTCTTTCTATCACTACTATCATTGTCAATACTCTATTGTCGAAGTTATTTTCATTATCGGAGTATTCACTCTTAACTAGCATTATCACTGCCACTACCACTACCACTACTACCATTAAATTTCAAATCTTAAATTTATAATCTCATCAAGTCAAGATTTCATATATATTCTCATCATTCTTATTATAACACAACATATAGTAATCTAACAAAATAAATCCAGTAATACAGAACATGTGAGTTCAGAAGTATCACAAGGAATAAAAGATTATCTTCGGGATCAATATATATACATCCTCTTTAAGAATCTATCTTCATCTTTATTTACAAATCAAATCGTATACCATCTACTTCATCTCCTCAAAGCTTCATGAAAAACACATCTCCTATTTCATCCACTCATCCCCTATTTCCTCGACTTTACAATTAGCACAACACAACACAGCACATCATATACAATTTTTCCAATCCTTCCAGCCCTTTCTAACAAAGCCAAAGCTCAAACCAATATCAACTAACAATATAAAAACATACCTATATAAAGTAATAAAGAAACGAATCCCCAAACCTCCCCAAACCCCTTTCCCTCATCTCTTTAGATGGTATACAACCAACCAACCAACCAACCAACTAAACAATATATCCCCCCGACCTCAAAATTCGAAAATATATTTAAAGCAAGAAAAGAATTTTCGAGCTTTCGGATTTCCTTCTTCTTCTTGTTCTTCTCCTTTCCTTTCGCTTCTTTTCTTTAACAAATATAAATATAAACATAAACATACAAGAATACAAAATGAGATATCCATCCATCCACTACTATCTCTACCACCATCTCTCCACCATCTCTTTCCATCCATCCTCCCTCTTCCCCCCCCTTTCCCCCCTTCCTTCCCTTCCCCTCCTTCCTTCCCTCCAATTCCAATAATATCCATCTATTCATCCATCCATTCATACCTCTATTCCATATATCCATCTCCATATCCATATCCATCTCCATCTCCATCTCCATCTCCAAATCATCTATAATAACATATACACATATATACACACACACACATATGTATATATAGACTCACCAACTTATTCAGGATTTAGATACTGTATTATATGCTATATACATATATGTCATAAGGAAACTAACTATTCCCATGGATTCTTTTCCTTGGACGAGGTTAATTCATGGAAATTGATTTGGATTACTTCCCGTCGTTTATCTTCACCTCTCACATTATACAAATCTCCCATCCGCACTTACCGCTAGCGTTCCATACACACACAACACAAACACATCATGTCACATCACATCACATTCACGCATATATATTAAAGTAAAAAAATTTAAAGGTAATGAACTTCCATTAATCTAAAAGATCATCAAAAATCATCGTCTTCTACCCCTTCATCCCAAGGTTCCTTCTAAGTACCCACCCCCAATTCCCATGTCCTCAATCTATATATCCCCCTTTCACCATCTCCTCATCCATGTTTCAAAAACTTAATCCCAAACCCATTCCATGCAAACCTCCCAAATGGTATAATAAATTCTCTCCTACTTCCACCTCATCCACAGACGACAATGTAAAACAATCGAATCCATTTCAAGCTCATTCAAATTCCATCACCTTTGGAAAAAAAACCCCCTCGAATGGAAAAAAAAGCGAAAAAGTCGAGTAATAACTCAGGATATCAAGAACCCATCATAAAATCGTTTCGTAAAGAGAAAAATATCCATCTTTCTTGTATCCAGAGCCACAACTGATATTGAAACCCTTAGACCCAAGTATGCCCCCTTTTTTGTTCTGAAATAACTTGCTCAAGTATGCAAGCAATCAAGCCAAAAAATTATTTTTCACTCAACTCATCTCAACACGAAGCAAAATATGATTCCCCCCAACAAACCAGAAAACAGTTGTATCGCAACCGGAATCGAATTTTCCCTCCTTCCCAATATGTTCCAATCTTTCATGCAAAGAAGATATCAAATTCGCAAGCCATGCCACATCCATTCCACCCAAATATTCCCCATGTATCTTAATCTTGATCAAAATCAGAATGATACTCATTCATCATTTGTGAAAAGAGGAAATCGAAAACAAACGCAATCCTTCCCTTATACCCTCTTCCAGCCATTTTTGTGCATGTCAACCCCTCCAACATTAATGAGAAGCCGACTGAAAATCCAAAATAACAAAACATAGTACAAGAAGTTTGCTTTTTGAAGACCGCTCCCAGATGAAGCAAGAGCCGAAGAGCAAAAAGAGAAAATAAAAAAAATGCATAAGTACATTTTGCAATAGCGAGCCCCAAGAAAGCTGCCACGAATTTTTTGTATAGCTCTGAACTTGAGCACAATGATCTAAAGAGCAAAATTTGCAGAGAAGAAAAATTCAGTCAGTAAAACCTCTCCCAAACCCTTAAAAACCCAGACACCAACCCAGAAACCTTCCAGGTCCCATGCCAAACCCATTTTGAGAAGACAAATGAAATATCTAAAATCGCTTAATGTAACGCCGTAAATGTGTTTTGAAAAAGTAAAGTCGTAAGATCGAGGCGGCCACTTGGAGGTGCAACGCAACTCGAGATCGTGATAGTAGTATGAGAAATCCGTGTAGTTATTATCGAGTCATCCTTTCATGTGATAAAGGAGACGAACGGATCGTTGACGACACCTCTTTTTGAAAACGTGATGTGAGCTTAGTAACCCACTGAAAGGAAATAATTGAAATCAAGAACTTTTGGAACGGCGAGTCTTGCGCCGAATGTATTCCCGTGTATAGAATTAAATTGATCGATGAAACATGTTGAGTCTGACTCAATTAACAACAGTCTGGTGTCCTCCGTACGCATTGTGAGGCATGAAGTAAGGTTGCTTCACCTGAGAAGCGTAGTCGGAAGGTTGATGATTCCAAATACTGTACTGATGAAAGTAATGTTGAGGACTGTAGTGGTGAGGACTATAGTGGTGAGGCCATTGGTTGTGGAATCGAGTCGACATATCTGGCATCACGTAAGGAGTGTTCGCTGCAGCCATATTGTATGCTTTCGCATACTGGCTGTACATACCCCAATCATACTGAGGTGCTGGACCAGTAGCACTCCAATTTTCTGGTGTAGTCACACCCGAATCAGGAGCAGATGGTGGTGTATGCTGAGGGGTAGGGTATGAGTGATTGGCCCAAGCAGGATGTTCGTAGTGAACATATTGCTGTCTCTCTTGTGTGGCACTTTGCGGGTAGCCTCTGTAGATAGAGTTGGATTGACGGGGGCGTGAAACGCTGGTATCGATCGGAGCCAATGGTGCAGGCGGAGCAGAAAGGCGTTCAATAGTGGCGGCCTTAGCCTTCCTATCTGCAGCCCATTGTTTCCAGTTTGCCAACCATGCCTGGTATGCCGAACTATTGTCAAGGTCGACATACAACTTCCAGTCGATATCTTCCAACCAAGCATGTTCCATCTTGTTGAGTTCAGCAACTGCAATACCACTAACTTCTGACCAGGATTTGTTCTGGAATGTGTTATCATCCAAGAACTTACTTCCCAGAAGTAATCCAACTGTCAAAAGTCGCCACATCTGGCCACCTCTTGATACGGTCTTCAAGCCTTCGAGTCGGTTCGCGAGATAGTTCATGCCGAGGAGAATGGTGGTATGAGGAAGACGGGTAGACGAAAGGAGTCCGAGCACGAATTTACGAAATTCAGGAGCAACTGACGTGGTAGGGTCAAAAAGTCTTTGTGCCATATCTGCCACATAGTCTGTCATGTCATCAATCTGATATTCCAGATGAGCACATACACCTCCGGGAACCATGATGGGCGAAGTTTCGAGGGATCCGACGAGATTCTGTGGAATCTGGTCGGTAGCAAGAAAATGTTTCTTGCTGTGAATTGTTGTAATAGTAAGGGTTTGCTAATGTGCTAGTTGATCAAGCAAGCAAGCTGACTGATACTACTAAACGATGAAGCTTCGTATGAAATGGTGTCCTATCGTGGTTGTCGGATTGACAAAGGATGTTTTGTTGAAGAGCGAGGTTGAAATTTATTGTTGTGTATGCGCCATCAATCGCTTTTGTTAAAAGTAAAAAGTTGATAAGTGAATAAAACTTTTGTATTACTTTTGCAAGACGGAAAAGATGACCGCCAATGATGTGACTGAAAGAAGTATTCCTTGTGGTACGAGAAGAATCGAAGTAAAAGGTTTGATGGGTGCTTAGATAGCGACACTAACTTTTGGAACTAATGATCATGCAATGGTGCTAGTGAATATCGAGTCCTTGAAATTCTAGGTTAATCCTTTAAAATTGTTAGTTGACATTCAGAACAGTGTAAAATTAGTCGTGAAATCAAGTCTGTGCCGATTCTGATACACCAAACAATAGACTGTGAAGATGTGACAAAGATGCGACTGATTCTTGAAATGCCGAAAAATATCGAAAGATATCTAAAACCATGCAGACGTTGAAATGAGAGGGGAGATGAAGGAATAAAAAGTATTGAATCGAAGCGAGATGATTTTGGTATATTCGAGAAGAAGGCGGTGATGGTAATCAATGGGAGAATCGTACACGTTATGGTAAGACTTCTTGATAGTGGTTGTTGTTGTTATTGTTGTTGTATCGGGGGTGACGGAATGTAGAATAATGTTGTGGTGTTCCAGGAAGTAAAACCAAGCTGAAATTGAGGGTGAAATAATTGTACGAACCTTTTCTTGACAGTGAAGTCTTCAGAGGATAATCTTCTATTGAATTTGGATCTTCTTAAACCGATGCAAGCTGTTTTCGTGATCGTATTGTTCCGAGGAGTAAACAGGCAATGTAGGACCTGTAGACCTGATGTCGAAATGGTAGGAGGGATTCGTGAAAAAAAGTCGAGGCCGTATGTCGGATATACGGAAGATAAGGTGGAAAGAATAAATGTTCCAATAGAATAGGATGGAAGTTTTGTTGTTGAGAAATTGAGGAAGATGTAGTCCGACGATTTCAAAAACTTCGAAATCTGTCCAAAGGAAGAGAGGTGAAGATGGATGGATGGATGGATGGATGGGTTGGAGAAGAAAATGGTGGGTGGTGGTGGTGATGTAAAAGGTGGTCGAGGTGGAGAGGAGGAGAAGAGGAAGAAGAGGATAGAATTAGGGTAAGGTAAACCTTAAAGGTAAATCCTTCGATTCAACAAGAAGTTGTGAAATAAATTGGTGTGTGAGTGGAGAATATCAAAGAGGGAAGGAAAAAGGGAAGAAAAAAAGAAGATGACTGGGAAAGTGGTTCCTTTTCGTTTTCGTTTTCCTTTTCCTTTTCCCTTTCCCTTTCTAGTTTAAACAAAAAGAGTCTTGTCTTCTTGGATTATTTGGTTTATTAGTCCAAATGGAAAGGAGTGGATTTTTCCCAGATGGAAAGTTTTTCGCAGCTACAGCAAAGAGTGAGAAGAGAAAATTGGATCGGATGGATTGGAGGGATTGAATTGGATGGATTGGATGGATTGGATGGATTGGATACTATGAGTGGTCGGGATGATCTGGGTGGAGGAGAATTGAACGGGGGGGATTGGAGTAATTGGAGTGAATGTGAAGATACTCTCTCTACTAAACTAATAAATATTATGGAATAATAAAACGGGTTGGCAAGGTTTAATGAATGGCTTGGGTGGGCGGATGGATGTGTTAGTGAAGGTGCAGAATGATATCAAAGCTTGAATTGGCAGTGCAAGTCTAATTGTTTTAGTTTGAAAGTTAGAATGCTCGATGCCTGGTAGTGTGCGGTGTTTGTGATGCTTGTGATGCTTGTGATGCTTGTGATGCTTGTGGTGCTTGTGTTGCTTGCTCTTTTTTCATGTACGAATGAAATTCGATGAATAAGTGCAAGAGAAAACTTACCCCTTGGCGTATCAATATTTTCATCATGAGCGGGCGGATATTCTCAAGGAAAGTCAATGGGCAAATCATTGAATGGCTAACTAATATCTACGAACCACGAACCATTGATGAACCTATTTTTTCAACCCGGTCAAAGGCTTTTGATGATATGGGATTTGAAAGAAATTACTCTAAATAAACATTTGAACGGGCATCAGATTGATAGGATTTTGATTGTCATGATTTAATTTGTATTGACAAAAAATATCGAATTTGAATTGATTGATCATTGATTAAATATTAAATCTAAAAAGATGTCAAATCAATCATGTAACTAACTACTCAACAACAGAGTGGCAGTGACTGGAGGAAATTATGGAAACCCGAGTTAAAACCAATCAACCTCTCATCTAATCTGCACAATTCATCAAATTCACTCATCCTCTAGGATATACTCTGAAGACTCATAAGCCTTGATATTTTGAACTCCGATATTTGCTGATTTATATCATCATTCATCATTCATCACTCGTTTTTATCTACTAGGTTATGATTGAACTTAGCATTGCTTGTTTACGCTGAGTGAGATTTGCTCTCCGGTTTGGAACTTCAAGATGCAGGATCGATAGATGTTAATCACCAACCATAGTTGGGATCATGATGAATTTTGATTCGTAGTTTTAAAGATATTTATGGATCTGATCCAATGCGTTTCTTGATATTTCTGGCTGCATCAAATTACAAATAAAATAATGCATCCATTTTGAAATTTATCCAGCTTACCTACCTACCCTTACTCAGATCTTGCCATCCATCAATGATTCAACTCCCATCTCTAACCTTCAGTATCCATTCATTATAATTGGTTGGAGCGAACCCGAAGGCGAAGTAGAAAAAGGTTGGATGGCATCCATCTAACTAAGCATTGGTATGGGATGGTTGTTGTTCCTCCTCTCAAATTCAAGTTTTCTACCATCAACCCTTTGCCTATTTTTGGCCTCCCTCCATAGCTGTTATAATCTTTAACCTTACTAATACGTCAATCATGACATCTTGACTGACTGAAATAGGAAGGGGATGATGGTAAAGGCTACACCAAACTCGTAAGAACAACAATCATCTATCGCGTTGAGCCATCATCACTACGCAAGCAAAGAAGTGACCTAGTAAACTCCGCAGCATGTACCAACACGAAGGAAGATGATCAGAGTCATCCCAGCTTGTGCTTGTGAGACCGTTTCTCTCCCCAGCACCCAATCCCGCATGAAAAATAATCTCATCACAAATTTACCCTTGATTCAACCAATTAACTTTATCCGTTTCTCCCTAAAAGTGTACGGAATACTGTACTGGGAACCGTGGGAACCGTGGGAACCGTGGGAACCATACGCCGGCCACTTTATTTACTCCCAGAAGAACCTTTTACTTTGCCAACGTGGCCATGGAACGGATGGACCAGCTGCAATGCAAGCCTATAAATAACCCAATCTTATTGGACCAACATCTAAACCCTTCAAAGATGGATGACCCTTATTTTGGGGAGGGAGGAGGGAAGGTTTCGGGTTGTGAAAAATAGGCAGGACGGGAGTAAATGGAGATCCAGAGAAAAAAGATGCCGGCCATTAAGAACCAGTCAAATGGGAAGAAGAAGGGAAAAGGCTGGTAAAGATGATCCGCTGTGATTTTGGAAAGTCTCACATCAATCCATCGTTTACATGGAGTCATGCATTTCATTCGTTGACTGCATTACCTTGAAATCTCCATTTGATATAATCCCAACCTGTTCCGTCCTGACCGGTACATGTTTCCAATGAGGTTTGACAAATCTCATCAACTCTTCAACGCCATCTCAATTTCTGAGAATGGTAATAGTTCATTCTGCACGCACGCACTGTAGCTCTCTCTGTACGATGGATGGATGTATGTACAACAGCAATACAATAGCCTGAGAAATGGAACAAACACATCACTGACTTACCTCCTATTTTATCATCCAACCCATCCATCAACTGTACAATCACGCGTCCAAACGGAGTAGAGAGTTTAGAGGATCCATCTTATAATCTATCTAATGACCACAATCTAATGACCACAATCTAATGACCACAATCTAATAACCACAATCTAATAACCACAATCTAATAACCACAATCCCAAATGACAGTGGTAAGTAACATTTGCGACAAAGCTTCCTTTCTACTTTATTAACCTCCCGACCAAATGAAGTTTCTACTCCGTAATTTCCCACACTATTCCTTTCCCAAAGTTAGAATAAATGAATGAAGATCATTTGATCATTGATGAATGTACCGACTTCCAGACTCCAGAGTAACAACGAAAACATCCTTATGAAGCAATAAATAAACTACGAAAAAATCTTTCCATTGATTTCCAAACTTTCAACTTTCTAGAACCATTGAGCGACAATCAAATATCCACTATTACAGCTTTATATTATTAAAATATATTATTATCATATTCCGTACAACTTCCTTCTATCCCTCCCTGTTCGTTCCATGTGTACCATTTCATACCCCTCCCCTCGACTCTCGAGTACGTACTAGGTAGGGATTTTTAATCCAAAAAATCCATGACATTCTTCCAATTACCAAGTAAACTTCTAGCCCTTTGCTTTGTTACTTTCCTTCCTTCGTAGGCTATTATTGCTTGCAAGCAAGCTGCACCCGCCTGCTCTGAAAAACCACGAGAGAAAACCCGACGATCCCCATTTCCAAGCCTCTCCAGATCGATCCATGCCATGTTTACTTGCACTTTACAGTACCATACAGTACAAGTACAGACGTACTTCCTACTCTAGCTCATCTGCAACGGGAAAAATTTCATCAGTGGAAATTAAATCAAGGCAAGAAAACTGTTGAATCGAATGGACATAGGCCAGATGATGATCCCCTCTCCCCGAAAATATTTTTTTATGGTTCCCGAAACGCCTTGGACATTGAGAGGTCCTGTGAGGTAGGTACATTGGTTTAAAGCGATGTCATTTATATGTCATGATGCTGATGATAGATAGATAGACCTGGATTGGGTCCTGGTTATATTTTCTCGACCATTAATGGATGCAGAACTTTACATTATTCACGCATGGTAGTAGCATGGATGTATGGATGTATGGATGAATGGATGGATGGATGGATGGATGGATGGATGGATGGCACAGTGCGGAATGAAATATAGCTGTTATAGCATAGCATATATGCATTGGTAGGTCCATACTACATAGGTATGGGAACATTTCACATTTCTCATAAGCGATTTCAACTACTGCAAAACAGTGGAATCATTTCCAGCATTTTCCATCTCCTTGACCCATTATTGGATTTGCATATCTGCAAGTAGGTCATGCTTTTGTTACAAATTTTCCATAATTACGGAGTATATCTCCATCTTTAGCACAGGTACTTTCTTTACCAGCCAGCCTAGGTATCTAACCAAGCCTCCCAATCCAATACTGTACAGTACTACTACCAATAAGCCCCAGTCTCCAGATGATCAATCAGTTAGCGCTTAACGTTGATAAAGTCTTTTTTATCCCTCTCCCATTCTGCTCTACATGAATCTCATCAATGATCAACGTCAGGCTCAGGGCCTTGGCTCTTTAGAAACTTCAGAAACCCAAATAGGCCGAATGTTTAACCTTAGACCCACTAAACTTGATACGAATTGGGTTCCTTTTGCATTCGAGGTGCCAACTCTGGAAACTTGTGTTGGCGATATGTACCCAGTACACTTGTACAGGCTGGCTGCACAAGTTACGGAAATATTTTCTTCCATGATTCTTTCTTCTCTGCGTGATTGAGCCATTGAGCAATGAATGAGTAGTAAGTAGTGGGTAGTAAGTAGTAAGTAGTAAGTAGTAAGTAGTAAGTAGTAAGTAGTAAGTAGTAAGTAGTAAGTCAAGTACCCGGTAAATAGGTTATAGGTTCTCGAATCTCCAATTACGAGGATACTCTGTACACATTTTTCAAACCTACAAGTGTTCCGGACAGGTCTATGGATCTACCAGTACCAGGTCACTATCACTTCGGTATCACTATCACTATCACTGATTCACTCTGTATAAAGTCTGGAAATCTTAGGTACTCCACCCACCCACCCACACACACACACACACACACACACGCCACCACCCCAAAAGATACCTAATAATAAATTTCCCGTTACTTACAAAAAGTTACAGTGTAATATATCCCCCAGCTGAACCCGCTGCTACTGTTTACCTTTATTCCATCCATATCGAACGAGTCTTTTGCGCAGCCAGGTAATTTTCATCTTCCGAGATTAGACGTTAGTTAATCCTTGGATGATCAAAAACTCTCGATCTCGATTCCTTTCAATTGGAGAATTGGGGGAATAGAAAGAT